AACAGCCGTGGATTGAGTCACCACATTTTTTTCACGGGGGGAATTACACAGGGAGTTTCAGGTCGGGAGGACATCCCAAGGCGCTGGACAGTCAAGGATTTGCACCCGAGCCGGGAGTCTTGAGACGAGCCTTGAAGGAGGCCAAGGGAGTGGGCTCTGCCACTGTCAAGCGCTCTGGGGCGCTACGCTGTGTGAGGGGGCACAATATAAACACCAGTTGTTGTCAGTGGTGTTGGTGCGGCGGAGGGACTGTGTATAAATGCCTCGCTGTGTGTCTGAGTAACTGACCCCTGTTCTATCCCCGTCTCCTCTCCCCTCTCCACACCCCCCCAACCCCCACCGCCCCACCGCCACAAACACTGGAGTCTGTCTCTTGGCTCCTGTAGTGGAGAGTTCACCAACAAGTTTGGAGCCTCGCGACCCTCTGTAGAACTAGTTCACTGGGGACAGGGTTCGCTCTCAACCCATCTCGGCTGAATCAGCCATTCAGCCTCACCGCACAATGCTGCCGACCGCAACAAAAGGAACCAACATCCTTCTCCTGAGAGACTGATTGCCTGGGAACCCAACTGAACACTGCAATAAGCTGTCTTTAAGCAAACATAGCTCAGGCTGTGCAAACGCTCCTTGATCACTATCCAAGCACCCCGGTGAAACATCTGCATTCAAAGTGTCGCCTTTAGCTACCTGGGAATGCCAGCCTGGAATTTCTCAGGCTCTCAGCCTCACACTCTTGTGTTTTTTGTCTTGGGATATAAGGAGTCCTGTAGCGCAGCGGTTAGAGCTCTCGCCTCGCAAGCCAGAGGACCCGGGTTCGATTCCCGGGCAAGGCGAAACCTTAGGCAAGTTTCCTTTCCCCACGCACGTGCCTGTGTACCCAGCAGTGAGTAGGAACCCGGTTGTTAGTTGATTGGCAGATGGCTTTTCCGGGGGGGAATAATAATAATAATTCCACTTCCCCAAAAATACGGTCACTCAATCCGAGACTGTTTGTGGGACATGTGTTTCTGCGTGTGTCAGACACCCGGCCGGTCACGGTGACGGGTTTCCGTGTGTGTCAGACACCCGACTGATCACGGTGATGGGTTTCCGTGGGTATCAGACACCCGGCCGGTCACGGTGACGGGTTTCCGTGGGTGTCAGACACCCGCCTGGTCACGGTGACGGGTTTCCGTGTGTGTCAGACACCCGGCTGATCACGGTGATGGATTACTGCGGGTGACAGACACCCGGCTGATCGCGGTGATGAGTTTCCGTGCGTGTCAGACGCCTGGCTGACAAAAAAAAATGTTCCTTCAGTTACACAACTTATCTTGTGGATCGGTGTCGTGCTGGTGCATATTTAGATTTGACAGAGAATTTGGTTTAGCACCTTAGAGCAAGTTAAAGTAATTACTTTTTTTTATACTCTGCTTGTCATGATTATATTCCTGAGACGTTCTTTTATGGCTTGTGTTTGTCTCGAGGGAACCAGCTTTAGAATCACCTTGTGGAAAACATCATTATCCTTCTGTCCTCCTATGGGGTGGGGGGAGGGAGGGAGGGAGAGAGAGGTAAATGGGATTTAATTACATTCCATTGTTTAGCAATGGAGTGTAATTAAATCCACCCTCTGTGCCGGTCACTCGTCCTGAGCCCTGGAGGGTCTGCAGTATTCCAGGGTACTCATTGCTGATGACAGCACAGCCCGGCCCGGCTCATCGGCAGGGCAGTGGGGGAGCGAGCACCAACACGAGACGATGGGGGGGAAAGAGAGAGAGAGAGAGAGAGAGAGAGAGAGCAGGGAACAGGGGGGGTTAAGAGTAGAGAGCTCCAGTGGGGGAGCGAGCACCAGCACTGTAAATATTCTGTGATTCCACGCAGCGTTACAGTGCGATATTGAGCTATAAATCTGCCTGACTTGTGCTGTTGTTGATGTCCGCTACAAGATGGGGCTCCTAACTCCCCGAGCTGTCATTGCTCATTTTCAATGGGAATCGATGCCCTTTTATGTAGAGCGTTAACTGCGCGACTACCAATAAAAACGGCCTCCGTACGTTGCAGTCATTGGCAGCCGTAAGGAACCTGCGATCTCCTGGAAAATGAGTGTCAGTCCGTGGCTCAGTCTCTCGCGCTCAAGCTCAACGTGGGGACTTTTGAGCTCACGGTTCATACAGTCACTACACTTTACAGTAAATTCTCGTGAAGGGCTTTCGAGGCATTTTCCCCGAAGTGACAAGGCACCGTAGCAAATACAGTGATAAGCGTCAGCCTGGCTCAGTCGCTCTCTCTCTCTCTCTCTCTCTCTCTTCTCGTCTCCTTTGGAGACGAAGGAGGACATTAAAGGTCCCGCGGCGCTGTTCGAAAAGAGAAGGGAGTTTCTCTCTCTCTCTCTCTCTCTCTCTCTCGGGGTGTCCTGGCCGAAAATACCCCCCCCCCTGCAAAATACAATCAGTCGGTCCCTCACTCCACGGCTGTTTGTGGGGACGCTGCTGGGTGCAAGTCGGCTGCCGCGTTTCGCCCACAAAATACACAGTCGCTGCACTTTACGGTGTATCCTCGTGAAGCGCTTTGAGACGTCTCGAAGACGTGATCGGGCGCTGTACCAAATGCGAGGATTATTATTAGTAATAGCAGTAGTGTTATGAACTCGGTCGCACGTATCTCTTACTCCCAGCGAGCGCTCAGGCCGCTGTTATCCTCAGCGATGTTCGGACACCCTGAACTTCTGAACACCGCGTGGCTGTTGCCGGGCATCGCAGGGGACCCGCTCATTAACTGAGAGACACAAGAAAAACCTGCGAAGGAACACCCCCCCCCTCCCCCCTCATAAATCAAGGCAGTAAAACCCCACACGCGGCTCAATAAAGAGCTCGGCTTCTGCTGATTAGCGCCATATTTTGGCGATTGATTTTTTTTTCCCCTTCTATACTATCGACCGGGACACAGCACGAGGATGCAATGCTGTCTCACGTCTCGGTCTGTGCAGTGACCCCCCTCCGTTACTTTAATTTGACACCTTTTCATCTCTGTCTGTCTGTCTCTCCAGAGACTTAAATCACAGTTTCCTGTAGAGGGTGCGACGAGGGCCACCGAATTCCCCCCTAGTCTGAGGCTCCCTCGCAACATTCGGTCAACAAGATTAGCGCCAGCCTGACGGAGGTTGTTGTGGGTTCAAGCCCCCACTGTCAGGGCTTGGAGTCACACAGTCTAAGCTGAGGCTCCAATACAGCGCTGGAAGGGGGGTTGTTATATGTTGGAGACACCGTCCTTCAGAGGAGACCTTAAACCTCACTCCCCGTCTCCCTGTTCAGGTGGACTTTAAAGATCTCATGGCGGTGTTCGAAAAGAGAAGGGAGTTTCTCTCTCTCTCTCTCCCGGTGTCCTGCCCGACAATCCTCCAAATAAAGTCAGTCCCTCAATCCATGGCAATGGAATAGCATTGGAGTAGAGCTCCAGTACAGATACGATGGGGAGAGACAGAGAGAGAGTAGGGAATGGGGTTAGAGTAGAGAGCTCCAGTGGGGGAGTGAGCCCCAGCACAGACACCATGGGGAGAGAGAGAGAGCAGGGAATGGGGTTAGAGTAGAGAGCTCCAATGGGGGAGCGAGCCCCAGCACAGACACGATGGGGAGAGAGAGAGAGAGCAGGGAATGGGGTTAGAGTAGAGAGCTCCAGTGGGGGAGCGAACCCCAGCACAGACACCATACCCCCCTCTCCCCACCCCCCCACAACCCCCCATCCTGCATTGTGAACATGTTATGACTAACCTGAGTTTAAAGCTCTGCTGATGGAGTGGAAACTAATCTCCTGCTCTATTTGAATGGCACTCTTCATAAGGTTGAACTTGCCATTCAAGCTGTACGTTTTAACTGGTGCCAGCCAGCCAGCTTACCGAGGGGATGGTGGGGCGGCTTTAATTCATTCAAATCTGCAAGCGAGCGAGATACCTTGCCATTCTGAGGTCAATGGTAATTCAACAGCGCTCAATAGAAACAATTTGCGCACGCTGGGATTCTTCTGGACTCTTTAATGATCTTAAGAAAGCCAACTAACTGGTGCAATCACTCAGGAAAAACTCTCCCCCCTCGGCTCCTGTTAACCCTGCCAGCCCAAACCCTAACCAACGGGGAGGGAGGGTGGTCCTAGCTGGACAAGCAGCGGGAAAGCTTGCCCAGACCCTGCTCCCAATGGGCAAGTGTGAGGTTTAAAGTTGGCTATACGCTGATTAACACTCTCCTCCCCACTCACCCACACACACACACACCTGTTTGCCTGCTCTGCGTCCTATTTATGCGGGGGTAGGGGAGGGGAGGGTGGTCAGCCGGGTGTCTGACACCGTTGCTTAAGAGTCTCCAAACCCAACTGAGAACTCCAGGCATCCCTCCTAAACCTGGAAATCCCAGAGATAGATAGTTGGAATGGAATGCGCTCTCTCTTTCCTCTCTCTCTCTTTCTCTCTCCCTGGAGGGACAAATCCTGTTTACTTAATTCCAGAGAGTATTAGGCTCAGGTTGGCAAGAGCCAAGGCTTGGGTGTGCTCTGTATCGTTCCTATTCAGGTGTTGCGCTAGTGTGTGGCAGCCAGTTGCGGAGGGGCTCAGGCTTGACTTATGACGCCCTCTATGGTTAAGTGGCCTCAGACATGTCACCCACTGCCTTCGACCGTCTTAAATTTTAACGAAAATAATTTTTTGAACCTTTTGGGGCCCTGTAGCTCAGAGGTTAGAGCGAGAGAACCCGGGTTCGATTCCCGGGCAGGAAAGTCTCCTTACCCCACACGCCACTGCTAATCCGGGTGTTAGTTGGTGGACACAGGGGTAATAATCCCTTAAAAATTCTATGATAAATTAGTCACTCAATCCACTGCTGTGCGCAATCGGCTGCCGCGTTTCGCCCACAAAACACACAGTCACTCCACTTTACAGTGTATCAGGTGAAGCGCTGTGAGATGTCTCGAAGACGTGATAAGGCACCGTGTCAAATGCAAGGATTGTTATTAATATTATTATTATTTTCTAGGATTCTCACAAAAAATTCCTGCTCCGGATCCCGAATGTTGACCAGGAGAGGATCATGGCTGGGTTTGCGCTGGGCGAGCAGTGAGATCTAGCCGGGGGGGGGGGAGGGGGGAGGGAGGGAGGGAGAGAGGAGAGGAGAGAAGAGGTGCCTCTCCAGCCAAGAGAAGATGCTGACTCCGTGCGGGAGGCTCCAAACACTCGCCTTGATCCTGTTCTCCAAGGGCTTCCCATTCTTCTCGTCCAGCGAGAGCAACGTTGGGAGGAAGGAGATCAAGATCGAGGGAGACCTGGTCCTGGGAGGGTTGTTCCCGGTGCACGAGAAAGGGTCCGGGATAGAGGAATGCGGCCGGGTCAATGAGGACCGAGGCATCCAGCGCTTGGAAGCCATGCTCTTCGCCATCGACGAGATCAACCAGGACACCTACCTCCTGCCAGGGGTCAAGCTGGGCGTCCACATCCTGGACACCTGCTCCCGGGACACCTACGCACTGGAGCAGTCGCTGGAGTTTGTCAGGGCCTCGCTGACGAAAGTGGACGAAACCGAGTACATCTGCCCCGATGGCTCCTTCGCCATTCAAGATAACCTTCCCCTGATGATCGCAGGCGTGATAGGAGGTTCCTACAGCAGCGTCTCCATTCAGGTAAGAGGTATAGGAACAGGAGAGGAGGCCATTCAGCCCCTCGGGGGCCTGTTCCCAGCATTCTTTTCGATCATGATTGATCTGTACCTCAACTAGCCCACAAAATACACAGTCACTATACTCTACAGTATATCCTGTGAAGCGCATTGAGACGTCTCGAGGAAGTGATGAAGCGCTGTGTCAAGTGCGAGGATCATTAGTACTATTACTACTATAACCCCTTCCCCCCTCCCCCTCCGCCCCACCCCCGCAGGTGGCAAACCTGCTTCGTCTCTTCCAGATCCCCCAGATCAGCTACGCCTCCACCAGCGCCAAGCTCAGTGACAAGAGCCGTTACGACTACTTTGCCCGCACGGTGCCCCCTGATTTCTACCAGGCCAAGGCGATGGCCGAGATCCTGAGGTTCTTCAACTGGACCTACGTGTCCACGGTGGCCTCCGAGGGCGACTACGGCGAGACGGGAATCGAGGCCTTCGAGCGGGAAGCCCGCCTGCGCAACATCTGCATCGCCACCTCGGAGAAGGTGGGCAGGTCAACCACCAAGCGGTCGTACGACGGGGTGATGGGCGAGCTGTTGGTCAAGGCCAACGCCAAGGTGGTTGTCCTCTTCACCAGGGGCGACGACGCCAGGGAGCTCCTGGCCTCCGCCAGGCGCCTGAACATCTCGGGTTTGACCTGGGTGGCCAGCGACGGCTGGGGAGCCCAGGAGGTGGTGGTGAAGGGGAACGAGGAGGTGGCCGACGGAGCCATCACCTTGGAGTTGGCCTCCTACCGGGTGCGGCCCTTCGACAAGTACTTCCAGGCCCTCCACCCCCGCGGCAACAGGAGGAACCCCTGGTTCAAGGAATTCTGGGAGCAGAAGTTCCAATGTTCTCTGCAAGGCGGGCGTCAGGCCAAGCGACCCTGCGATCGCCGGGCAGTGCTGAGCCGCTCCAGCTACGAGCAGGAGACCAAGATAATGTTTGTGGTCAACGCTGTGTATTCCATGGCATCCGCCCTGCACCGCATGCAACGGTCCCTGTGCCCGAACACCACCCAGCTCTGTGATGCCATCCTGCCCCTGGATGGCAAGACTCTGTACAAGGACTACCTGCTCAAGACCAACTTCAGCGGTAAGGTTTCCTCTCTCTCTTTCTCTCTCTCTCTCTCTCCTTCGCGCTCTCCTCTGCCTTTCTCTCCTCTCCTCTCTCCTTCTTTCTCCCTCCTCGCTCCCTGTCTCATCACTTCATCCCTTTCTCACTCTCTCTCGCGCGCGCGCCTCAGCTCACTCTTCTCTCCCTCTTTCTCTCCTCACCTCATCCCTCTCTTTACCGTCTGTCCTGCGAAGCTCTTTGAGACGTCTCAACGACGTGATCAGGCGCTGTATCAAATTGCAAGGATTATTATTATTATTATTATTATGCAATAAGCAGCCGATCACATCAAGGTAATGTGTGTGTGGTTTGGTTTGGGGTGGGGTGGGGGGTGGGGGGGGGTGCGAGAGGGCAGGGGCTTGAGAGAGGCAGAGGTTAAAGGTCTCACTCCCAACCTCTCCAAAGCGCTTGGCAATGGGGAATGAGTCAGTCTCTTCGGGAGAGATTTGAGGGGGAGAGAGAGAGAGAGAAGGGATTGAAAAACACGAACTCACATAGACAGGTTCAGAAAAAGGGCCTCAGTTTCCAGGGTTCAACTGGAGTTCTCTTCCCATAGGTTTGCGTCCCCGGCTCGCTTTCCCTCGCATCCGCCCCGGAGCTCTCAGCGTAGGACTGAGCGCATTCTCTGATCCCCCTATTATGAGCTCAGGACTTGGCCGGACGTCAAAACACTGCCTGGGATTGAGAGCGATTCAATTCAATACGTTCGCAAACACACACACAACGCAACACAACACAAGAGAGATCTTCCACAGAGGAATTGGCGGTCGATTGGAGGACTGATCCGTGGGGAACTTGTCTCCCTGTCGTCTTCACCCACTCCCCAAACTTCTCCCCCTCCCAACCACACGCAACCCTACCCCCCCCCCAACACGGCCACCCATTGCTACACCTGCCAAAATCAGACCCGGAACTAACCCCGGGGCGGTTTCAAACCTTATGTTTAACGCACAGGACCTTTCACGTCGGGAGGACGTCGCAAAGCGCTTCGCAGGATTTACTGCTACCCACGGTGTAGTGACTGTATTCTTGGAAGGGAATTCAGCCCACAGCTGTGTCCCACACCAACAGCCAGCAAAGCAAAGCAAAGGGGGGGGGTGGGGGGAGGTTTAACGTCTCATCCGACATTACTGTTTCCGACAATAATGCGACTGTTTGTGGGAACGCCGCTGAGCGCAACTGACTGCCTCATTTGACCACGGTCACTGCGGTTTACAGTACAATCCTGTGAAGCACTTTGGGCCCTACATCAAATGCAAGTATTATAGGATTAACGCGATTATTATTATTATTATGACAATCTCTCCCCCTCTCTCTCTCGCTGTTCCCAGCTCCGTTCCGTCCCCCCAATGACCCCGAGACCGAAGTCAAGTTCGACGAGAACGGCGACGGGATCGGGCGCTACAACGTGTTCAGCTTCCAGAAGGTGGGGGCCCGCTACAGTTACCTGCGGGTGGGGCAGTGGGCCAAGGCCCTATCCCTGGACCCCCACCTCCTGCACTGGCCCCGCCAGGTGGTGCCCACCTCCCAGTGCAGCGAGCCCTGCGGCCCCCACGAGGCCAAGAACATGCAACCGGGCGACGTCTGCTGCTGGATCTGCGTCCCCTGCGACCCCCACTCGTACCTGGTGGACGAGTTCACCTGCAGCGACTGCCCGCCGGGCACCTGGCCCAACGAGAGGCTGGACGGTTGCTTCGACCTGCCCGAGGAGTACATCGGCTGGGCAGACGCCTGGTCCCTGGTTCCCGTCACCATCTCCTGCGCCGGTTTCGCTGCCACCCTGCTGGTGGCCGCCGTATTCGCCCGCCACCGGGCCACGCCGCTGGTCAAGGCCTCCGGCCGCGAGCTGTGCTTCATCCTGCTGCTCGGGGTCTTCCTCTGCTACTGCACCACCTTCCTATTCATCGCCAGGCCCTCGCCCGCCCTCTGCGCCCTGCGCCGCCTGGTCCTGGGCACCTCCTTCGCCGTGTGCTACTCGGCCCTGCTCACCAAGACCAACCGCATCGCCCGCATCTTCGGGGGGGTGAAGGACGGAGCTCAGAGGCCCCGGTTCATCAGCCCCGGCTCGCAGGTCTTCATCTGCCTCAGCCTCATCTCCGTCCAGGTGGTGGTGGTCTCGGTCTGGCTGGTAATCGAGACCCCGGGGACGCGACGTCACACCGTGCCAGAGAAGAGGGAGTCCGTGATCCTCAAGTGTAACGTCGGGGACTCCAGCATGCTCCTGTCGCTGGCGTACGATGTCCTCCTGGTGGTTCTCTGCACCGTCTACGCCTTCAAGACCAGGAAGTGTCCCGAGAACTTCAACGAGGCCAAGTTCATCGGCTTCACCATGTACACCACCTGCATCATCTGGCTGGCTTTCCTGCCCATCTTCTACGTCACCTCCAGTGATTATAGGGTAAGTCGGGGAGAGGGGCGGCTGGCGGGTGGGGGGTGGTGTGGGGGGTGCAGGCACATACACCTACTCCCCCCACCCCCCTTCCCCTTCCCTCCGCCACCACCACCACCCCTTCCGAATTATCACCCGTGCCTTTAACCTGACTGGGGGGGGAGTGGGGTGGGGTGGGGGGGGGGAGGTGGTGGGGGTGGGGCGGGGGGAGGACAACAACAACAACTACTACACACACCACCGCACTCGTTCCCAACAGCAACAACAACAACAACTTGGCCTTTCACCACAGGGTTTGCGTCTCCGAGCTCGCGAATTCCCACAGCGGGGACTTGGCCCACTGAGACCCCCCCCCCCCACCCCCCCAAATTACAAAATAATTCTAAAGGGAGGAGATAATGTGGATAAGCTGATTCATCTTGCGCCGCACAGCAGAACCTGAGGACACGGCCTGCGATTGAACGGGGGGTAAATTCAGAACAAACCCGGGAGGGGGGAACTCCAGTGATCGAGCAGTAAACGTATGGAAAAGGCTGTAGTGTTGGACACGACGTGTGCAAACGGCTGTCAGGATGGCGGAAGGCAAACTGGATGTACCTTGGCCTTTTGCCGAGTGATTCTTCCCCCACTCCTCTCTCTCTCTCTCTGTCTCTGTCTGTCCGCAGGTCCAGACGACCACCATGTGTATCTCGGTCAGTCTGAGTGGCTTTGTGGTGCTGGGCTGTCTGTTTGCCCCCAAGGTCCACATCATCGTGTTTCAGCCACAGAAGAACGTAGTGAATCACAGACTCACCATGAACAGGTTCAGCGTCAGTGGAGCAGGAACCATCTACTCCCACTGTGAGTAAAGCGCTCGCTAACTAACTGTGGCCCGGCTCGGGCACTCACACACAATCACCTCCGGGTCTGAGGGCTACTCACTTGAGTTTCCCCGTCACGCACACCCGTAGCGTAGTGGCTAGAGCGCTCGCCTCGCACGCGAGAGGACCCGGGTTCGATTCCCGGGCGGGTCAGAGCAAAACACTAGACAAGTTTCCTTACTCCGTACCCACACACACACACACACACACACACGACTGTTTGTGGGGACGTCGCTGGGCGCAATTGGCTGCCGCATTTCGCCCACAAAATACACAGTCACTACACTTTACAGTACATCCTGCAAAGACGTCTCAACGACGTGATAAGACGCTGAATGAAATGCAAGGATTATTATTATTATCTTATTACTCCTTCGACAAAAGGAACGTTTCCGTGGCTGCTGGGGGGTCGTGTGAGGGGGTGGGGGGGGTTGTAAAGAGAGAGAGGGGGGGGGGAGCGGCACATTGTCGGAGGTGTCGTCATTCTGATGTGTCTGTCCGTCCGACTGTGCCCTTCTCTGAGCGGACATTAAAGATTCTCCCCCCGCGACTCTGTTGGCAAAGAGCAGGGACTTTCTCTCCCAGAATCCGAGCCGACAGTCCCTCCTTACAATGTTAATCCATCCTTCACCTCGTGGTCCTGCGTGGGACCTCGCCGTGCGCAACACTATAGCCCCCGCGTTTGCCTCACCCCCCCCCACCACCCCAATAAATACAGTCACTACACTTGACAGCAATCGCCGTGAGACGATTTGACGTGTGAGAGGCTATGAAGATGCAGTCTCTCCAGCTCTCCCCGATCGTTCTAGCGAAATCTTATCCTTTTCTCATCGTTCCTCTGCCCCCCCACACCCCCCCACTTCTTAACTCATCCTTTTCCCCGGCTCTTGAGAGACAACAGCAACAACTTGCGTTTGTGGAATCCTGTAGCTCAGCGGTTCGAGCCCCCGCCTCGCAAGCCACAGGACCCGGGTTCGATTCCCGGGCGGGTCAGGGCCAAACCTTTGGCCAAGTTTCCTGACCCCACACACACACACACACACCCACACCCACACGCGTGTGCCTCTGTTTACCGGCAGTCAGTAGGAACCCGGTTGTTAGTCGATTAGGGGATCGATTTCCGGGGCGTAATAATCCCTTCAAACAATATTTTTTTTTAAAAATGGGGCGTCTCAATCCACGGCTGTTTGTGGGGACACCGCTGAGCGCAACTGGCTGCCGGGTTTCGCCCGCCCACGAAATTATACAGTTACTACGCTTTACGGTATATCCTGCGAAGCGCTTTGAGACGTCTCGACGACGCGACGATGAGGCACTGGGTCAAACGCCGGGGCTATTAGTGGTCGTTTGCGGCAACTTTTGGATGGTTCCATGAAGCTCTGGTGCACTCTGGTGGCAAAGACTAGTCACTGCTCTCCCCCCCCCACCCCCCACCCCCCCACTCTGGTTGAAAGGTCCCCTCCGTTGGCGTCCAAGCCATGTGAGGGTTTAGGTGGTTAGTCTCCAGCAGTTACCCCCAATCTCACTCTGAGCTCCCCCACCGCCCGCCCGCCCGCGCCCCCCGTTTCTAACCTGCGCCTAATACTCTCCGGAATTAGGTAAACAGGATGTGTCTCTCCAGGGAGAGAGAGAGAGAGAGAGAGAGAGCGCGTGTTCCAATCCAGCAATCTCTCTCTGGGACTGCCATGTGTAGGTGGGATGTAGGGAATTCTTAGTCGGGTTTGGAGACTCTAACGCAACGGTGATGGGTTTCCGTACGTGTCAGACACCCGCTGACCCTCCCCCCCCTCTCCCGACCCCCAAAAAATACACGTAGCTGTTATTTTCTCGCCCAGCTACGAGTCTTTATCTCTTGTTTTTGTAGAGTCTTGCTTCACCTCACAGAGTCCACTTTCACCCCCTTCTCTGAGGTCTCGCCGGGCAAAGGAAGGTAGGTGGGACATCCCTGGCCTCCGCCACAAACGTTCTACATCTCAGAAATCCTAACAGCGGTCACCGCGTTTGATCTGGCGCCTTCCACGTCGAGAGAGAGCGTCTCCGAGCGCCTCACGGGACACCACGTAAAGTGTCGTGACTGTGCGCAGGTGAACCAGGCAGCTAGTTTGCGCAAAGCGAAGTCCCCCACAAAACAGCCATGAAATAAATGATCGGTTTTGCCCGGGGAGTGGGGGGGGATTGCTGGCCAGGACGCTGGGGGGGGGAAGCTTTGTGAATAGGGCACAGGCTGTTTGTCTCATGCGGTGGCGGAGTGGGGTGTGAGCAGAGATAGGGAGGGAGGGTGGGGCAGGCTGTGGACCTACGTGATCTGTGTTGTGTTTGCACTAGACCTCCCGACTTGAGGAGGGCGAGGGAGGGAAGAGAACGACCTCAAAGGGAATAGGCTATGACCCTACGGAGAAATAATTGAACGCCGCTCTTTGCTTTGCAGCCTCCAGCAGTGCTCAGTACGTCCCAACCGTGTGTAACGGCAGAGAGACTCTGGAATCCTCCGTTTCTTCCTTGTGACAAGACATTGTACACCTTAAGACTCCCGGTCTGGCCGGTACCGTCCCCAACTCGCACACAGCATCCGCCACGCGGAAACTTTCCTTTTGTAGAAAGCGTAATAATATAACAATAATAATAATAATCTTTGCATTTCGTACAGAGTCTTATCTCGTCGTCGAGACGTCTGAAAGCGCTTCACAGAATATACTGTAAAGTGGAGTGACTGTGTGTCTTGCGGGCGGAACGCGGCAGCCAGCTTGCGCACAGCAGCGTCCCCACAAACAGTGGTGGATCGATGGACCAAATTATTATTATAATAATAATAATCCTTGCATTTGACACGGCGCCTGATCACGTCTTCGAGACGTCTGAAAGCGCTTCACAGGAAACACTGTAAAGTGGAGTGACTGTGTGTTTTGTGGGCGGAACGCGGCAGCCGATTGTGCACAGCGACGTCCCCCACAAACAGCCATGTTTGTTATTATTATAATTTTTTTTTTTGAGGGGATTATTACCCTCGTGAATAAGTGAGACGCCAATCAACGAACACCCGGGTTCCTACTTAAATTATTTGTAAGAGATTGTACAGAACTAATATTAGTCGGGGTGGGTGGGAGGGGTGGGTGGGTGGGTGGGGGGGGGGTTAGGTTTCCTTTTTTTGGTGGGGAGCCAGAAGCTAAGATGCAATGGTATTTTATTCTGTAAATAACTATTATTGATCTGCGTTGTTATAAATTGTTTTACATTGTGTGCGTGTGTGTGTGTGTGGGGGGGTGTTGGGGAGGGGGTAATAAGTAATATTAATCGTAGCAAATCTGCGGTGTGTGGAGGTTTTTTTAAGCCGCCTTTTATTTGTTGTGTTTGCACAACAAAGGATATACTGTAAAGTGGAGTGACTATGTATGTTGTGGGCGAAACCTTTTTCTTTCCACACAATATTGTACATAACGTTGTCGACAACGGTAACTCATGGTTCGAACAGCACAATTTTATGTACCATTTACAAAAAAGTATTGTCAAATACCTTGAATAAAACTCTCGACCTCCCACCCCATCCCCATTTCCCCTTCTCTCCATTCCCCCCCCCCCACCCCATCCTCTCCATTTCTCCCCCTCCTCTCCATTCACCCCCCACTCCATTTCCCTCTTTGTTCTTCCCCTCTCCCTTTCCCCCACCTCAGGTGCCCCCCCCCCCATCTCCGTTCCCCCCTCTCCTCTGTTCCCCTCCATTTCGTCCCTCCCTCACCCTCCCCTCCCCTTTCTGTCCATCCATCCATTCCCCCCCTTATCCTTCCCCCCCATTCCCCCCCACCCCGTTCCTCGGCCCTGTGTAATTCTGTGCCTGTGATGGTGGGAAATTAACCCTCTCATGTTCAATTTACTATATAATCAAAAGATCAATGTGTTTGATGGCTTATACCCCACTTTAGAGATATCATTGAATAAACCAGACTGGTACTCTTCCTTCTGGCTTTTGTTTTTTTGGCCACTTTATGTCATTAAAGGGGGGGGTGGGGGTGTGGGGAGAAGGGGGGAATATCCTCACGTTTTTGTCCAGCGCCTCATGGCATTTGGGAAGAGGTCTCAAAGCGCTTCGCGGGGTTTACTGCAAAGTGTAGTGACCGTACTTTGGAAGGTGCACACGGCAGCCGGTTTCGCACCCAAGCATCGTCCCTCCCCCCCCCCGCAAACAGCCGTGAAGCGAACGAGCGATTTTAATCGGAGGGATTGTCGGTCAGGACATCGTGAGAGAGAGAGAAACTCCCTTCTCTTTCCCAATTTTAACGTCCACCTGAACAGCCACAGACGACTCAACCGAAGGACTTTGAAATATCAGCATTGGCTTCGTAAGTTCCTCATCACTACTGTCCTGTTTGGGGAGGTTGGTGGGGTGGGGTAGGGTGGGGGGGGGAGGGGAGCTGAACAGGCTCTAAGGTGACATGTTTTCCAAGGGAATGTGGGAATCGAACCCCCATTCTCTGTGACGGTCTCTAGTCCCCGGTTCCTGAGTCAGGAGGGGCCGCAGTGTCCCAGGTAACCCCACAGCCAAAGCCCTAACTAACGGGGAGGGTGGTCCTGGCTGGACAAGCAGCAGTGGTTAGAGGCTCGCACACTCCCTTCGGTAAAAGAATCGGGGGTCGCACACTTGGTAAAGATGCCTCAAACCGTTCACATTTATTTCACAAAGCCGAGACCCGAAGGGAGCTCGATTGCACGGGGGTTGGGGGAGGGGGTTTTGAGGGTTAAATTCCGAACGCACATGAACAAAATATAATTTGGGGGGGAACGAGAGGGTAGTGGGATGAGCTACCGGACGAGCAAAAAATGGGAGATACAACACAGATATCACCCAGATACACTCCCTCACCCCCCTGCTCCAGATAAATTCCCCCCGACCCCAAATTGGGGTATCCCCCCTCCCACTCCGGAGACACTAGGCGAGAACGCCCTCTGACTGTATCGGAGCGGTTCCCAGCGGCTGGGTTTCAGGCGCTGAAATATCCCGACATTTGGATGGGAGTAAGTCAGAAAATTCCTGCTAACTCCTGGCTCCCAGGGGGAAAGGACCACGAGTGACTAGTTATCAGGAGTGATGAGTTAGGCCTGTGTATAAATACATAAATAAATGCAACCGGGATATAGACAGCACGACGACTTAAGCGACAAGTTATGAAGAGGCACATGTACACACACGCGCACGCACACACACACACACGCGCGCGCACACGCACAGTGCTACCAACTGAGCCAGGCTGACACACAGCCTCATCGAGTCCCTCAGTCTCGCCCACCCCACCCCCCCCAATCTTTCACGGCCACCTGAAGAGCTTTTTTTTCTTTAATTAATCGCCCCCACGCCTTTAGTCAAGACACGCGTGGTTTCCAAATGGATTTCTGCCCCCATCTCTCTCCCCGCCCACTCCACCTTCCCCACAACCCACCCACCACCATCACCTGTTGACCCGAAATAACTTTCAATGGAGCCCCCACACACCTACACACACACACACGAAAACCACAACGCAATGAATGCGTCCCACAGCAAAGGACAAATTGTTTTCTATCATGTCTGAATGTCACTCCGCCGGACTTCCATCGACCTTCATTCATAACATATGACGGAGATACTTTGTATAATTCTATACTATATATATATAATATATTATACTGTAGGTATATAACATTTAATTGGGCCTAAAAAGATATAGAGGGGAAAGGCGGAGAGGAGGTGGGGGTGTGGTGAGGATCCCAGAGGAATATTCTTTGCCTCCTACAGGAATTGGTTTGTCTGTGTCCGTCGCGCTCAGTGTCCAGGTCACTCCCACTCCCAACGACCAGGGAATCCTCCCACTCATCTCCTGCTAAACCTACGAGCCAATGCCCTAACGGGTAGGGTATCCCAGTTGGGTGTCTGACACATGTGGCAACCCATCACCGTGCTTCAGGGTATCTGAACCAACCTTCAAGACCCTCCTCTGCGACGGTGCCTTCGGTCATCTTCTCGCCCCACCCCCACCCTCCCCGCTCTCACCTCCACCCTTCTCTGCTCCCAACGCCCAGTTCGGGTGCGAATCCATCACTGTCCAGAGTCTCGGGACGTCCTCCTGACGTGCAAGTTGCCGTATAAATGCAAGTTGTTGTCCAAACTTCCCCTCTTTCTAAGAGCAGTCTCCAGCTCGTAAACGTCACACGATCACCTCGTGTGCGTCAAAGGCTGAACCCCGTGGTCGCCTCCCCTCTCCTCCACCCACGTATACACACACACACACACACACACATTCTCTCTCACACACACATGCGCCCTCTCTCATACATACTCACACACACACAGACACTCTCTCACCCACACATACACTGTCTCACACACACATGCGCCCTCTCTCTCTCACTCGCTCACACACACACACACGCAACCCCCCCCCCCCCAAACAAAACCACAAATGGTAAAACAATGCACTTGGTTGAAGACAGACTGGGTTAACAACACGATGAGCTCTTCCTGAGTTTTATAGATGAGGGTCTCTGTTCTGTCAAACACATTCACTCCTCACACTGGGTACCTGTCCACCTGACCCCCCCCCCCCACCCCCTTCCCAATATTGACCATACACCTGGACTGTTAAGTGGCCGATCGAGTAGAAACCACACACACTGACCTGCCTTCTCTTTGTATTTAGAAGTGGGAGGGGGTTGATGTGTGTTGGGGTGGGGGAGGGGGGCGGTGGGGAGGGGGTGGGGGTATTAAGAGGTTTTTCCCTCCTCGTGGTTTGTCCTTGTCCCCCTCCCTGTTCCTCTCGCTCATGCTCTCCCCCCCCCACCCCCACCCACCACCCACCAACCCCCCAAGCCCCCACCCTCCCGGCCACAGTCCGGAATAAAGAGATACAGCCAACAGGTCCTGCCATGGATCCATCCATCTCCTTCCTTCAGATATTCCGAGATCTCGGAGATTTGAGCTGCACCGACTCGAAGATGTCATCTTTGTCCTTGAAACGAGACAAATTGGGGAGTGAGGTGGGGGTGTGTGGGGTGTGGGGGAACAGGGAAGGAGATTTATACTTTAATCCCATTTTTCACACCTTTCCTCCCGCCCCCCCCAACACCCCCAACCCGCAAGTGTTCACCCATCTCTTAAACCAGGATGGTCCAACTGGCGGCCTATGGGCCGCATCCGGCCCCCGAGCCAATCAGGAGACCGTCACCAGGGTACCAGGGGAGAGTACATGTGCCCAGTGTGTTTGGGGGGGGGGGAAGGGGGGGCATCAAAGGTCAGGCGTCATGGGGGTTCGTAACCCTCCTCCTCTTCCTCCTCCCCCCCTCTCCCCAATCACTTTGAGGTCATCCCAAACTGCCAAGGGAAGTGAGTCAGTTTGGGGTGACCTCAAAGTGATGTGGGGTGGGGGGGGGGAAAGAGGAGAAAGAGGGGGAGGGTCACGAGTCCCCATGATGCCTGACCTTTGATGCCTCCCTGACCCCCGCCCCCCCAACACCCCGCGCACAGGTACCCTCCCCCCTCTGCCCCAAGCCCGAGGCTCACCTTGGAAGCGAAGGACTTGAGTTTGCCGAGCAGTGAGGGCTTGTTGGAGTAAACCACCTCGTCCTCGTTGTCCTCTCCCTCCATTATAGCACAGCTGTCAGCTGCCGGCAACTCGATCTCCTTGGAGTTGGCGTTCATCACCAGCCGGGAATACTTGTACTCCAGCCTGGGGGGGGATATGGGGGGGGGCGGGGCAGAGACCAGAGAGCTCACGTCAGAGAGAGAGAGAGAGAGAGAGAGATGGGTGGGTGGCTGGGTGGGGGGGAAATGAGCTCCAAAAGCATTGCAGCCCTCAAGGGGGAGGGGGCAAGAACAAGGCTACGTGTGTTTGTGTGTGTATTGTGCGCATTTGTACGTGCATCACTGAGTGTTCGCGTGTGTGTGTGTGCGCACGAGTGTCCCCCTGCGTGTGAGTGCGCGTACACGTGCCTGTGTGTCCGTGCGTGTCTGCACGTGTGTGCTTGTACGAGGTCGGGTGAGTTTTGCGCGAGCTTTTGAGACACAGCCCTGCGAAGCTCTGGACGCTCTGACTGAGACACACACAACACCGAGACACACAACCACACCAACACACACACACCACCGACACACACAACCACCACATAACACCCACACAACACACACTCACTTCTTGTTCTTCTTCCAGAAGTAGCAGGTGAGGATGACGAGGAGCACGGCACTGAAGGCTCCGATTCCCACCACCACCTTCAGCCAGAAATCGATCAGCTCACAGCTGCCGGAGCTCTTCAGGGGCAGGTTCACGCCGCCCAGGCACAGCTTCGGGTCCTTCCACACGTACGTGGTTTCCTGCGGCCAGAGAGCGAGGACAGGCTGGTCGGGGTTGTGAAGGCAGGGCTTAGCCGGCCGAAGGCTTAGCGCAGTGGTTAGAGCCCTCGCTTCGCAAGCGAGAGGACCCGGGTCCGATTCCCGGGCACGGCCAAACCTTAGGCAAGTTTTCCTGGCGGTACCGTAGGAACCCGGTTGTTGGTCGAGTTGCTTGGGGTGGGGTGGGGTGGGGTGGGGGGGAAGTGCCACGTTATTGGGGGAACCTCCAGAGACGAAAAGGAGGGGAGATGGGGTGGGGAGGGGGGGGGGAGGATTTTAGTGAGGAAGGAATGATTGACGTACCTGAACTCCACTTTTACAAGCTCCCTCTATGGCGTGATAGTCGCTGGGTGTACAGAGCGGGCACGCCTCTGCGCTCTCCCACAGGAAGAGGAAGGTACAGCCATCGCAGGTCCCCCCAGGACAGCCACTGGCAGCAAATAACAGGGCACGTTCGTCAGTCACTCTCACACACACACACACACAGTAACACCTCACGCTGACACACACGCACTCACGCTGTACATTTCACGCTCGGGAACTGTACCCGTTGGAAACGAGAAAGGAGTTTCTTCTCTAAGATCCGAGATCCGTTCCACGACTGTTTTGCGGGTACGTCGCTGGGCGCAAAGTGGTTGCCACTTTCGCCCGCAAAACACTCGAGCCACTGCGCTTCGCAGTTAACCCCGTGAAGCACTACGAGACGTGCTCCCGACGTGATCGATTTTTTATTTTTATTTTGCCGGTTTGATGGCCGGTACTTGCCTCGGCACCTGGATGTCCCCTCTGCCCGGCTTCTCGGGGTTACACCTCAACGTGATGACTGTTCCTCGGCCGTTTTCACACGAAGCTGTGGACATGGAGGACCTGCACGGAAAGTTGGGGGCGAAGGGGGAGGGGGGGGGGGGGAGGGAATCAGAACAGGTAGGAACCCAGCTCGGGATCTCAGGTGAGGCTTCGGTGCAACAGCCAAAGTGGCTCAGAGGTCACATTCCCACACAGCAACACACACACACACACAGCAACCCACGCACATACACACACACAGCAACCCACGCACATACACACACAGCAACACACACACAGCAACCCACGCACACAGCAACCCACGCGCATACACACACAGCAACCCACGCGCACACACACACAGCAACACACACACAGACACACACACACAGCAACCCACACACACACCATTCCCCCCACCACCCCGGTCAGGGCGAAACCTTAGACAAGTTTCCTTATCACTCAATCTACGGCTGTTTGTGGGGACGTTGCTGTGCGCAATCGGCGGCCGTGTTTCGCCCACAAAATACACAGTCACTGCACTTTACAGTATATCCTGTGAAGCGCTTGAGACGTCTCGACGACGTGATAAGGCGCCATATCATATGCAAGGATTGTTGTTATTATTATCTGGCAAACTGGTTCATCCTTTTAAAATCTAGCTCCCCCCCCACCCACACCGCCACCCACCCACACCGCCACCCACCCACACCTCCACCCACCCACACCGCCACCCACCCACACCGCCACCCACCCACACCGCCACCCACCCACACCGCCACCCACCCACACCGCCACCCACCCACCTTTAAAGCTGTCCTTAAGACCTTTCTTTTCCATTGCGCCCCCTCCACCACCGATCACAGACCCCCCCACCCCCACACCACACACACCTCGACACCGGCCACTTACACATAGTAGAAGTGCACGTCAGGGATGCTGTTGGTGGGGGCGGGGAAGCGATTCGGTCGGGCGGTGATATTCTGGAACACTGGTTCAACACTCGCCCCTGGGGATAGAGAAGGACAAGTCAAAAGACAGGTACAGACAGGTACGGACAGGCCGACACAGGGGTAGGGAAGTCTATAACAATAATAATAATCCTTGTATTTGATACAGCGCCTTATCATTTCTTCGAGAGCCCCACAAACAGTCATGGATTGAATGACCAAATTATTTTTTTTTAAAAAACATCTTTTTGGGAGGAATTATTACCCCCCCCCCACCCCGCCCCGGAAAAGCAAACCCGCCAATCAACTAACAACTGCTCAGTCACCTCGTGTCTGCTCATATAGGACGTCGCTGTGTGCAAATCGACTGCCGCTCTCGCTTACAAAACACAGTCACTGCACTTTACAGTAAATCCTGTGAAGCGCTTCGAGACATTTTCCTGATGTGAAAGGTGCTGCATCAAACATGTGCATTATTATTATTATTATTATTATTATTATTATTACTGCATCAATCCAAGTTGCTGTGATTATTATTACTCTCATCACTCACCTAAGAAGGCGTCAGCCAGGCTGATGGATTGGGAGGAGATGGCTGTTCTGAAACTCCTCCCGTCTGAGGGAATGATGGTGGACTGACACAGGAAGGAGGAGATGGAGGTGCTGAAGTCCACAGACCTGCTGTCGACGTCCTTCAGTGTCACATCGGTCACATTGTCCGAGCACATGGCCAACTTCTTCCCCTAGCGAGAGACAAAGGAACATAGGAACAGGAGGAGGCCATTCAGCCCCTCGAGTCTCTTCTACCATTCTATCAGATCACGGCTGATCTGTACCTCAACTCCAATCACCCGCCTTTGCCCCGTACCCCCTCGACCCCCTGACCTGACAAACACCTCCACCTCAGTCTTGATAATGTGAATGGATCCACAGCCACAAACCACAGCCTTTTGGGGCAGGAAGTGGCGTTCTGCGATCGAGGGGAGTGATGTCAGCGTGACTTCCTGCCCGCACCCGTTCCCGGGTATAGCCCCGGGTGCGATTTGACCAGACCCAAAGCCACCGACTCACCTCATTGCCACACAGACTGATATTGAAGAAATGGAAGTATCTGGTGCCCCTGGAGGTGAAACTGGGCCCATTCATCAAGGAACCCACGGCACTGAACGAGCTGAAGTTAAAGATTAACGTCTGGTTCGCCTGACTGTGCACAAAACTGCAATCGTTGAAGCAGATGGAGTGGTCCTGACGAGAGGAGGGGAGGGGAGGGGAGGGAGTGGGGGGAGAAATAAAAGCGATGAGTCCTTTGAACCGAAATGGAAGTCTTGAACCCAGAGATGAGAGACCGACCGACTGAGATCCTCACATGTCTCCAACATCCACATAATAATAATAATAATCCTTGCATTCGATACAGCGCCTGAACACGGTCTTCGAGACGTCTCAAAGCGCTTCACAGGATACACTGTGTATTTTGTGGGCGACTTGAGTGATGGTACGACTTATACAGACCAGAGACTTACGCCAGGGGTTTTACTGAAATAATAATAATAATAATACGACTTCGACACGTACCTTATTACTGCGGCTGCCAGGCCCACAGGGAAGACAGGCCTCTTTGCCATAGGCCTGGTGAGGGGAGAGATAAGTGTTGGGTGGGCACTCGTGGCACTGACTGGTATCTTTCTGGATGTAGTGCCCGGTGGGGCAGGGCACGCAGGAGGACCCCTGGCGGTCATTACCCAGGGCACAGGGCCGACAGTATGAGGTGACCCCGCCCTCCACGTTGGTCACCGTGATGGAGTAGATCTTGGCTTTGTCGTTCAGGGACTTTCTGACCTGAAACGTTCAAGGGGTTTGGGGGGGAGGGGGTGATTGAGTGTCAGTCTGGCTCTCGTCTCCGGGTCAGAAGATTGTAGGTTCGAGCCCCCACAACAACAACAACAACATCAGCAACAACTTGCATTTATACAGAATGAATCAAGGCGTCTTACTCATAGGTGTATAGGAGATAATAATAACCCTCGCATTCAATACAGCGCCTTATCACGTCGTCGAGACGTCTCAAAGCGCTTCACAGGATACACCGTAAAGTGAATTGATTGTATTGTATTTTGTGGACAAAACGTGAGTAGTTACAATAATAATAATAATAATAATAATCCTTGCATTTGATATAGCGCCTTATAGCGTCTTCTGGGTCAGTAATGAGAGTCATTTGCAGTTTGTTGTGGATTCAAACTGAACCGGGTTTAATAAACGGAATTGGCCACTAGGTGACGGCATCCAACCAAAGAAGACCTTTAGAATTGCAACAGCGGAATTGGGAACCAGAGACTGGATATATTGGAAGGTCTCGTCAGCAGTTCCACACAGCAACGTCCCCACAAACAGCCGCGGAGTGAGCGACCAATTTTATCGGGGGGGAGAGGGGGGGGGAAATCTCATCCAGAACACTGGGAGAAAGAGAGCGAGAGAGAGAGAGCGAGAGAGAGAAACTCCCTTCTCTTTCCCCAGCAGACGGGATCTTTAACGTCCACCTGAACAGGAAGACGGGGAGTGAGGTTTTAATGTCACAACAGTCATAGATTTGAGTGACCTTTTTTTAATAAAATATTATTATTTATTTGTTAAAAGGGATTATTAACCCCTTGGAAAGCGATCTGCCAATCGACTAACAACCGGGTTCCTTCTTACTGCTGGGTATTCAGAGGCGTGTGTGTGTGTGTAAGGAAACTTGCCTAAGGTTTCGCCCGGGAATCGAACCCGGGTCCTCTCGCTTGCGATGAGAGCGCTCTAACCACTGAGCTACAGGGACTCTGGGTGTATGAATGGCGAATCCCTCCCACAAGGCATGGAACCCAGACCATCACAACAATATAGAGCGAGAGGGAGAGAGAGAGAGAGAGAGAGAGCTTACCGGGTGTGAGAGCGTTGACCTTTGGAAAGCCCACGTGTAAGTGACTGCGGCGTTTTGGGTTAAGATGTGAGAATAGGATTGTCTCTCTTTGTTCCCTTCCCACGACTCCACCACACTGGTGGACTTCCTGTTCAAATCCTGCAAACAAGGATCCCACAATCAGGGTATTGCAGGCACTAAAATAACAATAATAACCCTCACCTTCGACGCGGCGCCTTATCACGTCGTTGACACGTCTCAAAGCGCTTCACAGGATGCGCTGTAAAGTGAATTGACTGCGTATTTTGTGGGCGAAACGCGGCAGCCAATCGCGCACAGCAGCGTCCCCGCAAACAGCCGTGGGTTGAGTGACCGCATTTTATTTATTTTTATTTTTTTTAAAGTGATTATTATCCCCCTAAAGCGATCCGCCAATTGACTGGAGGGACGGGGCTGCCCGGGAATCGATCCTGGCTCCTCTCGTTTGCGAGGCGAGCTCTAACCACGACACTACGGGACTTCTATTTGGAAAAGGGAAGGGAGTTTCTCTCTCTCTCTCTCTCTGTCCATCGGTGTCCTGGCTGACAATCCCACCCCCCGTTCCCCCACCCGAATAAAATTCAGCTACGATAAAAATAAGATCGCAGCTGACTGGACACTTACGATCATGAAGTACAGTTGGCAGTCACTCTCACACTGCAACTCAAAGACAAACGTAATCCTCCCCATCTCCTGGCCAGTCACTTCTGCGGTTGTGATCGGCGGGCTGGACACAAGACACACAGGTGAGAAGGCTATAATGTGGGATTTCTCTTCTCCCCCCCCCCCACCCCCCCGAAACCCCTCCCTTCCTTCAGTGCCCCCCCCACCCCCCCAACAACGCCACCCAGCCTCAGAAAACCTTTGCTCTATCAGTTGCTCTCCCTCCTCTCAAACGATGCCGACAACAACATTTACAGCGCCTTTCCTGTTGGGAGGACGTCTCAAAGCGCGTGACAGAATATATTATCAAGTGGATTGACCGTGTATTTTGGGGGTGAAACGCAGCAGCCAATTTATGCACGGGGCATTGGTATGTGGGGCATTGGCTTGTGGGGCATTGGCTTGTGGGGCATTGGCTTGTGGGGCATTGGCTTGTGGGGCATTGGCTTGTGGGGCATTGGCTTGTGGGGCATTGGCTTGTGGGGCATTGGTTTGCCTACAAAATACAGTCACTTATACTTACAGTAAAAGTTTTTTTTTGGGGGGGGGAACGTTTCGATGGTTTAGGCGCTGTATTAAATGCAGGAATTATTATGACTAACAGGAAATGCGTCGCGAAACGCGGCAGATTTCACCCCAATATTCTTGGCCAGAACTCATCGAACCTGAATCCGGGGATGTGAAGGTTTAGGATGAGGTAGTCATTATCCGAGCCTCCAACTCCGCTGTGTATGTGATCTCTGGCCACTTCCCAGCCTGGCAGAGAGAGAGAGAGAGAGAGAGAGAGGAGACAAGCACAACAGAGCAATGATGTACAGGGTGTTCACAAAGTCCTGTTAACCCCCATGTTGGGGGGTGGGGGAGGGGGGGGGATGGGTGGTTTCTTACAGTGAATCTGTATTTGCTGTTGCAGACTATTGGGGTGCAACAACATCTGATACCAGTAACTTCCTCTCCGCTCACTCCGTCCATTCCGTGTCACGGAAGATGTCGCAATGAACGCTGCGATGGATCTGATCTGCCATGGAAATGTTGGCGCGCGCACACACACACACCCACACACACTCACTCACACACACACACACTCACTCACACACACACACCCACACACACTCACTCACACACCCACCCACCCACACACACACACCCACACACACACACACACACACACTCACTCACACACACACTCACTCACACACCCACACACACTCACTCACACACACTCACTCACACACACACCCACACACACTCACTCACTCACACACACACACCCACGCACACAGCTAACAATAAGAAACAGCCTTTCACGTCAGGAGGACGTCCCAAAGCGCTGTTAGGACACTTGTAACCAAATACAATCAAGTAACTTCTACATACAATCATCATCATCATCATTTCTGGACCATTCTCCCTCTTGTCCCCCCTTCCTTAGCCCTCTCTCCCCCCCCCCCCCCCCCCCACCCCCACAGACGCTTACCGTTCATCCCGTCGCATTTTGAGTTCCCGACGTTGAAACACGACGACTTCATGTTGTCGGGCAGCGTGTTCCACCATTTGTAGTCGTAGCCCAGCACTGGCTCCGTTCCCGCCGGGCAGGGTCTGCACTCTGACGTGAGACACAAGAGAAATTAACGCCAAGGCCTCCCCCTCCCTCGAGGCATCACATCACCCCGATGGTGGCTGAAGCAGATAGTGTGGCGCCCTTCACGTGGAGTACCGTCCCGTAGCGCTTAAAGGACAATAGTGACCAGCCATGATCTAATAGAATGCCAGAACAGACTCGAGGGGCTGAATGGCCTCCTCCTGTGCCTATGACACACCATCCCTGTGATTCCGACCTCACCACTGATTCCGTCTCCGTGACTACACCACCATCCATTCTGCCTCCATGGGACAACCCCACCCTTCATCCCCGTCTCCATGACAACCCCACCCTTCATCCCCGTCTCCATGACAACCCCACCCTTCATCCCCATCTCCATGACAGCTCCATCCCCACGACAATCTCACCGTTCATTCCGTCTGAGAAGGTGCCATGCGGGCAGGGGGCACAGGTGGAGGTGTCGTTGTTGTGGAAGCCGGGATTGCAGGGGGGGCAAGGCTTCTTCTCCCCCGAGGGGGGCAGTTGAATGGCTTTCTTCACGTCCTCTCTGCACAGTTTAGGCATGATCCACTTGTACATTATCTGGGTCTGCCAACACACAAGCCAAGACATTGCCAATGCATCTCAAACCTTCTCCCAACACACTCGATAATAATAATAATCCTTGCATTTGATACAGTGCTTTTCACGTCTTCCAGACGTCTTCAAAGCGCTTCACAGAATATGCTGTCAAGTGAACTGACTGTATATTTGTGGGCGAAACGCGGCAGCCAAATTGCACACAGCAGCGTCCCCACAAACAGTCATGGATTGAAATCACCAATTTTATTTTTTTTGAGGGATCATTATCAGACTTCGCCCTGCCTGGAATTGAACCCAGGTCTCTCGCTTACAAGGCAAGTGCTCTAACCACTGAGCTACAGGACTCCACAATAATCCATTGATATTAACAGTGAGAACCTCTATATAGTCTGATATTAACAGTGAGAACCTCTATATAGTCTAATATTAACAGTGAGAACCTCTATATAGTCTGATATTAACAGTGAGAACCTCTACATGGTCCGATATTAAGGGTGAGAACCTCTATATAGTCTGATGTTAACAGTGAGAACCTCTATATAGTCTGACATTAACAGTGAGAACCTCTATATAGTCTGATATTAACAATGAGAACCTCTATATAGTTTGATATTAACAATGAGAGCCTCTATATAGTCTGACATTAACAATGAGAGCCTCTATATAGTCTGATATTAACAGTGACACCTCTATATAGTCTGATATTAACAGTGAGAACCTCTATATAGTCTGATATTAACAGTGAGAACCTCTATATAGTCTGATATTAACAGTGAGAACCTCTATATAGTCTGATATTAACAGTGAACACCTCTATATAGTCTGATATTAACAGTGAGAACCTCTATATAGTCTGATATTAACAGTGACACCTTTATATAGTCTGATATTAACAGTGACACCTCTATATAGTCTGATATTAACAATGACACCTCTATATATATAGTCTGATATTAAAAGTGACACATCTATATCGTCTGATATTAACGGTGACGTCTCTCACTCCCTTGGTCTCGCTCCCTCCCTTCCCATTTTCAGTTCTCTGCTGAAGACCTTCCTTTTCGACCGCGCCTTTGGTCACCTTCCCCACCCCATCCCTCCCCCTGGCTCGGCCCCGGGACCCGCTACTGTAAAGCGCTCTGAGACACCATCCGGCGTGGAGGGCACTATATAAATCCAAGTTGTTGTTGTTATTAAAGGTGAGAACCTCTACATGTCTGATATTAGCAGTGAGAACCTCTATATAGCCTGATAATAATAATAATAATCCCTGCATTTGATATAGCGCTTTTCACGTCTTCTCGACGTCTCAAAGCGCTTCACAGAATATACTGGAAAGTGAATTGACCGTATATTTGTGGGGCAGCCAATTGTGCACAGCAATGTCCCACAAACAGTCCCACGATTCAAGATGACCAATTTATTATTGTGCTTTGTTTTGGAGGGATTGTTATTAGGCGTGTGGAGTAAGGAAACTTGCCCAAGGTGTCGCCCTGTCTGGAATTGAACGCAGGTGTCTCACTTGCAATGCGAGTGCTCTAATCGCTGAGCTACCGGACTCCTAATCATTAACTCTTAAATCTTAACATTAACATGATATTAACTCAAAGTTCAGGATGTGTTTACTCCTCTTCCCAGTAGGTTGCCATATCAGCCTTGATAGGGGGTGTAGGGGGGTTGGGGGATATGGCCACAATCATGGCCCAAATACGTCCACATTAGCTTAGTCACTCGGGCTCTCACCCCCCACTCCTGAGTCAGAAGTTTGCAGGTTCAAGCCCCCGCCCCACGTGAGGACTTTGAACCCAACACATTCTAGACGGACGCTTCGATGCAGCGTTGGATTTTTTGGGGGTGTGGTGGGTGGGGGGGGGGGTTGGCAGCCGGTTGTCTGACGTGAGATTTGAACCCAAAACCTTCTGACTCAGAGGCGAGAGAGAGGGAGAGCAACCATTGAGCCAAGCTGACACGCACATACACACACCCATAACATCTGCCTGAAGAGGTACAGAAGGGGAGTGAGGTTTAAGAGCTGGGAGGGGGGGGTGGTGGGCGCGGGGAATGGTGATGGGGGGGGGAATTGTGAACCCACAACCGTATGACCTAGAGACAGGCGCTCAACTGAGCCACAGGTTGACGCAGGTAAACGGAGGTCAAAAAAAAGCAGTCCCGACCTTTCTTTCCTGGTCACATGGAGTATGGATTTGAAAGTAGTCATCCTTCGTGCATGGCGGGCGGCTCTTGCACACACTCGATCCTTCCTCTGAAAGTCAACAGAGTAAATAGTCGCCAGGGAAACAGTGTAAATAGGACACACACACATATATACACATATACACACATACATACACAGCCCTACCTGAAAACTGTTGAACAAGGTTGCACGTCTGGCAGGAGCTGGCACCTCTCTGGGAGAAGGTGTTCCTGGGGCAGAGCTGACAGACCGTGGAGCCGGCTGCTGGGCTGAAGGTGCCGGGTTTGCACTGAAAGCACTCAGAGGTGTAGGCCACCCCTGGATCACGAGAGAGAGAGAAAGAGAGAGACCTTGGTCAAAGAGATCTCCAGTCCAGAACCAACCAAGATTGGAGTCCCGTAGCTCAGTAGTCAGAGCGCTCGCCTCACAAGCGAGTGAGAGGACCTGGGTTCGATTCCCGGGCGGTGCAGGGCCTTAGGCAACTTTCTTTACTCCACATGCCTCTGTTTACCAGCAGTAAACAGGAACCCGGTTGGTAGTCGATTGGTGGATCGCTTTCCAGGGAGTAATAACCCCTCAAAGAAAAAGTTGGTCACTCAATCCACGACGCTGCTGTGCGCAATTGGCTGCCGCGTTTCACCCACAAAATACACCGTCCCTACACTTTACAGTATATTTTGTGAAGCGCTTTGATACGTCTCAACGACGTGATCAGGCACTGTATCAAATGCCAGGATCAATATTATTATCAACGTCAAACCCTACCTTCGATGGAGATGCTCTTCAGAAGCACTGGTTTGACTATCTTGTTGCCGAGCAGGATTCCTGTGGTTCTCCAGTAAAGCACATTGGTGCCGGTCTTCAGATTTACCTGCGAGAAACGCACACAAACTCAGAGGTAAAGCTTGCGGCAATTGGTACTCAACGCTGGGCGTTTGTTTTTTGGTGGGGGTGGGGGTGGTGGGGTTTGTGGGTCAGCCGGGGGTGTCTGACACGTGCGGAAACTCATCACCATGCATCCCAGCTCCGCGTGGGAACCCCCACAGATAGAACCAGCGAGAGGCAAAGCTCACCGAATGACTCTTCCATTCCCCGCTGTCTGTCAGGCTCATCCACTTCTGCTCCGCAGCTTCCGTGTCTTGGCACTGATCGTTTTGTACCTGGGGGCAAAGGACTTACAGTTAATAGGGGGAAAAATAACCTAATCACTGGTATTATAATAACCCTTAATTCTTCTTCTTATTATTAACCCTTAATCCACTTTTTCCCAATAACATTAAAATCTATGTTATTATTATATTATATATACACACATTTTATATATATGTATATATATATTGAGCCTTACATTTGGTCATAGTGCCCTTCACATCGGGAGGGCACCCCAGAGTGCTTCGCAGGATTCACTATAAATAGTAATAATCCTTGCAAAAGATATTATTACCACCCACACCCCCCCCCCACCCCCTATGGAAAGCGACCTGCCACTAAATCCTTTTTGTTTTAATTATTATGAATATTATTATAAGATAAATAAATGTTGTCAGTAGGAAAGTGCAGTGCAGTGCAGTGACTGTGCGCTCTGCAGGCGAAACGCTACGTAATAGTGAGAATAAGACTCACAAAAAACTCAAAGAATATGCTGTTATCCAGGTACTGATAGTCGAAGATGATGTTGCCACTTTTTTTCAGGTGAACGGAGTAGATGAGGGACACTGTGCAGTCGTCCCTGTTGGAGGCGATGTAACTGCCGTGTGGAACCCACCTGGACCTGAAACACACAGCGTTTGGTTACAGATAAGCGTTTGTTCGTTCGTTCGTTCAAAACACACCTGCGGAGTTCAGCCCAGTTGGGAAACACGAGCGGAACATCTTGACGTGAAACTAATACCGACGGTAATTCTTGCATTTGATGCGGAATCGCGTAGTCTCGGATGACGCTCCCTGCAGTGTTCGGGGGGTGGGGCGGGTGGGTGGAGGGAGGGGGAATGGGGGAGGTGGGAGGGGGAGTGTGTGTCGGAGGTGCCGTCCTTCGGATGAGACGTTAAACCTCGCTCCCCGTCTGCCTGTTCAGGTGGACGTTAAGGATCACGCGGCGCTTTTCGTAAAAGAGAACTCATCACTTACAGGCTACAGTTGTTGCTGGGGACGCCCTCGTTAACCTCGTCCACGAAGGTGGAGATGGTGGAGAAGCCCGGGGGCAACTGATCCCACTCGTCAAACCTGATGCCACTGCCCAGTGAGTAACTCCCCGAGGAGCACTTGGCACAGGACTGGGAGGCGATCTCCAGGTACTCGCCCGCCCCGCAGGAAAACGCTGCGAAGACAAGAGAAGCGCACGAGTCGTTGCATCGTTCGTGGAGCCCCGTAAGGGCGCGCTGGGCCCCCGCAAGAGAGAGAGGGAGAGAGAGAGCGCCAGCGAGAGGACCGGGTTCGATTCCCGGCTGGTGGGAAACCTTAGGCAAGTTTCCTTACGCCACGCACACACACACACACAGCACACGCAACACGCCACACACACGCACGCCGCACGCCATGTTGACCTAGCTGTAAGCAGGTTGTTAGTGGATTGGTGGATCGCTTTCCAGGAGGTAATAATCCCTTTTAAAAAATAATAATAAGTGACTCAATCCGCGGCTGATTGTGTGCAATTGGTTTCCCTGTTTCGCCCACACAGTACACAGTCAATCACTTCACAGTGTATTCTCTGACACGGTTTGAGACGTCTCGCCGAAGTGATAAGGCCCTGTATTAAATGCAAGGATTATTGTTAATAATCACCTCTCCTACAGAACTTGTTACAAACTGCCCCCTATTTAAGGCGCCAAACACACGTTATGATTAACCCGCCAGCAAATGTGTTGTGATCCGGATCTGTCTGTGCAAAAACTCTGCCAAATGGCGCTCAGGGAAGGTCCTTGTGAGTAGTTTTTAAAAAAAAGGGGAGTGTGGGGTGAGTCAAGTTCCCAGCCCTGCCCTTGTGATGGACAGAATCCAGTTAAACATACACCAGGAGCAGACAGACACACGCACACAGACAACAGGTAGAGAAAGAAAAAAAAGGCACTCTCATTAATAATAATCCTTGTATTTGATATCCCGTCTTCGAGACGGCTCGAAGCCCTTCACGGGACACACTGCAAAGTGAATTCGCTGTGTATTTTGTGAGCTGAACGCGGCCGCCAATTGCGCGCAGCAGAGTCCCCACTAACAGCCTTGAAGCGAGCGGACAATTTTATTTGAGGGATTGTCGGGCAGGACACCGGGAGAGAGAGAGAGAGAGAGAGAGAGAGAGAAACTCCCTTCTCTTTTCGAATAGAGCCGCGGGATCTTTAACGTCCACCTGAACAGACGCAGACGGGGAGTGAGGTTTAACGGCTCCTCCGAAGGACGGCGTCTCCGACAATGCGACACCCCCCACTCCCCCCCCAGTGCTGCACTGGAGCATCAGCTTAGACTGTGTGATTCCAAGCCCTGACAGTGGGGCCTTGAACCCACAACCTTCTGACTCAGAGACGAGAGAGAGAGAGCCAGGCTGACCCTCAAACCGTCAAGGTAATAACAACACCTGAACAGGCGCGGACCAAGCCCTCAGTTTAACGTCTCCTCCGAGGGGACGGGAGGAGTTAGTGACTGTGTGTTTCGCAGGCGGGAGGACGGGAAGAGACTCACAGCATTCTTTGCCTCGTATGGGGTCGGGCAGCCCAGTGCACTGTCCGGGAGAGTTGGGAACGGCCACCCGCCATCGGGAGCCACTTCTGTCACATTCCGTGTACTCGAAGTGATACTGCGACTGTGGGAGAAGATACAAGAGAAGCTCTTGTTAACTCTGCGCCGCAGCCAGGTTTGGCAACCAAAAATAGTGATAATAATAATAATAATAATACTACTTCTACAAGATCAGCCTTGACATTGACAACGCTGTTTGTTTTTAAAACCGCAATGAAGCCAGACAACAACAAGCTAAGAATCACATTAATAATAATAATAATCCTTGTATTTGAGACATGAGTCTCATCACATCCTCGAGACGTCTCAAAGCGCTTCGCAGGACGCACTGTAAAGTGCGGCGGCTGTGCATTTTGTGGGTGAAACACGGCAGCCATTTGCACACAGCAGCGTCCCCACAAACAGCCGTGGATTGAGTGAACACCCCCCCACCCCCTTCCCAACGCACACGCCACGCCTTGGCTCTTGCCAACCTGCACTCTCGGAGTTACGGAAGCAGGAAGCGTCCCTCCGGGGAGAGAGAGAGAGAGTGCACTCCATTCCGACAATGCGCACTCTCTCCCTGGAGGGATGCACTCTGCTCCCCTAATTCAAGGGTGTATTAGGCGCAGGATGGCCAGAGGTAAATTATTTGCCAGAAATAAAACACACCGAGTTGCCACACTCTGCACCAAATCTCTGTGAGCGCTTGTAGGACATCTGATTTGCAGTGTGAAAGGAAAGCGAGGAAACACTTTCTAAACAAATCAAAAATCTTTTGTATTGACTTCCTGATTTAGGATTGCTTATTCAGTGTGTACGTGTGTGTGTGTGTGTGTGTGTGTGTGTGTGTGTTTGTGGGGGCGGTGGGGGAGAGAATAAATTTCCACCTCCCTGCCCCATTGAAAAATACACTTCTTATGCACATAAATATATATGTATTTATATACACACACACACAGAGACACTCACGCAGACAAAGAGACACACACAGACAGATACAGAGACACACATGGACAAACACACACACACATGGACACACACACACACACACACACACACACAGAGTTAAGTGATTGATTTACGCATTTCCTCCAAGTTGGCATTTTTAATCAGCCTGAGGGAGTTTCCAAGAAAATAATAATGTCAATGGGGATGAGCCATCTTTTGGATGCGAGCCAGACTAAAATGTCCACACGCTGACATTCCCACCCACACCCCAATGCTCCGATGGAAAACCCACTCCCGTAAAACCTCAGCTACGATGCAAAGGGGATCAGGGGCTATAACCACAGCCCGGGCTGACCTGCCGGCGGAGCTCTGGGGGTGGGGAGTGGGGGGGGAAAGCAGTGCTTTGTCAGAGGTGCCGTGCTTCAGAGGACACACTAAACCGTGCTTTTGTGTGTGAGGCCTGGGGGGGGGGGGGGGGGCGAGTGCCTGTGTGAGTGACTGTGGGAGGGAGTGAGCGCCTATTGAGATTGAGTGTGTTAAAAATCCCCGGTCACTCTTCATAAAGGGAAGGGATATTTCTCCTGACATCCAACCTAACAATCTCCACTAACAACGGCCGACTCCTGTTCCTATTCTCCCGAAGCCCTTTTATTTTGCTGTAAAGTTTCTTTTAAGAATCCCCCCCCCCCCCAAAAAAAAAAACAGCTTCAAAGTTGAAGCTCAAGTCAACAATTTGCCAAATTCTGGATGTCCAAAATGTGACGTAAATAAATTAAATCCAGACGGGGGTGAAATGCCTTCCTTCGCCCACCACCCCTATGGCCTCCAAGTCTGAAGTGCTAGTCATAACGAGAGCTTTAAATGGATCCGGGATAAAAAAAACTGGGTCAAACTGAAGCCTTGTCCTTGTGTGGTGACTGCGATAAAGTCAAAACACCCGGTATCAGTGTCTCCGAGAGAGAAAAAAGGAGACGATACACAGACTCGTGGCTTGTCTCCGCACGTCAGAGACAAATACCCCAATTTGACGTAGTGCAGGGGTTAGAGCACTCGCCTCACAAGCGAGAGGACCCAGGTTCCATGAAACCTTAGGCAATCGTCCTTACCCCATCGGTCGATTGGAGGGTCGCTTTCCGGGGGCAATAATCCCTTCCAAATTTTGGGGTTTGTTTAAATTAGTCACTCAACTTGTGGGGGACGCTGCTGTGCACAACTGACTGCCGCATTTCGCCCACAACACACAGTCAGTTCACTTCACAGTATATCTTGTGAAGCGCTTTGAGACGTCTCGACAACATGATAAGGCGCTGTGTCAAATGCCAGGAGGAGGATTATTATTATTATTTCTGTGCAATTAAAAGCTTTTGAGAAATTGTGAGCTGCTGGATAGACATTGGTTTATTTTGTCCAGCAAATTCTTTGGTTCTTATTATCTTGGGAGGCATAAAATGTAAAATCGATAGGGGAAAGGTGAGGTACCGATCAGCCATGATCCGACAGAATGGAGGAACGGGCTCGAGGGGCTGAATGGCCTCCTCCTGTTCCTATGTAAGAACGTCAACAGCAGAGCCAATAGAGAGATAAGGAGCTTAACCTCTGCACACAGTGGGGGGGTGGGGGGAAGCGAGATTGTTCCAAACTTGTTTGACTTTGAAAATTCACTTTTTGTTCGGGGTTTTTAAATAAAGAAACTTAAATTTTTTTCTTTAGAGAGACAAACCGGTTGAGAAACGCTTCTCTCTCTCCGCCAATTTCTCCACCTGCACGAGGTATGTATGCGGACGCCCTTTCCTTAACACCACAGCCAATATTCCACCTGTACCAGGCGCCCGATCTGCAACCTCGCCCACGCAGCCGTTTACGGGCGTGTCAGCCTCACGCCGGACACCGAGCCTTGTCGCGTCTTCAAGACGCCTCGGAGCGCTTCGCAGAATCTCGCGTCGATTGGCTTCGCGAGGAAACCCGCCCCCAATTGTTTCGCCCCCCCCGACCTGCCCGGGAATCGAACCCCACTCGCGAAGCGAGTGCTCTAACCGCCGGATTCCCCACGGCCATCAAAAGACAGAATTAAAACAAAATCGAGGGGAAAAGGTGGGGTTGGGGTGAAAAAAATATATAGAGATTCGAGTCAAAATGGAAGAAAACACAAGGTTTTCACCAAAAAGCAAGATTTTTTGTGTTTGTTTGTGTTGGCACCTGCTCTTTTATTTTAAAACCTCGCATTGCTATTGACGCGATCGCTTGTCATTTACACTGACACCATTAAATCGCGAGATCACAACAATGCAAATACGGGCTCTGGCCTCGAGCCAGGTTTGCCGATTGTCACAAAGGCAAAGAGATTTCACCGTTGCCTTGGGAATACGGACGCAGAGAGTCTATTCCGCCTCTCACTCAACATGATCTCCGTCTGCACAAGTCAACTCACGGCCTCTTTCCTCTCTCTCTCTCTCTCTCAACTCTGGGTCAAACATCGTTGTCTCGAGATAATGTTAATATGCGTTTGATGCAGCGCCTCATCGGGTCGTTGAGACGTCTCAAGGCGCTTCACGCGATATTACTGTCAGGTCGAGTGACTGTGTATTTTGTGGGCAGGTAGTCGCGCACACCAGAGTCCCACAAACAGTCCGGATTGAGTGACCAAATTATTATTATTATTATTTTATTTTGAAGGGCTTATTACCTCCAGAAAAGCGATCCGCCGATCGACTAACAACCAGGTTTCTACTTGCTGCTGGTAAACGAGGCGTGTGTGTGTGTGTGTGTGGAGTAAGGAAACTTGCCTAAGGTTTCATCCTGCCCGGGAATCGAACCCGGGTCCTCTCGCTTGCGAGGCGAGTGCTCTCTCCCCTGAGCTACAGGACTTTAGATCTAAGGTTTTATTTGATGCGGGAACACGCTCTGTTTGTTCCTTTGTGTGCGGAGAGCTGACGTTAGTGACGATAAGCCTGGAGGAACAAACCTTTCTGCAGATTTTCCATGTGAATTAGAGAGTTTGTTTAGTCATCCAAGTCTTTGAACTCCAGAAATGCCAATATCGTTTTTTCTTAACCAAACAAAGGCTCCACCTGATTAACAAACACCGGCTCCCAATATCCGTTTGTTGTTTTTAAATGTAAAAAAAAAATCAGGTTTACAGATCGCAGTAGATCGCAGTTGAATTAGTTACACTGGAATCCTAGTTACACATTCACAGCTCTGGAGAGATTTGTGGAATCCTGTAGCGCAGTAGTTAGCGAGAGGACTCATGTTTGATTCCCCGGGCAGCGTGAAACCTCAGGCAAGTTTCCTTACTGATTCCACACACCTCTGTTACCCACAGTAATAAGAACCCAGTTATTAGTCAATTGGTGGATCGCTTTCTGGGGGTAATGATCCCTTCAAACATATTAAAGCATATTAAAGTTTTAATAAAGAATACTAATTCGTACATTTGATACAGCGCCTCTTTATGTCGGTGAGACGTCTCAAAGCACGTCACAGAATCGGCAGCCAATTGCGCACAGCAGCGTCCCCCACAAACAGCTGTGGTTTGAAGTGACAACTTTATTATTATCATCAACAATTTGCATGGGAAGCGGCCAGAATAGTGGCACACGGTGATTTAAGTGACAGAGACTAGTTAAGCCAGTGTCGTGTTATCAGGAGATTGACGTACTGTAGGGTCCTGTGTCTGTCAAATTTCCCATGGTGAGGGTAGAACGTACCCGCTCTGCAGTTAGGAGTTTCACAGCAGTTTGCTTCCTGGAATATTATAGGAACTTAACTTGGCTTATGCATGTCTTGTCCTGTGTAACCACCTTCCTAAAGATTAACTTTCCTGAGCGAGACTGTATCTCAAGCCCAAAACGACATTTTAAGGATGACCGAAGGTGCGGTCGAAGAGAAGGGTCTTGTGACAGGTCTTGAAGGAGGCGAGGGTGGGGGGGAGCCGGGGAAACGACTGTGGGATGGAGTTCCAGAGGGTGGGGGTCAGAAAGGGTGAAGGCTCGACCAGCGATGGTGGGGTGGACGGGGCGGGGGCAATGTCTTAGAGGTGCACAAAGTTTTAAATGGGGTTAGAAAAAGCAAACCCCGGAACAATACATTCGGATGCACTGAGACGACCAGGACAAGAGGACAGGGGTTTAGAGTTGCAAAGGGTTAATTGCAGGACGGAAACCAGGAAGTGTTTCTTTGCCCAGAAGGTAATCAACCCCAGAGGGTGACCAGGAAATGTGGTTGAGGGCAGGACGCTGGGGCTCGATTAAAAAGCAGCTCAATGCTGTGTTGGGAGGATGGTGGGGGATTTATATAGACTGGGGGGCTTGTCGGCCAGGACTCCGAGAGAGAGAGAGAGAGAGAGAGAAACTCCCTTCTCTTTACGAACAGCCCCGCGGGATCTTTAACGTCCACCTGAACAGACACAGACGGGGAGTGAGGTTTAACGTCTCCTCCGAAGGACGGGGTCTCCGACAATGCGACACCCCCCCCCCCCCACCCCCACCCCAGCGCTGCATTGGGGCGTCAGCTTAGGCTGTGTGATTCCGAGTCATGACGTGGGAGCTTGAACCCACAACCTTCTGACTCAGAGGCTAGAGAGAGAGAGAGAGAGAGTGGGAGAGAGAGCTACCGACGGAGCCAGGCTGACACACGCCTTTTTCTTAAAAGCTTGCAGAAAGGTGGCTTCCAAATTAGGGCTGCGAATTCAAGAATTTGTTGCCGGGAAATACAAATTAAAAACCCGCTCTGTATTAAACTTCTACCTAAAAAGAAATGTTTGAATTGATTCCATTTGCAACACACGCAGACGCACACACACACACACACGCGTCTTTAAATTATTTAAAGTGCGCACACACTTAAATACAATACACTGGCCGTGTTTACAGGTGAGCATTATCCCTTCGAAAGTTTCCATACACGAGATAAGTGTCAGTACACGCGTACGCACGCTACATACATGAACACCAACGCGCGCGCGCACACACACACACACGTAGAAAAATCTACACACGCGCACACGTACATACATGCGCACACACACACACACATGCACACAAATCTGCATACACACCGGCACACACCCACATGTACACACCTGCACACATACACAGAGTAATTGTAGCCTTTCTCTGCCCTTATACAGGAAGGAAATGTAGTATAGTCCTAAATGGTGTACTCTGTCCAGCGCCTTGGGACATCCTCCCGGCGTGAAAGGCGCTATACAAATGTGTATGTTGTGCTGAATATATTTTACTAACATTCTCTTTGGGGATAAATAAATAAAAGCTGAAGCCAACTGTCAACAGCAGCAGAATTACATCCCACCCCCACCCCCTTTCTTTCTCTCTCTGCTCAATCCATCTCAACACAGACACCGACTGCATTGGCTGAAATGCGAGAGAAATGCGATTGGACATTTCCGATTATTTTCCCCCCATTGGCATTTCATTTGCACCCACAAAATACAGTCACATCACTTTACAATACATCCTGTGAAGCGCTTTGAGACGTCTCAGCGACAGGATAAAACGCTGTATCAAAAATGCAAGGATTGTTATTATTATGGGGAGGGGAGAGAAAAAGGAGGAAATTGATATAGCAAAATTGTTTGCACTTGTAGTGTATTTCTGGCAAATGTACAGAATTTATCATATTTTTGGGGGAAAAATATATATATATACACACACAGTACACACACAGTTAAAATAAAATGGTCACATGTCCATTCCAAAGATTTTTTAAGAAAAATAATCACGTTACACACTGTCCAAATGTTTATATATTTTATATATATCTATATATAATATAATATATAAAGAAAAAATGATGTACAGTTGCATGGCACCTTCAAAAAAAAATGAAACACAGCCAACTTGTGGTGTGGGGTAAATGGGAAGCAAATTTGCAATGCAAATTTAACAATCCTGCCTGGATTGTTAATTATATAACTATTTTTTTCAAAAAAGACAAACAAACAGGTGCAACTGTACACCTCTCAGAGAAAAATAAAGGCACAGGGAGATGCAGCATTTGGATAAATGGGAAAAAACAAAGCACATTAGCACCCAGTTTAGATTTATTTTTGGCTAGGCAGGGTGTAATGTGATTTTTTTTATATATAGAGAGAGAGAGAGAGAGAATTTTATGCCTTGCTTTGAGATGGAGGTACATATATTCTCTGACAACACACACACACACACACACATGCACTTATTTGAGCTGTCTGTCAACCTTAAAAAAAACACATAAAATAACAAATGCAATTACAATAAAGTGGTTGTCTTATTGAAAACGATGATTTTTTTCTCTCTCTCTCTCTCTCTCTAAAGAGAAACCAATCCATTCTCAGCTCTCCTCTCTCTCTCTCCCTCTCTCCCTATCTGTGGGAGGAGGGGAGGGGGAGAATTTGCTCTTTTTAAATATAAAAAAAGAAAGCGAACCAAAGGAAATAAAAACGATATAATATAATAATACAAAAAATAATAATAATAATAATAATGCTGCTATTTCTTTGCAAGCCTCATTCATCCACTCACTCACTCACTCACTCACCTCATTGCAAGGAGGATGCTCTGCCAGAGCCAACACCAGAGACTGGAGAGAGACACAGATTAAACCCCAGGCAGCCCAGACTCTCATTGCTTCCCAGATTAATATTTATTCCCAGCAGATGCTTCCAATGTATTGCCTTTCTTTTTCCACCCTTGGCAAATGCCTTCCCCTGCTCCCTCCCTGGACTGGAAAACCCTTCCACTGTTTTGTTTCTCTCCCCCCCCCTCCCCCCTCTCACCCCCTTCCCCACTTTCCTCTATTGCCTGCAAACCCTAATGACTCCCTTTAAATCCTTCCATCTGCTTCCTTTCTCCAGGACTGCGTGTCCTCACATCGAGCTGACGCGTCTGTGTGTGTGTGTGTGTATGTGTGTGAGTGTTATTTCCTTCAATGGGGAGGGGTTGGTTATAATAAGGCTCTTTTCTTATTCATCCATTGCCTCTAAACACACACACACACACACCACACCACACCACCACCACCACACTCATTCATAACAATTTGCATTTAAATAATTATAATCATAATAATGATGATGATGATGATGGTCTTTGCAGTTGAGACGGCGCCTTATCACGTCGTCGAGACGTCTCAAAGCGCTCCACCGGGACGTTCTGCCAAGTGGATTGGCCGTGGGTCTTTTGCGGTGCGATCTGGTGGGCAGACCAGCGTCTCGCTAACGGCCGTGGATTGAGTGGCCCGAGTCGTTATTCTAGTTTGAAGGTGTTATTACCGCCCGGAAGGCGATCCGCCAATCGACTAACAACCGGGTTCCTACTGACTGCCGGTAAACGGGTGTGGAGTCAGGAAACTTGCCCGAGGTTTCGCCCCGCCCGCCCGGGAATCAAACCCGGGTCCTCTCGCTTGCGAGGCGAGGGCTCTAACCACTGAGCTACAGGACTCCATTTATTAACTGTAGCGCCCTTCACGCAGGGAAGGTCTCTGAGTACTTAACAGCCTGACGCCAAGCCGGGAGGAGGAGAGAGGAAGTAACTGTAAGCATGATCGATCGAAGAGGAAGATGTCCACCACAGTTTTGTTTGAGAAATGGGGTGGATGTAATGCAGGTCCCTCCACTGCAGCTCGGCGGGGGGGGGGCGGGGAGGAAGATACGGTGACACCTTCACTCTGCCCGGAGGAATCCATTTTCATCGGAGAAGCGGACAAGGAAGAGATCAATCAGAGCTGAGCAGCTGCTTCCTTTCTCTCGTTGGAGAAGCTTTAGGTTTGTTTGCTCCGGGTCTCAGCAACAAATCATCAACCAATTCCAACAGTAAGTGAGCCAGGCCAACTCAGGTTCATTTGTGTGTACAACAACAACTTGCGCCCTTCACACGGGGTAGCGTCTCGAAGAGCGTGAGCCGAGTGTTTGGCAATACATGCCATTTGGATTATAATGGGTTCCCCAAGCTATCATCGCGAGGTCAGTAGTGCTCTCTCTCGCTCTCTCTCTCTCTCTCACGCCTCTGAGGCAGAAGGTTGTGGGTTCAAGCCCCCCCACGTCGGGGACTTTATGTTCACAGTCCTGGCAATACGCTGCCAAGTAAAGTGGTGGAAGGCAGAATCCATTGTGGGTTTCAAGAGGGAAGCAGACAGCTATATGAAGGATAGAGGCTTGAATGAGGTGGGGATGAGGGCAGTGCAGTGGAACTGAATGAACAGCTTGCTCTGAGAGCTGGTGCAGACTCCATGGGCTGAATGGCCTCCTTCTACACGATAAATTTCTATGGTTTTATGACTCTCCAGTGCAGTGCTGGGGGAAGCACTGAACTGGCAGAGATCGGTTGAGGTCATGAAATCGGTTCAGTTGAAGAAGCCCTTCGGCCAATCTGATCTCATCCCTCCAGAAACCCACCCTTGCCATCAGCCCTCATCACAGCATCGAGCTGTTTATTAAATGAGTCTCAGTGTCCTGACCTCAACCACACTTCCTGGCAACCCAGTTCCAGGCACGGATTACCCTCTGGGTAAAGAAACACTTCCTGGTGTCTTATGCAATATCTGGGTGGCTGCCAACACAATATGTGAACTGCATTGCGCTCAAGTGAACTCAGTTTTCCCTGTGCTTTAAATAACCTTGTGCGTACACACATTGAGTTCAGAGTTCTGTTCACCATCTTATCCCAGCATCAAGTCATCTTAAAGTGCTTTACCAGTTCTACTTTCTTTTTGAAAATCCCGCAAGGCAGTCTTTATGGTGCTATGGTTTGCCAATAAGTCATCATCAATAAATTTCAATCATATTTGAACCCGCCTGCCACTGGGTCTCGATTGAGGCTGCCAAACATGTTTGTTGTTCTACAAGTCAAGTGTTATATCAATAATAATAATAATCCTTGCATTTGATACATTGCCTTATTACGTTGTTGAGACGTCTCAAAGCGCTTCACAGGATATACTGTAAAGTGAATTGACTGTATATTTTGTGGGTGATTGCACACAGAAGGATTGAGTGACCAAATCCGCCAAATGAGGGATTATTACTCCCGGAAAGTTATCCACTAATCGACTAACAACTGAGTTCCCACTTACTGCTAGGTAAACAGAGGCACGTGGAATAAGGAAACTCACCTAAGGTTTCTCCCCACCCAGGAATTAACATCCATTTATATGCTAATTGTCCACATTATTTGTGAATTAAATGGACTGGTGCATTATTAAACTTATTATTGCAATTTGATATAGCCCCTATTGTGTAGAAATATCTCGAAGTGCTTCACAACTATTTTTCTCCTTGTAAAGTGGAGTGACTCTGCATTTGAGGGCAAACACAGCAGTCAATTTCCGCACAGCAATGTCCAACAGACAGTCGTGACGTCAATGATTCATTTTGTTTGGTGGATTGTTGGCCAGGACACTGGGGGTAGAGAAACTCCTTTCTCTTTTCCATTTGCGGAGCAGCTTTAACACCAACTGGCCAAATAATGGGCCAAATGGCCTCCTTCTGTGCTGAAAGATTATGAGGCTATAATCCCATTCAGAATTCCCTGCTGCTCTTTCTATTGGTGGCTCGGGAGCTCCATCCAGTATTAAGAGGGGAAAGAGAAACAGTCAATCTCCTTCAGGAGGGAGGGGAAGGAAGATAAAGGATAAAAACTTGATCTGAAACAATCTGTTAGTTCCTCGTGCGTGGGAGATATTTTCTTGTGTGTCGTACGTTGAATTGCATTACCTGTATTACAGGAAAAGCCAGTTCAAAACAAGCACATGGTAGGGATGAAGGCATAGTTATTCATTTGAATTAGCGTTGCCAAGGTTTATTCTGAGATATATCTCCGACAATTACCAGTCACATGCCTCAAGCAAATCTGCTCTGGATTTTTTACTGTACATTTTTTTTTAAAAATTACTTGCGTTTGACGTAGTGCCTTATCCCGCCTGCTAGACGTCTCAAAGCGCTTCACAGAATTTACTGTTTCGTTGCGAACTGCAAAGGGAAGTGTGGTAGTAGGTGTGTGTGGGGGGTGCGGCAGCATACCAGAGACGGCTTGTTCCTTTACAGATGTGACGTCAAACTGGCTGGACCGGCTTGGGGGCTTGTCGGACCTTTGTCCGGCATTTCGAACGCTATCAAACCAGCCCCTGCTACGTGCTATCCCACCTTTGCTCTGCATTCCCTTCCGTCCAGTCGCCGCGGAGCGCTCCGAGGCGCTAACTTGCGTGAGGGCTCTTGCGTGAGGGCGAGATGTTGTTGCGGTTGTAACGTTATAGGCTCTGTAGCAAAACGCAAGGAGGATTATTAATAATTTGAAGCCTTTTATTAAATATTAATCAATAATAATAATAATATACACTGCACTGGTCCATGATCTCCAATCCCCATTGTGATCCCATGATACTGCTCCACAGCGGCGCCACTGGACAATCGTGGAACTGCAAAGCCCAAGGCGTGGGGGTTGGGAGTGATGGGATGGAGAGAGTGAGAGAGAGAGAGAGAGGACAGAGTTGAGTTGTCTGTGGGAGAGAAACAAGAGGAGCGCAGCTGTTGAGAGTTCAGCTGTCCTCGGAGTCCGCGTGCGTTGGAGAGAGTGAGGGAAAGAGAGCGAAGGAGGGAGTGAGAGAGAGAGATAGAGAGAGTGAGGGAAAGAGATAGAGAGTGAGGGATAGAGAGAGTGGAGGAGAGAGTGGAGAGAGATCGAGTGAGAGGAAAGAGAGTGAAGGAGAGAGATAGAGTGAAGGCGAGAGTGAGTGGAGAGAGATAGAGTGTAGGAGAGAGAGGGAAGGAGAGAGATAGAGAGAGTGAAGAAGAGAATGAGGGAGAGGGAGGGATAGAGAGAGTAAAGGAGAGAGTGAAGGGGAGAGAGTGAGTGAAGGAGAGGAGTGAAGGAGAGAATGAAGGAGAGGGAAAGTGAAGGAGAGAGTGAGGGAGAGTGACAGAGAGAGAGGGGAGAGAGAGTGAAGGAGAGAGAGAGGGAAAGAGAGTGTGAAGGAGAGAGTGTGAATGAGAGGGGGGGGATAGAGTGAGAGAAAGAGTGAGGGACGGAGGGAGTGAGGGAAGGAGAGAGGGAGTGAGAGAGTGAGGGAAGGAGGGAGAGAGTGAGGGAAGGAGGGAGGGAGTGAGGGGGAGAGTGAGGGAAGGAGAGAGGGAGTGAGGGAGAGAGAGTGAGGGAAGGAGGGAGGGAGTGAGGGAGAGAGTGAGGGAAGGAGGGAGTGAGGGAGAGAGAGAGTGAGGGAAGGAGTGAGGGAGAGAGTGAGGGAAGGAGGGAGTGAGGGAGAGAGAGAGTGAGGTAAGAGGGAGGGAGTGAGGGGGAGAGAGAGAGAGGGAGAGTGAGGGAGAGAGTGAGGGAAGGAGGGAGAGAGTGAGGGGGAGAGTGAGGGAAGGGAGGGAGTGAGGGAGAGAGAGTGAGGGAAGGAGTGAGGGAAGGAGGGAGTGAGGGAGAGAGAGTGAGGGAAGGAGTGAGGGAAGGAGGGAGTGAGGGAGAGAGAGAGTGAGGGAAGGAGTGAGGGAGGGAGTGAGAGGGAGTAAAGGAGTGTGTGTGTGTGTGTATGGGGGCGGAAGTGACGCGGCGCCACTTCCGGCCTGTGGCGGGGCCCGGCTCCATCCTGGCATTTTGTCATCCTGGTCCCCGGCGCTGTCAGCGGGAAAGTGCCCGGACCCACAACAGGAAGTAAGTCACTCACTCACTCACACACACAGCACAGCACAGGGGCCATGGCGGCCACTCACACACACACACACACACAGGGGCCATGGCGGCCACTCACACACACACACACACACACACACAGGGGCCATGGCGGCCACTCTCACACACACACACACACACACAGGGGCCATGGCGGCCACTCTCACACACACACACACACTCACACAGGGGCCATGGCGGCCACTCACACACTCACACACACACACAGGGGCCATGGCGGCCACTCTCACACACACACACACAGGGGCCATGGCGGCCACTCACACACACACACAGGGGCCATGGCGGCCACTCACACACACACACAGGGGCCATGGCGGCCACTCACACACACACACAGGGGCCATGGCGGCCACTCTCACACACACACACACAGGGGCCATGGCGGCCACTCACACACACACACAGGGGCCATGGCGGCCACTCACACACACACACACAGGGGCCATGGCGGCCACTCACACACACACACACAGGGGCCATGGCGGCCACTCACACACACACACACAGGGGCCATGGCGGCCACTCACACACACACACACAGGGGCCATGGCGGCCACTCACACACACACACACACACACAGGGGCCATGGCGGCCACTCTCACACACTCACACAGGGGCCATGGCGGCCACTCTCACACACACACACACAGGGGCCATGGCGGCCACTCACACACACACACACAGGGGCCATGGCGGCCACTCACACACACACACACACACACACACACAGGGGCCATGGCGGCCACTCACACACACACACACACACACAGGGGCCATGGCGGCCACTCACACACACAGGGGCCATGGCGGCCACTCTCACACACACAGCACAGAGACAGAGAGAGAGAGACACACAGAGGAAGGGGAGTTGGGTGGTGGGGGGGAACATTGCGGCTGTTGTCTCTCCCCTCACTCGATGTGTGTGTGAGAGAGAGGGAGAGTGTGAGAGAGAGTGAGAATGAGAGAGAGAGTGAGAATGAGTGAGTGAGGGAGAGTGAGTGAGTGAGAATGAGAGTGTGAGAGAGAGTGTGAGTGAAGAGTGAGAATAAGAGAGTGAGTGAGTGAGAATGAGAGATGGTGTGAGAATGAGTGTGAAAGAGAGTATGAGAGTGAGAATGAGAGTCAGAATGTGAGAATGAGAGAGAGTGTGAGAATGAGAGAGTGAGAATGAGAGAGAGAGAATGAGAGTCAGAATGTGAGAGTGAGAATGAGAGTGAGTGAGTGTGAAAGGGGGAGAGAGGGAGTGTGAAAGAGTGCGTGAGAGGGAGAGTGAGTGAGAAGTGAGAATGAGAGCATGAAAAGGAGTGTGAAAGAGTGTGAGAGTAAGCGGGAGCATGTGAGATTGAGTGTGCGAGAGGGAGAATGTCGGGGGGAGAGAGTGACATACACACTAACGCACGTATACATAGTAACACACACAGTAATACACATAGTACATAGTACACATGCACAGCATCACACAAGCACTAACACTGGCACAGTAACACACACATACAGTAACACACACACAGTGACATACACACCCACACACGGTAACACACACTAATACAAACACAGGAAACACACACAATACGACATACACACACGGTAATATATATATATATACACGCACACACAGTAACATACAATACCACACGCAGAATATTACTCTGTGTGTGTATGTTATTACGTGTGTCTGTGCACTTTGGAATTTTCTATTTAAATTTTATATTTGCTTCTGACCTTTTTTTGCGGTGGGGGAGGAACAAAAAAATTCTGTGGAAGGAAATTAAAAAACAAATCGTTCGTACTTCATGTTTTCTTTTCTTTGCAACTTCTGTGGCATTGTGCTTTCTCATCAAATTTTATTCGCGTACCTGTTCGTTTGTTTCGGGAGTTTTCTCTGCTTTATCGCGGACTGGAATGAGGACAGTCGTTTATAAATATCGTTGACCTTTCTTTCTCTCCCCCCCCCCCCCACACACACACACACACACGCGAGCGCGCGCACACACACGAATACCCTCCCAAGTTGTAATCCATAATAAATATGTAGCCTGACAAAACTTCTGCTGATCTGAACTCGGCTGATTTGATCATTTCGCCCACAAAACACACAAGTCGATTCATATTACAGTCTATTTCCGTGAAACGCTTTGAGACGTCTCAAAAACGTGATAAGGCGGTATATCAAATGCAAGGATTATTGTAAATGTTTCTGCGCCTTGACCATTGCTGCCTCGAGGGTAGTGCGTTTAGAGGGCTAAGACGTCTCGGTAGTGCAGTGGTTAGAGCAAGCAAGTGGACCCGGGTTCGATTCTCAGGAAACTTTAGGAAAATTTCCTTACTCCACACGCCTCGGTTTACTAGCTTAAGTAGGAACTCGGTTGTTAGTGGATTGGCTGAGCGCTCTCCGGGGATAATAACCCCATTAAAATAATAATGGGTCATTCAATCCACGACTGTTTATGGGACGCTGCTGTGCGCAATTGGCCGCTGCGTTTCACCTGCAAAGTACACAGTCAGTTCACTTTGAAATATATTCTGTGAAGCGTTTTGAGATGTCTCAATGACGTGATAAGGCGGGTATCAAAAAATGCAAGGATTACAGGGGGGCTGGAAGGAGGGGAAGGGGTTTTGGTGCTCGTGCTTGCTGAAGGTATTGTCCCGGAGTTTGCCTGTTTTCAGGCCCTGTGTACACAGGGCTGTGATGTGGGCTTAAAAAAAATCCTTTTGGGCACATGGACAAAGGATACTAGGGATGCATTGGAGTTACTGACCAGCTACATCAACAACAAAAGGTATTTACACAACGCCTTTCACGTCCCAAGGCGCTGGACAGTCAGGGATTTGGACCCGAGCTGGGGGTTGGGATCAGGGGGGGTGGAGGGCTGGGAGGGTGGGGTTAGGAGGGTGACCAAAGGCTCGGTCGAAGAGTAGGGTCTTGAGACGGGCTTTGAAGGAGGCGAGGCAGGGAGCGAGGTGGAGGGACTGTGGGATGGAGTTCCAAAGGATGGGGGCAGAGAGGCTGAATGCCCGACCCCCAAGCTGGGGGGGGCCGGGGGACATGGAGCAGGCTGGGGTCTGTGGAGCCAAGCAAGTGGACATCACATCACTAGTTATATCGCATGAATCTTCTTGTCTGGTTTTTAATATATATATAAGTATATACATATACATTTTCAATTCCACTGCCTCGCCCTATCCCCCTTCAAAACCCTTCAAACCACTAGCCTACACATACCATCTAATTCCCTCTTGAGGCATTCCACCTCCAAGAACTCTTAAGTGAAAAAAAATCACTCAGCGCTGGCGGGGGGCTGGGGGTGGGGGTTAAGGACACAAGAGGGGGAGAGGGGGTGGGAATTGCAACAGTGAACAAAAGCATAGTCGAAATGCAAGGTCTTAAGACGGGCTTTAAAGGTGGCGAGGGATGGGGTGAGGGACTCTGGGATGGAGTTCCACAGTGGTTGAAGGCTTGGCTGGCAATGGTGGGATGGAAGGGGGTAAGGAAGATGAAGCTGGCTTGAGTTTGCCGAGCGGAGGGTGGGGTTGGTGGGGGAGTGGGGTTGCGCGCGAGGAGCAGAGGTGAGGCTGGTGAAGATGACAGATGTAGGGATTCCAAGTGAGAGGGAGGGATCTTGAAGTTGATCCACTGGGAGATGGGGGGGGTCTAGCGAGGACCGGGGTGATGGGCCGTCTCAAGACCCTCCTCTTCGACCGCGTCTTCGGTCACCCTCCTACCCCCCACCCTCCCTGATCCCAACCCCCAGCTCGGGTCCAAACCCCTGACTGTCCAGCTGCTTGGGACGTCCTCCCGACGTGAAAGTCGCTGTGTGAATGTCATGCGTTGGTGGTGGTGGAAATCAATGTTTTTGTTTGTTTTTTGCTGCTTTGATTCCCTCAGGTTGAGTATGAACACAGTTGAGGACGAGTCTGGCACAGTTACCTTGGAAACTGTCAGCTCCGTCACCCTCGCCCAAGACACCGAAGGCAATCTCATCCTGCACTGCCCTCAAACCGGTAGGGAAGAGCTCAGCTCCTGAAATACTATCTAACTGTAGAAACCTGTAGCTCAGTGGTTAGAGCCCCCGCCTCGCAAGCGAGAGGACCCAGGTTTGAATCCCGGGCGGGATCACTTTCCCGATCCAAAAAAAAATAAGAATAAGAATTTGGTCACTCAATCCACGACTGTTTGTGGGACGCTGCTGTGCGCTATTGGCAAGGATGCAAAAATTATTATATATTATTATATAAATTTACAGCATAGAGAGGAAAGACATTCGGCCCATCGTGTGTGTGCGTGTGTGTGCGCGAGTGCCAACCTGTGAAAAACCAACCCATTTCACACTGCCCTTTTTAAAACGTACCTCGGTGACTGCATTTTTGGTTACCTTCACCTGAACAGTGAACGGAGTTTCTCCTGGACAACAAATAAATGTGGTCGTTGATTCTGTGGCTGTTTTTGGCGACGTTGCTGTGCGTAAAATTGCCTGCTGCTTTGGCCCGCAAAACACACAGTCACTCCACATTACTGTATACCCTGTAAGAGCACTTTGGAACGTCCTCCCGACCTGAAAGGCTCTTGGTCAAATGCAATTATGATTATTATTATTATTAATGTGTCAGAGAAAAATAAATTCTCCTAATCTCTTTCGTTGTTTTAGGGAATGGATGTTAAATTTCTTAGGTGTCGCTGCCAATGTTTACTTGTAGATTTTTTTTCTCCCCCTCCCCCAAACCTCGCCCCCAAGCCGATTTAACGTGAAACTTGTATTTTTCTTTCCAAATGCAGCGAACGAAGATTTGGAATCTGAAAACAATCAGGAGCCCCTGCACAAGAGGCTTTGCTTATCAGCCGAAGATGACAACAGCATGGAATCCACGACCACCATCGGTGGCCCCTTCGCAACAGTGCAGTCAGTTGTCACACTCCCCAGTAAGCTCGCTCGCAAATGATTAAAGCAACCCAGTGGGGGAGCGAGCCCCAGCACAGACACGATGGGGGAGAGAGAGAGAGAGAGAGAGAGAGAGCAGGGAATGGGGTTAGAATGACATAAAGAGTTTACGTACTTCCTTCTCTACACACGTTTACATGACTCGCAAATTTACACCTCATGATCTTCACTCGAGCACCACCCCTTGGCCGTTCAAAAGCACAGCAGGTCATGGATACAGCGCCTTATCACGTCTCAGAAACCTCCCAAAGCACCTGCCAGGACCTACAGCCAAAGGAAATGGTTGTGCATTTGTCAGGCAGCCCTGAAGCGAATGACCCGTGTCATTTGGGGGATTGTAGTTTTGTGGGGACGTCGCTGAGCGCCAACAGGCTGCTGCATTCGGCTCCCAATACATAAGTCACTACACTTCGCATTAAATCCTTTGAAAGCAACTGGAGACATCTTGACGACGTGATAAGATGCTCTAGGTGGAGTCCTGTCGCAGATTGGTTAGCGAGAGGACCCAGGTTCGATTCCCGGGCAGGGCGAAACCTTCGGCAAGTTTCCTTACACCGCGCACACGCCTCTGTTTCCCGAGCAGTTGAGCAGGAACCCGTTTTTTAGTCGATTGGGGTAAAATAATCCCTCCGAAAAAATTTGGGTCACTCAATCCGCGACTGTTTGTGTGGGGGACGCTGCTGGGCTCAATCGGCTGCCGCGTTTCGCCCACAAAGTACGCAGTCACTGCACTTTACAGTAGATTCCGCGAAGCGCTTTGAGACGTCTCGACGACGTGATGAGGCGCCGTATCGAATGCCAGGGTTATTGTTATTGCTGTGCCGGTTGTTCGACATGGGTACTTTGCCTGAGCCGAGGCTGTAACACACCCGTGTTAGTTACAGACGGAGACCAGAGTTTTGCGGTGACCATGACGGGGGAGGCAGCCTCCGAGCTGGCAAACGACACCGAAGTGGAGGACGAGGAAACCATTACTCAGATACAGGTAACCCCAGGCATCTCTCTCCCGATCAGCCACCCAGACAAGGCGAGTTTGTTCCCGTAGAGGACTCCCTTCTCGCTCTTCCTTTCTCCCTCTCTATTCCTCCCTATTGCCTCTCTCTCTATCCCTCCCTCGATATTCCTCCCACTCTGTTCCTCCGTAACCTACCTCCCTCCCTCTCTCTTCCTTTCTCCTTCCCTATCCCTCGTTCCATCCCTGACTCACCATCCCTATCCCTTTCTCTCTTTTTTTTCTCTGTTCCGCCCCAACCTTTTCTTTCCCTTTTTCACTCTCTTTCTTTCGGTCTGTGTGTCTTTCTTTCTTACTGACTGGATTTGTTGTCGTTGCTGTAATTCTTTTCGTGCCTTCCACTCTCCGTTTTTCTCCCTTCGCTGCTCGCACCTCGACCACCAGACAAGAAAAAGGACAAGGGAATAATTCATTTCTAAGAGGGTTTTTCTTTCTCTCTCTTTCTCCTGGCTTTGCTCCCTCTATTTTAGTGGCCTAACACCAGATTATTTTTTTACTTGTAGATCTTACACAACGATGAACAGCTGGAAAGAGTTTCTCCCCAGAACAATGATGATCTTGACCCCGTTAGTCAGGCCTGGTTCACAACGAAAGAAGATAAGGACACACTACAGAACAAAGGTAAGGTCTCTCTCCCTCAATCCCTCCGCCTTCCTCCCTCCCTCCCCACTTGGCCAGTTGTTCACTCTTGTTGTCGTTTCCCCCCCACCCCACCCCAACAGGTCACAAGTGGAAGCAGGGGATGTGGTCGAAGGAAGAGATCGATATACTAATGAGCAACATTGAAAATTACTTGCAAGTGAGTTCAGTGGTGCCGAGAGTGTTGAGGTCAGAAATCCCAGGATTAGATCGGATGATGAAGGAAAGCCCTTTGGCCCATCTGGTGTCATCCCTCCAGAACTCCCAGAACCTTCATCCTCCCATCACAGCATCTGATGTGGGCACCTCCGACAACGCAGGGTTTGCGTTTCGCCCACAAATTATACAGTCACTCCACTTTACCGTCTGTCCTGTGAAGCGCTTTGAGACGTCTCGAAGACGCGATAAGGCGCTGTATCAAATGCAAGGATTATTATTATTATTATTCCTATTATTATTATTCCTCCTCTCCTGCACAGATGCACGGGCTGAGCGATGCCACGGAGGTCATATTTGAGATGTCAAAGGACGAGAGGAAAGACTTCTACAGGACCATAGCCAGAGGACTCAACAGGCCTCTCTTCGCTGTGTACAGACGGGTCCTGCGAATGTACGACAACAGGAACCACGTTGGAAAGTGTGAAGAATTTTGCATTTGTTTTTTTTTTACTTTGAACCGATTTTTTTAGGGGGCGGGGACCAAAAAAAATTAATTATCATGGCTAATGTTTGTTTCTTTCCCTTTGCCCCCACACTCTGCCTCCCTCCTCCCCCCACCCACCACCCACTCCCTGCCCCCCTCTCCACCCCCAACATACCCTACCATATCCCTCACTATTCCCAAACCCCTTCTGGTTCACAGGTATACACCACAAGAGATTATGAAGCTTAAAGAGTAAGTTATTTTGCTCCTTGTTGTGGGTAGGGGTGGGGTGGGGAATTTATTACAATATGCCGTGATATAGTAATATTAAATGTGGGTTACACGTTTTGATACTGAAGGGGGGGGGTACAACCTGGAATGGGAAATGGGAGAATTATCACCCCCCCCCTTCCTTGTGGGCGAAACGCAAATGTATCTAAGAAATTTAATAAGAAATTATCTAGCTTTCCCTTAAATACATCTGTGCTATTTGCCTCAACAACTCCTTGTGGTGGCATGTTCCACAGTCCCACTTCTCTCCGTGTGAAGAAAAAATTCTTCTAACTTCCCCATTTGATCTATTTGTGACTGTTTTATATCGATGGCCCCTGGTTTCGGTCTTCCCCACAAGTGGAAACACCTTCCCTATGTCGACCCTCTCAAAACCTTTCATCATTTTAAAGACCTCTATCAGGTCACCCCTTAACTTCCTCTTTTCAAGAGAAAAAAGTCCAAGCGTGTTCAGCCTGTCCTGACAGGTCTAACCTCTCAGTTCTGGGATCATGTTTGGATGATTCATTAAGACGTGTGTCCTGATGTACCGTTTTGCCCACTTGTTCATAGGCTACGATCGAAGCACGGCAACGACTGGGCGACGATAGGAGCAGCTCTGGGCAGGAGCGCCTCGTCAGTGAAGGATCGATGCCGCTTAATGAAGGACACCTGCAACACGGGTAACATTTACGCTGCCTGTCACCAGCTCTCTGAGCCCAGCGGCGCGAGAAGAGAGAATAACAGTAGCAATCCTCGCATTTGATGCGGCGCCTTATCACGTCTTCGAGACGCCTCAAAGCGCTTCACGGGATAAAGTGCAGTCAGTGTCTGTGTATGTTTTGTGGGTTGAAACGCAGCAGCCAATTGCGCACAGCAGCGTCTCAAAAACAGTCGTGGATCGAGTGACCGATTTTATCTGGGGGCTAAGAGAGAGAGAGAAAGGACTGTTTGCGGGGACGCTGCTGTGCGCAATTGGCTGCCGCGTTTCACCTACAAAGTACACGGTCGCCCCACTTTACAGCGTATCCTGTGAAGTGCCTTGAGACGTCTCGAAGACGTGATGAGGCGCTGTATCAAATGCGAGGAATCCTCCTCGCACCCCTTCCTTTCCCCCTTCTTTCCTCTTCCCCTTTCCTCCTCTTGTTCTTCCCCAATTCTCCCCTTCATCCGTTTTTCCTCTTTCACTCTCACCCTTTCCCTCATTTTCCTCTTCCCTCTTGCTCACACATCTCTCTCGCTCTCTCTCTCTCTCTCTCGCTGCTCCTCCAGGGAAGTGGACGGTGGAGGAGGAGAAGCGGCTGGCCGAGGTGGTACACGAGCTGACGGCCACGGACCCCGGCGACATCGTGACTCAGGGGGTCTCGTGGGCAGCCGTGGCCGAGCGGGTGGGCACGCGCTCCGAGAAGCAGTGTCGCTCCAAGTGGCTCAACTACCTGAACTGGAAGCAGAGTGGGGGGACAGAGTGGAGCAAAGACGATGAGATCAACCTGATCCTGAGGTGGGTGGTCCACACAGGAGTCCCCTCCACTGGGGACACCCTCAGCTATGCGAACACATGACAAAGACAGCCTTTCTCAAAGGGTGGGGGAGGGGGGTTTTAACACCCCTCAACCGTACTCGCAGTGCGATTGCAGGGCAGGGGATTTTGGGGTGAGCGGGGGGGCTGAATGGTTAGAGCGCTTGCCTCGCAAGGGAGAGGACCCGGGTTTAATTCCTGGGCAACCTTAGGCAAGTTTCCTTACTCCACGCACACACACGCCTCTGTTTACCAGTAGTCAGTAGGAACCCGGTTGTTAGTCGATTATTACCCCTTTTCCAGGGGTAATAATTCCTCAAAGAAATTCACTCAATCCACGGCTGTTTGTGGGGACGCTGTTGTGTGCAATTGGCTGCCGCGTTTTGCCCTCAAAATACACGGTCACTACACTTTACCGTGAAGAGCTTTGAGACGTCTCTACGACGTGTTGAGGCATTATATCAAACGCAGGGATTATTATTTTTATTACAGTTCCTTATTTCTTAACGCTATAATCACTTGGGAAGATAATGATGATGATTATTATTATTAGATAGTGCAATCTGTTGTGCATTTGCCTGACACAGGATAGTGGACCTGAACGCTGAGGATGAGAATGAGATAAACTGGGACCTGATGGCCGAAGGCTGGAGCAGTGTCCGTTCCCCTCAGTGGCTCAGGAGCAAATGGTGGACAATCAAACGACAAGTGACCAGCCACAAGGAGCTGACGTTCCCAGGTCTGGTGGCCCTTCCCAACTGACTCGTCTCCCAGTGTTATGTTTCGTGCCTCCACCAGTCCTCTCTGCAGCTCCATCTATCAACCTCTCCGCTCAGCAGGCTCCGTCCGGCTCGCTCCACCATCAGCGGTCGGGCCTTCAACCTCTCTGCCACCCTCCCCACCCTCTGGAACTCCATCCCACAGTCCCTCAGCCTCACCCCTTCCTTTGTCCCGTCTCAAAGACCCTCCTCTTCGACCGCGCCTTCGGTCACCCTCCAACTCCCACCCTCCCTGCCCTCCACCCCCCCTCTTGATCGCAACCCCCACCTCGGGTCCAAATAAATCCCTGACTGTCCAGCGCCTTGGGACGTCCTCCTGACGTGAAAGGCGCCGTGTAAATGTCATGTGTTGTTGTCATCGTTATTTTGACACAGCGAGTTGGTGTAAAAAGACGGACGGATGGAGAGAGAGAGAGAGAGAGAGATGGTGGGAGAGAGAGGGGGAGGGAAAGTGGGGGTGGGGATGGTGGTGGGGAGAGTGTGGGCAGGAGGGACAGGGAGAATGGGGCAGTGCAAAGTTTGCCAAGTGGACTGTCACCCTGTAAAAACTCATCAAATTCATTCTCGTCTCCCTTTCTTTCCTCTTCTCTCCTTCCCTTCAACCCTACCCCCCCCCGCTCCCCACCACCGTCCCCCCTCTCTCTCTCTCTGCCTCCCTCTCTCTCACCCCCATTTCCCCCCCCCCACCACCCCATGCCTCAGAACTGGTGGAGAGCTTGCGGCAGCTGGTGGAGAGTTTGAAGCAGCCGCACATCCAGCTGTCGGCCGAGTGTCAGACGCGATCGAGCTGCCCCAGCCCAGCGCAGGGGGTACAGCACCTGCGGCTCAGGTTGGCTCAGGTGGAGGAGAACAGCGGAGACCAGCACAGCCCCGTTGCCGCCCTCCAAATCCCCGTACAGATCACACATGTCGGTAGGTCAAAAAAAACACACAATAACAATAATTATCCTCTCATTTGATGCTTTGCGCTGGATCCGCTGTAAAGCGTAGTGACTTTGTGTGTTTTGTGGGCGTGCGAGCGATTTTATTCGGGGGGAGGAACTTGCCTTGTCGACTGGGACACTTAATGGGGATTCCCTGTGGAGCGCTCTGTGTGGAATGTGAGGGGTTAAGGGGACCCGGAAAAGTTGAGTACGTTTTTTTAACTCGTTTCTGTTGTTTTCTTTTGTTTGCGCACACGCACGCACTCACACACGCCACACACACACACACTCACACGCCACGCACGCACTCACACACGCCACACACACACACTCACACGCCACGCACGCACTCACACATGCCACACACACACTCACACGCCACGCACGCACTCACACACGCCACACACACACACTCACATGCCACGCACGCACTCACACACGCCACACACACACACACTCACATGCCACGCACGCACTCACACACGCCACACACACACACACACTCACACGCCACGCACGCACTCACACACGCCACACACACACACACACTCACACGCCACGCATGGGCTCACACACGCACTCACATGTGCCTCACACGCGCGACACACACACACACTCACACGCCACACACATTCGCACGCTCACACAGCATCGACAGACTCCTGTGCTGTCAGTGCAGACTGCGAAACCATAACGCTCAACGCTGGGACACTACAGAGATTCGAGTTCCTGCCGGTGAGTAAGAAACAGTTGTACTCTGTGTCGTCGTATTGCGAAGTGCTAACGTCCGCCCCCACCTCTCTCCTGGCTTTCAAACGTCGACTCCCTCCCTCCCTCGCCTCACCTCGCCTCACCTCGCCTCGCTCGCCTTCCCTCTGCTTTCAAGCCTCTTCTTAACAAGCTCCTCCTTCGACCCTCCTGGGAATTGCTGACATTGCCGCCGTGTTCTTCTCTTCCAGTCCTTCCGGTTACAGCCCACGGGAACGCCGGGAACGTACTTAATCCAGACCAGCTCCAGCCAAGGGCTTCCCATAACACTGACCGCTAGCCCCGCCGTGACCCTCACATCGCCGTCCTCCCCAGAACAGATCATCGTCCACACCCTCTCGGTAAGTAACAATAATCCCTACATGTGATACAGCGCCTTATCACGTCGTCGAGACGTCTCAAAGCGCTTCACGGGATGAACCGTAAAGTGTAGTGACTGTGTATTTTGTGGCCGAAAAGGGGCAGCCAGTCGCGCCCAGCGACGTCCCCACAAACAGTCGTGGGTTGAGGGACCAAATTATTTTTTTTTTAAGGGATTATTACCCCCAGAAAGTTGATCCCCCAATCGACTAACCACCGGGTTCCTACTCACTGCTGGTAAACAGAGGCGCGCGTGTGTGTGTGTGTGTGTGGAGTCGGGAAACTTGCCTAAGGTTTTGCCCACCCACCCGGGAATCGAACCCGGGTCCTCTCGCTCGCAAGGCGAGCGCTCACTGACCACTACATGAGGGGGACCCCACTCTGCGCTGGATGGGACGGGGTGGGATGGGCCTGTGCGGGGAGAGGCTACAGAGTGATGTACATGTTTGGGGATTGTTTTGACAGCCGGAAGCTCTGCTCCACGGCACAGCCGAGAACGTCAGTGTCCAAATGAACCACCCCGGGGTCATCATCCACGCAGTGGAGTCCGACGGCACCTCGACCTCCATCACCCAAGCCGAGCTCCGTGTAGATCCAGCGATCGACCCCACCGGCCCGGCCGGCGTTCGGCACTCCTACGGCGAGATCGACCCGGACAAGCTGAGCGAGGAGGGGGGTGAGGAGGAGGAGGAGGGGGAGAGAGGAGCTGGTCGGGGGGACCTGCCGGGGGCTNGGGGTGACTTGTCCGGCCTGAAACCAGACAGTATCGAGGTGCTGGGGGCGAGTGTGGAGACCTCGCATCCCGAGATCTGTGGGGAGGCGCTCCACCAGGACCACGAGGTTCACACCGATCTCGATGGCGCTTACGTAACGGAGGTAAGAAATTCTCCGCACCCCGTTCCTGACCCTGACCCGCCCCCCCCCGATCTCCATCCCTTGCACGAGACGTTAAACCTCACCTCACTCCCCGCCTTACCTGTTCAGGCGGACATTAAAGATCTCATAGCCTCTCTCTCCCCCCTCCTCTAGTGTATTATTACCAGCTTGTTTTGTGTGTTTAAACGCTATTTAACTCTATTCCCCCTATTCGTGCCTCACCCCCCCCCCCACCCCAGGCTCTGTGCTCGCCCACCATGGACGTGGATGAAGAAGCCACACTCATCGTCACCTCGGAACACGGCTTCATCCAGTCGGCGGACGACATCCTGCCGCTCACCACACTGACCGGTGAGGAGCCCGTGGGACAATTTGTGTCGCAGGCTTTTGTGGGCGTGCGGAGGGTGGGGCAACCTGTGCGCTGCGATTGCAGTCTCTGTACCTGTGACGCAGAGTGTTCCCTGATCTCGTGATATAACAGTGTAATTCCTGCTCTGACTTTAGGCTCAGTGGCCACGTATGTGACCAGCTAACCCCCATAACCGGCCTGTCCGCCCCCTCCACTCAGCGAGCTCCACCTTCAGCAGCCAGGCCTTCAGCCTCGCTGCCCCCACCCGCTGGAACTCCATCCCACAGTCCCTCCGCCTCGCTGACTCCCACCCCTCCTTTCAAGGGATGTCTCAAGACCTTCCTCTGCAACCGGTCACCCCACCCTCACTGCCCCTCTACCCTCCAGATACCAACCCCCAACTGTCCCAACACCTTGGGACGTGAAAGGCGCTGTGTAAATATGTGTTGTTGTTGTCGGTGGGAGTGTTAGTGTCCTGTGTGCTCTGATTTCAAGGTGTGTACGTGTAGTCTTTTCAGGGTTCTGTGTGTGCTCTGATTTCAGATCCACTCTTGCAATCACAAGCCGACTGCTCCATCATTGACTCGTCATTGGAAAGCGAGGAGCCCGAAGACTGAAAAAAAAAGAATCGCACTCCCAACCTAAACCTCTCCCTCATAACCATATCGGGATTGTCCTGTTTATACAGCTCCCAACTCTCCTTCGCTCCCACTGACCGCTTCATCCCATTTCCCACTGCCTTCCTGCCTGTCCGCTCTGACCCACACCAACCTAACGACCACCTAAAACGCTCCTCGATTCAGTGAGGTATTAAAACACCATTTGGTATATAAACCTCCCCGCTTACCCTTGGAAATATTTGTGGGATGTTGCCGTGCGCAATTGGCTGGTGCGTTTCGCCCACTAAATACAGTCACTCCGCTCTACCATACGTATTCCTGTGAAGCGCTTTGGGACGTCTCAACGACGTGATTAAAGCACTGCATCAGCCTTACGCGCCTGGACTATTCTGCCTTTACATTTGAGAATTGTGGAAAGGTCATGAATTCAGTATTAATTTGAAATACTCCTCTACAGTGGTTGGATATTCACCCCTCTCCCGCTCTCGCACACACGCACACACGCACACAAACACAAAACAAAAAGGTCCACCTGTGTCTAACCTGAACCTTCAGACCAAATAGCCTTGCAAGTTTAAGACGAGGTGGAAACATCAAGTCCGTGCTGTTTAAAAGCTTCGCAGCACCTCGTGACGCGCGAAAGGATGTCAGGAACAGATAATGATTCAATTCAAGATCATCAACCCTTTATTTGTTTACTCTCACTGCAAGACCCGATTTTTGCACCTATTTGACAGCCCAAACCCCGCTATATTGAACCCCCTGATAGAACAATCTTTTGCTGCCATTCCTGAGGGGGTTCATTAGAGTGAGGTTCGATTGTACAGGGAAAAGTATTGATGAAGTGTCTTAAGTCGCTTAAGGCGTACATCCCAACACACTAGGGAATGGTAAGAAAGACAGTACATTTCTCCACATATCACAATGCAGCCTGTGTGTATTACGGTCCCTACATTAGGTCACTTATTTTCATGTGAAAAGCCGCAGGAGACTCGAGTTTAATGTATATAAATTTTTTTTTATTACTATTTATTCATTTAAAACAGAAAAGTAAATATCTTACACTGGTGCTGTCTAGTATTGTCTGTCTAATTTTGGCTATTCATTGTGTGTGTATATATAATATATATATAAAAAAAAGTTAATTGGCTGCATAGTGCAATTAATTTTACTTTCTTTTAAACCTAGACAAAATAATAAAAGATTTGTCTCGGGAACAAACTGGATTGTTCTGGCTACGACTGATTGAATTTCCTTCTTCAAGTGCTTTTCTCCCTAGTTTTATTTTAAACCTCTTGAAAAATAAACCCGCACGATTTGCAAGAAAGAGAGAGAGGGNAAAAAAAAAAGAGAAAAAGCTTTATACAAAAAAGAAAGTCTTAGAAAAAAAAAAATATCTTGGCAAGTCTGGAATGTTCGTTTAGTGCAAGACTTCTCTGGTGAATACTCTTTTCCACACCACCCGCTCGCCCGTTTCCTCACAGCTTTCCTCGTGGAGTGCCGCAGCTCAGGGGTTAGAGCTCTCGCCTCGCGGTGCGAGAGGACCCGGGTTTGATTCCCGAGCAGCTCCAACCTCAGACAAGTTCCCTTACTCCACACGCCTCTGTTTATCCAGCAGTTAAGTCGGAACCTGGTTGTTAGCCGATTGGGGGATTGCTTTCCGGGGGGTAATAATCCATTCAAAAATAATAATAATAATTTGGTCACTCAATCACTCACCCACAGCTGTTTGTGGGGACGCTGCTGGTTGCAATTGGCTGCCGCGTTTTGCCCACAAAGTATACAATCACTACACTTTCACTTTACAGTATATCCTGTGAAGCGCTTTGAGTCGAGATAAGGCGCTGTATTAAGTGTAATATCATCATCATCATCATCATCGGATGAAGGGTGCAATCCGCAGCCTGGAGTGAGCTCGAGATGTTTGCTATTTACAGTGCAAAGCTGGTAGTTGGTGGGGAGGAGAGAGAGAGATGACAGGAATGTGTGAGGTGAGGGGGGGGGGGGGGAAGAGAAAAAGGAACGATGAGGAACGTGCGGAGAAAGAACCAAATGCGCTCTCGATGCAAAGACTCCTGGGGTTGTGTTTCCGGGACCTTCTGGAACTCCCTCTTTCGGTCGGTCGGTCGGCCGGTGTGTGGGGGGGTTCGGAGACCGACGTCGCGAACATCCCAAATCTTGGAGCGAGGGGTGGGGTGGGGGTTGTGGAGGGGGTAGGGGTGGTGAGCAGAAGAGGGAATCAAGTCATTTTCCAACATCGTGGAAATACAGGTTGGCACACATGCACAGCATGACCACACAGAACAGGCTGTAGTAGATCAAGTTGCGGAATTTCGGCTCCAGGTCTCCCTGCCGATACCAGTAGATCTGGAGAGAGAGAGAGAGAGAGAGAAAGAAAAAAAAAAGAATCAATGGAGAAATTATTTCAGGTCAGCCGGGCAAGGTAGCCGCTGCCTCTCATCAGAGGCGAGAGGAAAAGAGAGGCCGTAACAGGCAAAAGTTCGTCCGATTCAAGAGCGTTTTACTTTCGGGGTAAAACCGGGAGGTTTGTCAACGGAATAAAATACCCCCTTTCCTCCCTCCTCCTCCTCCTTCCCTTCTTACTGTTGGGTAAATTCCACACAGCTGCTCAGCGGAGTTAATAGACTTTACGTTATTAATCATCATAATAACCATGTCAGGCGGTATCCCGGGCGAGACCGACATTGCAACAGGTGGCACGTTTCAGGCACCTCATCACATCGAGACATTACAGAGGGCTTCGTAGGATCGAAGGACTTCACGGGTTGAAGGGCTAAACCGAAGGACGGCCCCTCCGACACTCCCCCAACGCGCATCAGTTCAATATACTCTGCAAACCTACACCCATTCCTGACTCCCTCCCACAGCCTTCTATTACTTTTGTCCCTTGTGAAAAGCGCTCTCTCTTGAAGGTATTTTTTATATATATATATATAGGTCCCCAGGTTAGAGTAGATTTAAGTCCACGTCTACTCCACGCTCAGCGTCAGAGAGAGAGAGAGAGAGAGAGAGAGAGACACACACGGTACTCACGAGGACACCGATGGAGGCACAGCTCATCAAGATACAGATGACAAAGAAAACATTCAGTGGCTTTGGAGGCAAGTGAGGGAAAACGAAAGCACTGATGACCGTTACCTGCGTGCGAGAGGGAGAGAGGAGAATAGTTCAGAGACGTGCAAGGGAGAGGAGATTCCTGCCGCACGGGCTTACGTCATCCCCACCGGGTTCACACGTCAGACCAGCAGAGTTAATAATCTTTACATTATTAACCATAATAATCCTTGCCTTTGACCCGGCGCCTTATCGCGTCGTTGAGACGTCTCAAAGCGCTTCTCAGGTTAGACTGTCGAGCGAGCGAACTGTGCCATTTTGGGGGCGAAACGCGGCAGCCAACTGCGCACAGCAGCGTCCCCACAAACAGCCGTGGGAGCAGGGGCGCGGTGGGGTGGTGGGGCGGGGGGGAGAAGAATAAGACGCCAGATATAAAGAACATGAACACGTCTCCACTCACCAGCAACAACAGAGACGTGAGGACACCAACAACAATATTGATAATTCGATCCTGAAATTAAAAAAAAGATGATAGGAACTCAGCAAAGGCTCAGTGTCACCGCCGGACACCGCTCCACCACCTGCCACTGACCCTCTGACGTTGGGCAGAGCAATGATAACAATCCTCGCATTTGATACGGCGCCCGATCACGTCGTTGAGACTCCTCAAAGCGCTTCACGGGATACGCTGTCAAGGGAATCGACTGTATATTTGCGGGCGAAACGCGGCACGTGTGCGTGTGTGCGTGTGTGTGTGGAGTAAGGAAACTTGCCTAAGGTACGGCCCTGCCCGGGAATCAAACCCGGGTCCTCTCGCTTGCGAGGCGAGGGCTCCAACCCCTGCACCACGGGACTGTGTGACATCTCCCCACAAGGGTTCACATTGGACGGTCTCCTTACCCGTGCCGATGTCTCCCCAAACAAGGGCCGGTTGTCTTGTGCGCTGGTGCCATAACTCCGTGTGGCAAAGTCATCCATTGCGGACTCACACGACTCCGCGCCCTTCACGTGTACACACCACTAACGCAGCAGCCTCGACTGTCTGGAACCTTCCCGGAAGGACGCCTGACTGATCACCAGCACATTGCCGTCACTCACGGACGCATGGTTCCGACAGAGGAGATCGGGAGCCGCCTTCAACTGGTCACGTCCTCCACTTTGCTTTTCATACTGAGAAAACCTGGATAACAACAACAATAAATAACAATTAATCATAATCCGTCGCATGTGATGCAGCGCCTCGTCGCGCCTTCCGAGACGTCTCAAGGCGCTCCTCCGCCCGACACCCCGGAAAGTGTAGCGACTGTGCAATTTTGCGGGCGAAACGCACAGCGAACAGTCGTGGGTTGAGCGACCAAATTAGGTTATTATTATCTATTTACGAAGGGATTACTACCCCCTCGGAAAGCGATCTGCCTATCGACTAAAAACAAAAACATGTTCTTGCCGACTGCCGGTAAACAGAGATGTGCGTATGTGTGCGTGTGTGTGCGTGTGTGTGTGGGTGTGGGTGTGGGTGTGGGTGTGGGTGTGTGTGGGTGTGGGTGTGGGTGTGTGTGGGTGTGTGTGTGTGTGCGTGTGTGTGCGTGGGTGTGTGCGTGGGTGGAGTAAGGGAACTTGCCTTAAGGTTTCGTCTCACCCGGGAATCGAACCCGGGTCCTCTTGTTTGCGAGGCGAGGGCTCTAACCACTGAGCTGGAAGTTAACAGAATAACACAAGAGAGTTAATAACGAGCATTTATACCCCTCCCGTGGAAGTCCGTCTCTCCCTCCCTCCCTCCCTCCCTCCCTCCCTCGCGGAGGCCAGAACGAATGAGCCCTCGTCCCGGGGCAAACTCCTGCCAACGCTACGTCCGGCCGCGACGCCCCCGGAACGAGATAAATCCGCGTGGCCATAACTGGGTGACATCGGGAGCGGTAAAACGCCTCGAGATTCGATCGATTCTCGATGAGCGCTGCAAAAAAAAAAAAAAAAAAAAAAAAACAAACGGCCGGAAACCTGTCCGCGTGAAGTTGACGGCCGGTGACGGCCGCCCCTCCGTCCCGGAGGACCTCGCGAACGCCGCCGTTTGGTGATAACAACAACGCTGCCCCCCCCCCCCCCACACTCGCTCGGCAATGCCTCCCGATCGCGCCGTTGAGAACGTCTCGCCGCGCTTCGCAGGGCACGCTGTGAAGTGGAGTGACTGTGCAAATCCATGCCCACCGTGCTGGACAGCCGCCGGACGTCTCGGACGGCCGCCGGAACACAACGGGATTGCCCGCTGAGCGGGGGGGCGGGAGGCGGGTTGGTAGGGAGTCAGAGAGGTCGGTGGGGGGGGGGGGGGGGGGGGTTGGGGGGGTAGTGATGGCCTCGAACGGGGATCTTGAACTCCATCCTCTGGAGCCAATGGAGTCGGACGAGGACACGTGGGGCGGAGGTTTGGATGATGGGGGGAGGGGCGGTGTTGGTGGGGGGGCGGTGTCGGTGGGGAGGGCGGGTGTCGGTGGGGGAGGGCGGTGTCGGTGGGGGAGGGCGGTGTCGGTGGGGGGGGCGGTGTGGTGGGGGCAGTGTGGTGGGGGGGCGGTGGTGGGGGGCGTGGTGGGGGGGGCTGGTGGTGGGGGGGGTGGTGGTGGGGCGGGGTGGGGGGCGGTGGTGGTGGGGGGGGTGTGGGGGGCGGTGTGGTGGGGGCGTGCGTGTGGGGGGGGGGCGGTGCTGGGGGGGGGCGGTGGGTGGGGGGGCGGTGGTGTGGGGGGGTGTGTTGGTGGGGGGTGTGGTGTGGGGGGGGGTGTGGGGGGGGGAGGGAAGGCTGCCGGGGAGGGGGGAGTCTCCACGTGGAGCCTCGGTGTGGTGTGGGGGAAAGTACCTTCACTCCCCCCCGCGACGCGCCCTCGGACCCCAATAGAGGAAGTGCCGTTATTTATAGGGGTTCGAGAACCACTTCCCGGGGCCGAGGCCCCTATTGTCTGACCCACAGCAACAACAACAACAACAACAACAACAACAACCACTCTGTTGGGCCGTTACAACAACAACGACAACGACGTCCCCCCATATACACTCACTCACCTCATCCCCCCCCTATACACACCCCCCATATACACACACCCCATATACACACCCAATAACACCCCCCTACTACACACCCCATATAACACCCCCTATATACACACCCCTAACTATACACCCCCTATACACACCCCATATACACCCCCCTATACACCCCCATATAACACCCCCCCATATACACCCCCCCCATACACACCCCATATACACACACCCCATATACACCCCATATACACACACCCCATATACAACACCCCATACACACACCCCCATACACCCATACACCCCATATACACCCCCCTATACACCCCATATACACCCCCTATAACCCCTACACCCCCCCATAACACCCCATATACACCATAACACCCCCCCTATACACCCCATTACACCCCCCCTATACAACACCCCATACACCCCCCCCATACACACCCCATATACACCCCCCCTATACACCCCATATACACCCCCCCTATACACCCCCATACACCCCCCCCATACACACCCCATATACACCCCATATACACCACCCACACCCATACACACCCGATATACACCCGATATACACCCCCCATACACCCCCCATACACCCCCATATACACCCCATATACACCCCCCCATACACACACACATATCCCCCCATATACACCCCATACTACACCCCCCATACACCCCATATACACACACACGCATTCCCCCCCACACCCCCACCTGACCTACCCCCCCCCCCCCCGGGGCGGAGCTGAGCTGAGTGCCCGCGGGCCCCGGGGTGAGGCTGACACTTGAGCCCCTGGGGGCCGGGGGGGGGCCTGGGGGGGCCTGGGGGGGGGGCTACAGCAGCAATACACCCCCCACACACACCCCCACACACACCCCTCACACACACCCTCACACACAGCCCCGGCCCTGACCCTCCGGTCTCTCTCTCTCTCACTCACTCACTCACCCGCAGACGCCGCCGCTGCCTATCGGCCAAAATCAATTCACTTCCCCCACACCCCCGGCGCCGACCGCGGTTAAAGGTGATGCCATTAAAGGGGAGGCTGTTTAAAGGGGAGGTGGCTGTTTAAAGGGGACGTGGCTGATTTAAAGGGGAGGTGGCTGTTTAAAGGGGAGGTGGCTGGTTTAAAGGGGAGGTGGCTGTTTAAAGGGGAGGTCGTTGAAGTGGGGGGGGGGGCACAGGAATTTAAAAGGTTCTCAAAGGTTATCAGTTTAAAGTCGGTGCGATTTAAAGGGGACGTGTTTACAGGAGAGCGTCTTAAAGGGGGTCAATTCCCCGAGGTCAATTGATTTGTTTTTTTGGGGGGAGTGCGGGAGGGGGGTGTACGGGGCCATCCGGGGTGTCTGACACGCGCGGAAACCCCGTTTCCGTTGCTTAAGAGCCTCCAAACCCAACCGAGAATATTCCAGGCCCCCCATCCCACACCTGGAAATCCCAGAGATGGATTGCTGGAATGGGATTCGCGCTCTCTCTCGCTCTCTCTCTCTCTCCCCGGAGGGACGCTCCCTGCTCACCTAATTCCCGAAGGTTGGCGAGAGCCTTTGGTGGGGAGTTGGGGTCGGGGGAGAACCCCAGAGTGTGCATTGAGGGTCACCGCTGGTGTCTAACCAGCTAATACCACACAGCTCGCCATTTCGTGGATAGCAGAGTTGGGGGGAACCGGGCGAGGAGGGCAATGGGGGGGATAATCGAGGCAGGTGGTGACGAAAGGCTGGACGGGGGGGGGTTTCGGCTTCGTTGGGTATGAGGTTTGGTTGGAGGGAAGCAATCTGATGGAAAGGAGTCCTGTAGCTCAGTGGTTAGAGCACTCGCTTTGCAAGTGAGAGACCTGAGTTCAATTCCAGGCAGAGGGCGAACCTTGGGCAAGTTTCCTTACTCCACACAGAGCCTAATAATAATCCCTCCAAAACCAAAAACAATAATAAATTGGTCATTTTCAATCTACGACTGTTTGTGGACATTGCTGTGCGCAATTGGCTGCCGCGTTCGCCCACAAATATACAGTCAATTCACTTTACAGTGTGTTCTGTGAAGCGCTTTGGGACGTCCTCCCGACGTGAAAAGCGCTATATCAAATGCAAGGATTATATATTATTATTATATTATAAGTGGAGCAAGTTGGTACTTGGATGTGGAGTAGGAAGTTGGGTGTGGCGTAGTGTAGGAAGCACAACCGTGGTTCAAGCCTGTACGCGCAGGCTTTGTGTATTGTGGGCGAAACACACACACACACGCACACACACGCACACGCACCAGACACATGCACTCCCGAATGCGGACGTGCACACTCGCGCGCCCCACAGCGCTGTGGTGGGTTTTTTTGTGGGGGGTGGGGGGAGGGGTTTGTTCTCTCGAAGGAAAGAGAAACGAGGGTGATTTGGAAACTGTGATTTATTGTGTAATCGCCAGCGTAACAGCAGGTTGTGTTGTGTTGCTGCTCAATAGGCATAAACTTTAACTTTCTGGACTTCCTTGTCCTCGCACTCCCGCTTTCTGCTGTAATAATAGAAGGTATTGTCTCGCCTCTGTAGTTTCTTCACGTACCCCGTCTCTGGCCAGCGATCCACCTGCCGTCACGCTGGGGGTGGGGGGGAGAAATAATAACAACGATAACTACGATTATAATCCGAATGAATGACAATCATCGCATTTGATGTGGAACCCGATCACGTCGTTGCCGCACCTCAAAGCGCTTCGCGGGTTGCGCTGTGCAGTGTGTTGCCGCACTGCGAAGTGAACTGACTGTGTATTCTGTGAGTGAAATGCGGAGGCCAATTGCACACGGCAGTGTCCCGCAAGCAGCCGCGGGTTACAATCAATGTGGATTGAGTGACCAAATTGCTATCATTATTATTTGTTTGAAGAGATTTATTCCCCCCAGAAAGCGAGGCGCTCATCGACGAGCAGTCGACGAGCGGTTTCTAGGTGAACGGAGGCGTGTGGGTGTGTGGAGTAAGGAAACTTGCTTAAGGCTTTGCCCGGGAATCAAACCCGGGTTCCCTCACTTGCGAAGCGAGTGCTCTAAGACGGGCTGTGCACGAGGTGAGACCGGGAGGGAGGGAGGGAGGGAGCTGGAGGGACTCTGGGATGGATCTGCAGAGATGGTGGGGTATAAAACCATGCCCAGAGGGTTAATTACCCCATCGACGTGCTTCACTTGCTTGTACTCCACCTCATCCCGGTAGCCCGCCTGCTGAAACCTGTAAAGGTTCTCGATCTCGCCGTTCCACTGCTTGGCACGGCTCATAAATTTGGGCTTCACACCGTGGTTCTGCGTGTCAAAGTTCCTCGAAGTCATGGCGTGATGTGTCGCTACACAGGGGAAAAATGCCAAAATAGGTATACAGGCAGACATGAAGACATGAAGACAGACAGACGGACAGACAGACAGCATAAACACGCACACACACACATACATATGTATGTATCGAATCGAAACCTTTTCCTCGAGGCCTTGACCCTCAGGGCTATCTCACACCCCAAAACAGCAAAGACAGCAGACACGCGTGTCACACGGCAGCTTGGCCAACGATAACAAAGTGATGACGCGAGGAATTATGGTAAAAAAAAATCCTTTTTATTATGTACGTGATCTGCAATTATTTACATCGCGTTTGCGCTCGCACAATCCCGACCCGATAAACCCTGTGTGTGTGTGTGTGTGGGGGGGGGGGGGGGGGGGTTCAGTCGCTTACAGCGTGATGATTGGGAAAAGTGACTGAACCCCCCCCCCCCTCCGCCCTCCTCCCCACCCCGCACCTCCCGCACAGATTGGTTGTTCGTTTGCTGGATGCAGAACTTGCTGCCGTACCGGAAAACAGTCACTACGCTTGAGCACCCCTACTCAAGCTCAGAGACACCTATGTTGCACATGGGAGGGGTGGGAGTCGGTGGGTGGTGGTGGCGGGGGGAGGGGTGAGGGTTGAGTCTGGTAAAGATTTGTGAGTCTCCACCCTCCAAATCCTCTCCGACCCATTTCCCCTCTGTAAACCCCACCTCCTCTCCTCTCTCCATGGCCCCACACTTCCCCATCCCCACTCCCCTCCCCAACCCCCTCACCAAAGTGCTGAGGACCACCCGCCGTGTTCCCCGATGTGTGGGGGGCCGAGGTGTTGGGTGCGTGTGAGTGTGGGGTCCAAGGGCTCTGCCTGGAGCTGGGACCAGGCTGATCCCAGCCTTCGTCATCACCAGCCTCCGCCTCCTCCTCTGGCCCCCTGGCCTCCGCACGGCCAGCCTGGGATCCAGTCCACGTTCCTGGGAACCAATAGATAGGAAACTATCAGACAACGGTCGCATGGAATGTGGGAATCGACCCCCCTCCCCTCTCTGTGATGGTCTCCAGTCCCCGGTTCCTGAGCCGGGAGGGGCCGCAGTGTCCCAGGGCACTCACTGCTGATGGCAGGACCTGGAAGGGCCGACCAGTCACTGGGGGCCGGGAATCCTCCCCCTCAGCTCCTGGTAACCCCACAGCCAAAGCCCTAACTAACGGGGAGGGGGGTCCGAGCTGGACAAGCAGTGGGAAAGCTTGGCCAGACAGCGCTCTCTCTCTCTCTCTCTCTCTCAATGGCCAAACTATGTGTGGGTTTAGTTGGTTAGACTGAAGGGGACATTTTGTGGGCGGAACGCGGCAGCCAATTGCGCACAGCAGCGTCCGGTAACCAGCCGTGGGGTTTTGAGTGACCAAATTATTTATTTACTTTGAAGCGATTATTACCGGAAAGCGATCCGCCAATCGACTACCAACCGGGTCCCTACTGCCCGCTGAGGCGCGCGCGTGTGTGTGTGTGTGTGTGTGTGGAGTCAGGAAACTTGGCTGAAGCTTCGCCCCTGATCCGCCCGGGAATCGAACCCGGGACCCTCTCGCCTTTGGGCACTAACCTGTTCGGTTTACGGGCACGTGGCTGCCCACGGCTGCCCATTGCTGGGTGGGCTCTGGCCTCCTCGCCAGGTGCGTTGCCGCTAGTTTGTGCCCAGGTGTCCCTCTGGCCCCGCCAGTGCCCTGCCCTCTCCTGCCCGCCATCCTACAGCACAAGACACAACAGCCAGAGGGTCGGTGCTCCCGCGCGCAAACTCTCACATCTCCCCAAAATGATCTGCCGTTGCAAATGACCTCCTCACCACCCCCCCCCTCCCCCCCCACCCTAAGGCGAGAGCGCGAGCAACTGAGCCAGGCCGACACCGACATGGCACGTTTCGGGAGACGGGAGGGAAGCACTTACCGGAGCAGTTGGTCCCAGGTCGTCGAGGCGTCCTCGCTCCGCTCCTCCCGGGATCTGAACGGTAACTAACGGTGGGCGAGGGGGGAGGGGGAGAAGCCGCTCAGCCTCCCGGGAGGAGGAGGAGGGGGGAAGGGAGGGAGGGCGAGAGAGGTCGGGTGGGCGAGGTGGTTGGGGGCACGAGGCTGTGCCTGGCGGAGCCGACCAGCTCCCTCTCCCTCTCCTCTCCCCAGCGGCAGGTTCACGGGTGAAGCGTGGGGCCGTTCCCACAGCCCGGCTCCACGTTCCGTTTACACGTCCTCCGCTGCGGTCGGCCTCGGGGCTGACGTCCGCTCCCTCTCTCTCTGCTCGACGGCTCCATCTCCACCTCGGAGCTCGAACGCGAACGGGTCCTCTTCGCGTCCATGGCCGGCGCGGTTTCACTTGCCCGGAGAATACTAGAAATCTTCCAGCACAGAAGGCGGCCCCATTCAGTCGGGGTCGGGCGCCTGCGCTGTCTCTTCGAAAGAGCCGTCCAACCAGTCCACCCCCCACCCACCCCCCCCAAAAATCACTCCTCGGACTTTTTTTCGCCAACCAGCGGAAGGCGAGACGGTCTGACACTTCGAAGGAAACGTTCGCCGTCCATCCTCCATCCAGTGGAGCAGAGAGAGCTCCGGCACAGACAACAACAACAACAACATTCCATTTATTGAGCGCCTTTCACGTCGGGAGGACGTCCCGAGGCGCTGCTGGGGACACAACGGGGAGGGTAAAGATGGATGGGGGGGGGGGGAAATGGGACGAGAGTAGGGATCTCCGGTACGAGGACAGACACGCGATGGGGTTCAAGGCGACGTCTCCGGAAATAGTCACGAAGTGAAGCTATTTTATCTGCGGGGGCACCGTCGGCCGGGACACCGGGGGGGGGGGGGGGGAGAGAGAGAGAGAGACAGAGAGAGACTCCCTTCTCTTTAATCAGATTGATGTTTCTTGTTCTCTCTCGTGGGTTCAGTGAGTTAAACGTAACCCCCCACCCCCCCACCAGCACCGCACTGGGGGGGCGTCAGCCTGGACTGTGAGCTCGATAGTCCCCGAGGTGGGGGGTGGTGGGGGGGGGGACCCGGACCCAGAACCGTCTCGACTGGGGCTGTGAGAGTTGCTTTACCGTACATCCCGCGCGGAGCGGCCGAGACCTTCTCCGGGGGCCCCGGGACTCTGGGGGGGGATCGGGAATCTACGTTGTCGTAAGTTATCTTGAACCGGAATCCCCGTCATTAAAGGAATCGCGGCTTCGGACGAACGGACCGCCCCCCAATCCCAATCCCAATCCCAATCCCAATCCCAATCCCAATCCCAATCCCTGCGTCGGATTCAGACCTCTGTGAGAACTGTGCACTACATCTCTAACCGTTTCGAGACCTAAGACATCAAAACCCCAATGTGTGAACGTATCGTTGTACGACCGTCGATTTGAAAATAAATGTCAATCCATAACTGTGACAATCTGTAAATGTATCGATCTGTAAATGTATCGATCTGTAAATGTAACGATCTATAAATGTATCGATCTGTAAGTGTAACGATCTATAAATGTATCGATCCGTAAGTGTAACGATCTATAAATGTATCGATCCGTAAGTGTAACGATCTATAAATGTATCGATCCGTAAGTGTAACGATCTATAAATGTATCGATCCGTAAGTGTAACGATCTATAAATGTATCGATCTGTAAGTGTAACGATCTATAAATTCGATCTATAAATGTAACGATCTATAAATATATCGATCTGTAGGTGTAACGATCTGTAAATCTCACCACTGTAGAGCAGAGCTGAGAGACCGACAGACGGACGGACACAGACGGACGGACGCTGTGGGGCTCAGAGGTTGTGGTTCTGCTGAGGATCACTGGGGATTTGAAGTGTTGTTGTGGCGTAGTGACTGTAACCAGGTGACGGGCGCCGGGCAACGGGCACCGGGCAACGGGCACCGGGCAACGGGCACCGGGCAACGGGGCAACGGGGCAACCGGGCACCGGGCACCGGGCAACGGGCACCGGGCAACGGGCACCGGGCACCGGGCACCGGGCACCGGGCACCGGGAATAAAACTACAGCTCGAACTGCCACTGCAGCTGTTACCATCTCTCAGTCACATTCACTGTATCCCAATCCATCATCACATACACCATCACATACAGTGACACACCATCACATACACCATCACATACAGTGACACACCATCACATACACCATCACACACAGTGACACACCATCACATACAGTGACACACCATCACATACACCATCACACACAGTGACACACCATCACATACACCATCACACACAGTGACACACCATCACATACACCATCACACACAGTGACACACCATCACATACACCATCACATACAGTGACACACCATCACATACAGTGACACACCATCACATACACCATCACATACAGTGACACACCATCACACACAGTGACACACCATCACACACAGTGACACACCATCACATACAGTGACACACCATCACATACAGTGACACACCATCACACACAGTGACACACCATCACACACAGTGACACACCATCACATACAGTGACACACCATCACATACAGTGACACACCATCACATACACCATCACACACAGTGACACACCATCACATACAGTGACACACCATCACATACAGTGACACACCATCACATACACCATCACACACAGTGACACACCATCACATACAGTGACACACCATCACATACAGTGACACACCATCACACACAGTGACACACCATCACATACAGTGACACACCATCACATACACCATCACATACAGTGACACACCATCACATACAGTGACACACCATCACACACAGTGACACACCATCACATACAGTGACACACCATCACACACCGTGACACACCATCACACACAGTGACACACCATCACATACAGTGACACACCATCACACACAGTGACACACCATCACACACAGTGACACACCATCACACACAGTAACACACCATCACACACAGTGACACACCATCACATACAGTGACACACCATCACATACAGTGACACACCATCACATACAGTGACACACCATCACATAGAGTGACACACCATCACACACAGTGACACACCATCACACACAGTGACACACCATCACACACAGTGACACACCATCACAGACAGTGACACACCATCACACACAGTGACACACCATCACACACAGTGACACACCATCACACACAGTGACACACCATCACACACAGTGACACACCATCACACACAGTGACACACCATCACACACAGTGACACACCATCACACACAGTGACACACCATCACACACAGTGACACACCATCACACACAGTGACACACCATCACACACAGTGACACACCATCACACACAGTGACACACCATCACACACAGTGACACACCATCACACACAGTGACACACCATCACACACAGTGACACACCATCACACACAGTGACACACCATCACATACAGTGACACACCATCACACACAGTGACACACCATCACACACAGTGACACACCATCACACACAGTGACACACCATCATATACAGTGACACACCATCACATACAGTGACACACCATCACATACAATAACACACTATCACATACACCATCACATACAATAACACACCATCACATACAATAACGCACCATCACATACAGTAACACACCATCACATACAATAACACACCATCACACATAGTGACACATCATAACCAACACAATAACACACAATATAATAATATACACCAATGCCCCAATATGTCTGTAATATACAGTACAGTATATACCACACAATACACAGTAGAACACAGTGATGTGCGGAGTATATGTCACTGTAACAATATGTGATATTTATTATCATTTGTGATATTATATGACAGTGTATCAGAGGTATTGTTATAGAGCTCTGTGATTGGCTGTGTGGAGCTGCTCTGTGATTGGCTGTGTGGAGCTGCTCTGTGATTGGCTGTGTGGAGCTGCTCTGTGATTGGCTGTGTGGAGCTGCTCTGTGATTGGCGGTGTGGAGCTGCTCTGTGATTGGCTGTGTGGAGCTGCTCTGTGATTGGCTGTGTGGAGCTGCTCTGTGATTGGCTGTGTGGAGCTGCTCTGTGATTGGCGGTGTGGAGCTGCTCTGTGATTGGCTGTGTGGAGCTGCTCTGTGATTGGCTGTGTGGAGCTGCTCTGTGATTGGCTGTTATGATGTATGATGTATACTGTCTGTCGCGGAAGGTGTGTATTCACTGTGTGTATATGTGCTGTGTATTCACTGTGTGTGAGAGCTGTGTATTCACTGTGTGAGAACTGTGTATTCACTGTGTGTGAGAGCTGTGTATTCACTGTGTGTGTGTGAGAGCTGTGTATTCACTGTGTGTGTGAGAGCTGTGTATTCACTGTGTGTGAGAGCTGTGTATTCACTGTGTGTGAGAGCTGTGTATTCACTGTGTGTGTGTGAGAGCTGTGTATTCACTGTGTGTGAGAGCTGTGTATTCACTGTGTGTGTGTGAGAGCTGTGTATTCACTGTGTGTGTGTGAGAGCTGTGTATTCACTGTGTGTGTGTGAGAGCTGTGTATTCACTGTGTGTGTGTGAGAGCTGTGTATTCACTGTGTGTGAGAGCTGTGTATTCACTGTGTGTGAGAGCTGTGTATTCACTGTGTGTGTGTGTGAGCTGTGTATTCACTGTGTGTGTGAGAGCTGTGTATTCACTGTGTGTGTGTGAGAGCTGTGTATTCACTGTGTGTGTGTGAGAGCTGTGTATTCACTGTGTGTGTGTGAGAGCTGTGTATTCACTGTGTGTGTGAGAGAGAGCTGTGTATTCACTGTGTGTGTGAGAGAGAGCTGTTTATTCACTGTGTGTGTGAGAGCTGTGTATTCACTGTGTGTGTGTGAGAGCTGTGTATTCACTGTGTGTGAGAGCTGTATTCACTGTGTGTGAGAGCTGTGTATTCACTGTGTGTGTGAGAGAGAGCTGTGTATTCACTGTGTGTATATGTGCTGTGTATTCACTGTGTGTGAGTGAGCTGTGTGTGTTTGAGCTGTGTGTATGTGTGTGAGCTGTGTGTATGTGAGCTGTGTGTGTGTGAGCTGTGTGTATGTGAGCTGTGTGTATGTGAGCTGTGTGTGCTGTGTGCTGTAGCTCAGCCCGTGACCATAATAATAATAATAATCCTTGCATTTGATATAGCGCTTTTCACGTCGGGAGAGGACGTCCCAAAGCGCTTCACAGAACACACTGTAAAGTGAATTGACTGTATATTTGTGGGCAAACGCGGCAGCCAATGGCGCACAGCGATGTCCCACAAACAGTCGTGGATTGAAAATGACCAATTTATTATTGTTTTTGGTTTTGGAGGGATTATTATTAGGCTCTGTGTGGAGTAAGGAAACTTGCCCGAGGTTTGGCCCTCTGCCTGGAATTGAACTCAGGTCTCTCACACAGTGCTCTAACCACTGAGCTCCAGGACCCCACGTCGTGGTGGTGAGGCCACAGTTACACAGTGACGATGAGCTCGTTCGTGGGCCGTATGAAGGAGTACAGAAAGTGTGTCCATCGACAGATTCGACCGAGAAAACCTCCTGGCAAAGGCGTACTTCCTGTCACACTGCCACAAAGGTGGGCAACTGGCTACCCCCCCCCACCCACCCGTACCCTCCCTCCCCTCCCCGCCACCACCCACCAGCTTTGCACCCCGTGTGAGGGGCGCATTATAAATTCAAGTTGTTGTGGTGGTTTCTCCCCCTCCCCCCCCACCCCCAACTATACCCTCCTACCCCCTATCCAGTGCCTCTGGCCCCCACTCCCAGCTCTGTGCTGTGTGTGTTGGGGGTGGGGGTGGGGGGGAGAGGGGTTGTGGATGTGTGTGTGCTCTGTGTGTTTGTGAAGGGCGGAGGGTGTGTGTGGGGTGGGGGGGGGGGAAGGGGAGATGTGGTGGGGGGGGGGGGCTCGGAGTTGAACCCACAAAACCTTCCGACCCAGAGCGCGATCGGCTGTGAACTGGGGCCGAAATGTGAGCGATTGGGGTGGGGGGGGGGTTCACGTCCGGAGACAGAGACACAAACCGGCGCTGGGGTTGGGCTGAACGACCTGCGTCGGGGCTTTAATGTTCTCGTGATCCCTTTCTTTCTTTCTTTCTTTCTTTCGGCAGATCACATGATGGGATTGAGAGCCCCTCCCTTGAAAAGACGCCTGGAATGCAGGTGCTGAACCCCCCGATCCGCTTTCGGCCGTAACTCTGGAACGTTCTCTCTCTCTCTCTCTCTCTCTCAATCCCTCCGCCTCGACCCTTTTCCTGTCCTGGTCTCCAGGTCGCTCCTGTTCAACGCTTACGGCCATCTCCTCCCTCCCTCCCTCCCTCCCTCCCTCACCCCCGGCTCAGTGTCGTGCTCGGCCACTCTCGAGCGCTCCGAGACGCTGCCCTGTGTGAGTGAGGTCGCGCTGTGTAAACGCAAGTTGTTGTTGTTGTTGTTGGTGGTGTTTTGAGCGTGATGGCACAGGGTCACTACGCTTGACAGAAACTTTGTGACTTTGTTAAGGCGTGTGCGCTTGGGTGCCTGCGCTTGGGTGCGTGCGTGTGCGAGTATTGCTTGTGTGTGCATTTGTGCGTGCGCGCACGCGTGTGGGTATTTGTGTGTGCACATGCATGCATGCGGGTGTGTGTGGTGTGTGGGTGCGGGTATGTGTGTATATTTGTGTGTGTGTGTATATTTGTGTGTGCGCGCGCGGGTGTGTGTTTATGTGTGTGCGTGCGGGTGTGTGTGGGTGTGTGTGTGTGTGTATATGTGTGTGTGCGTGCGTGTGGGTGTGTGTGTGTGTGTGTATTTGTGCATGTGTGCGCGCGGGTGTGTGTGTGTTTGTGTGCAGAGCTGTGTGGTTTGTACGTTTCAATGAGTTTAGATAACGGTTGTCGCAGCTGCTGGATAAGACGGGTGGGGGTGGGAGTGGTGGGTGGGGATGTGTCTGGGGGGGGGGGGCGGAGATGGGGTGGGGGAGGGGGTCTGGGGGGGAGGTGGTGGGTGGGGGGGGGGGGAAGGGGTTGAGGGCTGATCAGCCGAGTGGAAAGAAGACAACACCAACTTGCCCACCACACAGCTTAGCGCTTCCTCTTCGACTGCGCTTACTGCCACCTCCCCCCCCTCTGGGACCCCGCCTGGCGTGGTGGGTGGGTGTGGGTGGGGGGGGGGCTGTTGCCCCAGACGTTAAAGAGTTTAGCGTCTCAGCTCAGGGAGTTTCTGATCCCGTCTCTGAGTGTTTTCCTTGTTCCCGCTGTTACAGTCTGAAGCTCCGGCTCTACTGTTCCCCCGTCACGAAGGAGCTGCTTCTGACCAATCGCAAGTACAGGTTCTGGGAGAACCACATCGTAAGTGTATCTTGTGTGTGAGCGCGGAGCGGTGCGTGTGCGTGACAGTGTGCGTGACAGTGTGCGTGACAGTGTGCGTGTATGTGGTGTGTATCTGTGTGTGTGTGTGTGTGTGTGAGCGTGTGTGTGAGCCAGAGTGAAATGTGTGTGTGAGCCAGCGAGCACAGAGTGGAGCGTGCGTGTGCGTGCGTGCGCGTGCGTGTGCACGGGCAAACTGGCTGCCACGTTTGGCTTGCAAAACACACAGTCACTACGCTTTGCAGTTAAAACCGTGCGCAGCGATTTCGGACGTCCTCCTGACGTGATTTAAAAAAAAAAAACGGTGCAATCCGGATGCGAGAAATATTACTTGAATTATCTTTTGAAGCGCTTTGAGAATGTCAAGGCTTAAATCTTATTATCGCTGATTTTATTATCATTATTATTATTATTATTATTCTGTAGACGGCTCTTGAAGTTGAAACTCCAACACAGCTCTGCCTGGTTGACGAGGTGACGGGTGAGGTACAGACATCTTATTTGGAATATTTACTCGTGCGATAGCAAGAGAGAGAGGTTGGGCGTGAAGAAGCCCCTTCGACCTATCTGATCTCATCACTGCGTCCCATTTTTTTTTTGGTCTTGTTGAACACTCAACAACAGCAGCAGCAGCAACGCATCACATTCACACGGCCCCTTTCACGACGGGAGGACGTCCCAAGGCGCTGGACAGTCAGGGGTTTGGACCCGAGCGCGAGGTGGGTGGGTGGTATCGGGAGGGGTGGGGAGGGCAGGGAAGGTGGGGGGGTGGGGGGTGGTGGGAGTAGGAAGGTTGACCGAAGGCGCAGTTGAAGAGGAGGTGGGGGTGGGGGGGGGGCCGTAAGGCAATTCCACTTGACAGTATACAACAACAACAAATGAAGCACTTTGAGACGTCTCAACGATGTGATAAGGCGCTGCGTCAAAGGTAACGATTGCTACTGTTATTACTATTGTTATTACTATTGTTACTATTATTATTGTTCTAACTAACTGGATGACTTGCTTCCTGACCAGCGGGAAGAGTTGATGGTCACACTCCTGTGCGCGGGTCACTGCCCGGGCTCTGTCATGTGAGTGTCGTTCCCTCTTACCCGTTGTTACTCCCTCCCCCTCGAATCTCTTTGACAGCGCCACAGGTGAAACTCGACCTCTCCCCAAGCGCTAACTCTCCCCCCGCGCGCGCGAGTCGGCCGCTGCGTGCGTTCGCCTGCAAACATACTAACGGCAACGTATCGCAAACAAATGCAGCGCCCCTTTCAGAGGGCGTTTCGGAGGGCTTAACGGTGGCGGAGCCGATGAGGGTGGGAGGGAAGGAGAGGTGAGCGTCAACCGAGGGGGGGGGGGGTGCGAGGGTGAGCGCAGGGAGTCGGAGGGGTGAGGGAAGGCCCTGTGTGACCGGCTGCTGCTTGTTCCAGGTTCCTGTTCGAGGGCTCGGAGGGCACAGCTCTGTACACGGGGGATTTCAGGATGGCCAAGGGCGAGGCTGCTCGGATGGAGCTCCTACACTCAGGGGGCAGGTAAACCAGTGATGGCAATGCGCTCTCTCTCTCTCTCTCTCTCTCTCTCGCTCCCTCTCTCTCCATCTCACGCACTCTCCCTCCCTCCCTCTCTCTCTCTCACCCCACACCCACCACCCGATGTAGTGAAGCACACACGCTCGGTCACGCATTCAAAAGCACTCAATCACACACACTCTCTCTCGCGTGCACACTCAATCTCGCCCCCCACAGATGCGCGCGAGCGCACACACAGTCTCCTTCATGTACACAGGCCAAACATGCAGTCCGACACACTCACGCTCTGCCTCTCTACACACACAAGTATACACACACACAAACCAGTCTCACTCAAACAAACACACTCTCACTCACTCACTCACTCACATTGAGTTCCGAGAACTTGTTAATACAGTTAGTGTGATGTGTGTCGCTGCTGTTACTGATCTCTGGGCCGGAGACCGGCCTCGGTGACAACCATTTGCTCCTCTGCTGTTTCAGGGTCAAAGAGATTCAGAGTCTTTACATCGACTCCACCTTCTGCGATCCCAGATTCTACCATATCCCGAGCAGGGTAACTATTCATACAGCCCCAGACATTACAGCACCGGCTGGAGCTCGCGACACTCACCCCATTCCCTGCTCTTCCCCCCCCCATCGTGCCTATGTCCATGCTCACCATCAATCCACTTGACGGTCTATCCTGCGAAGCGCTTTGAGACGTCTCAACGAGGTGATGAGGCGCTGTACTCACATGCGAGGGCTATGTTCTTATAGATAACATCGTTCATTCACTTCACGGCTGTTTTACAAGGACGTCGCCGTGCGAAAATTGGGTTGTCGGGTTCGCCTACGAAATACACAGTCACTGCACTTTACAGTGTTTCGTGAGAAGCGCTTTGGGACCCGACACGCAAGGCGCTGTGTATAAAGAATAATAATAATGATAAGAGTCCTTGCGTTTGTTTCGGCGCCTTATCTCGTCATCGAGACGTCTCAAAGCACTTCGCGGGATACACTGTAAAGTGGAGCGAATGTGGTACTGCGTAACCAAAAATGGCCGTTGACCGCGGAGAGGTGTGTTTGAAGCTGTTCTCGTGCGCTGTCCCTAACAGGAGGAGTGTCTGAACGGGATCCTGGAGTTAGTGCGAGGCTGGGTCACTCTCACCTCCTACCACGTTGTCTGGCTCAACTGTAAGGCGGCTTACGGCTACGAATACCTCTTCATGAACCTCAGCGACATGTTCGGGCTGAAAGTAAGTACCTGCACAACGCTCTGGGACGCTGCTGCTGCTGTTGTTGTTCGCCACTTGTCTTGTGTCAGCCTGGCTCAGTCGCTCTCTCTCTCTCAGAAGGTTGTGGGTTCAAGCCCCCGTGCCAGGACTTGGAATCGCACAGTCTTAAGCTGCGGACACTCAATCCACAGCTGTTTGTGGGGGACGCTGCTGTGCGAAAAATTGACTGCTGCGTTCGCCCACAAAACGCCCAGTCACTGCGCTGCCTTGTGAAGCGCTTTGAGACGTCTTGATGACGTTGATGAGGTCCAATGTCAAGCGCGAGGATTTTTTATTGTTGTTATCGTCCATCCGCCCCCGATGGTTCCTCCTCCTTCCCCTCATCCTCCTCGTTCCCCCGCAAGTGCGTGATCTAAGCTGCGCCTCTCAGTGCTAACAGCGTCCGCGCGTCCGTACAGGGACGTTAGAAGGCGAACCAGATGGACCTTGGTTTTTTTTTCCCCCTCCTCCAGCCATTCCCACGTTCCTCTGTTTGTCCCCCCAGGTCCATGTTAACAAGCTGGACATGTTTCAGAAGATGCCCGACATCTTGCAACACCTCACGACAGACAGGACCACGCAGATACACGCGTGTCGACACCCCAGGGTAAGTCCACAGTCTGTCGCGGTTTAACCCTTGCGTTTGATACAGCGCCTTATCAAGTCATTGGAACGTCTCAAAGTGACTGTGTGGGTGTGTGTGTGGGCGGGTGTGTGTGTGTGGGTGGGTGTGGGTGGGTGTGGGTGGGTGTGTGTGTGGGTGGGTGTGGGTGTGTGTGGGTGTGATATCAAATGCAGAGATTACAATTGTTTCTTTTGAAACTTTTCTCTCTTTGGTTCACTTCTTTTATATTTAAAAAAAAATACGTTTTCCAATTCCCCGCTCTCTTCCCCACTCTTCCTTCCGCCCCCCCCCCCCTTCTCTCCCCACCCCCCACCACCCCCACCCCCAGGACGACGAATATTCCCACGGAGGGAACTGGTTGCCGTGTGGAGCCACCGCCAAGGATGGGACACCACTCCGTATCATCAGCATCAAACCCTCCACCATGTGGTTCGGGGAGAGGAGCAAGAAGATGAGCGTGATCGTGAGGTCAGGAGGCGCTGAGGGGAGGGGATGGGGTTACAGGGGGGAGGGGAGAACTGGAGGGACTGAGGATGGGGGGGGGGGGCATGGGATAGGGGAAGTGCGTTTCAAGACCCTCTTGAACCGTAACGGACTGTAACCTCTTGAGTCGCCTACAGCAGCGATTTTCATCCCCCGCCATTGCTGATCATTGCAAGTGTTTCACCGGAAATCGTTGTGAGACCCAGTGACTGTGTTCGTGTGGGTCTGTCTGTCTGTATGCATGTGTGTCTGTGTGTGTGTGTGTGTGTGTGTGTTATTAAGCAAACGAGCCAGGCTTGCTTGCAACCCAGCAGGGTCTCACACACACAAATACATACATACACACACACACACATCTAAAGTGGTCACAAAGTGTAGTCAACAGTCGGTATCACAAACCATTTGGCCGTTTCCTGGAACACAGCCAAGGCGCCCCGGTTCAAACCCACAGCCCTGCACCTGGGAGGGGGTGAGATTAGCATCTCCTCAAACCACAGCCACCAGGGGTGGGGGTGGGGTGGGGGGTCGGGGAGACACCACATGTCACTCGCACACAACAGCTGAACACGGCTGCACTAATGGGCCGTTACACCAGGTGCTCTGAACCGATGTGTTTGGAGATGATCGGAGTTGGGGCGCTTAAAGCCATATTTGCGCTGACTCTTTTGCAGGCGGAGCTGAACTGGCTCCCAGGTGACCTGCCTGGCCACGGAATGTGGGAACCGAGCCCCCACTCTCTGTGCCGGTCTCTAATCCCCGGTTCCTGAGCCCGGAGGGGCCGCAGTGTCCCAGGGCACTCACTGCTGATGGCAGCACAGCCCGGCCCATCGGCAGGACCTGGAAGGACAGACCAGTCACTGGGGGCAGGGAATCCTCCCCCTCAGCTCCTGTTAACCCCTCAGTTCTCTCTGGGACTGAGTAAGCAGGATGTGTCCTTCTCAGATGTTTCTTCTTGAGGTTGAAGAATTCTTTCTCAACTTCAGTTGTGTCTTGTGTGTTCAGTTTATAAATGTAACTGAGTTCAATGTATTAATTGTAATTCATTTCAGGACTGGAGAGAGTTCGTACAGAGCCTGTTTCTCCTTCCACTCCTCGTACAGTGAGGTGAGACTGGAAAGAGTTCAAATCCTCCTGATGAGACGTTAAACCTCACTCCCCGTCTGTTCGCTCAGGTGGACTTTAAAGATCTTCCGTGCCGCTATTTGAAAAGAGAAGGGAGTTTCTCTCTCTCTCTCTCTCTTCGTCCCGGTGTCCTGGCCGACATATCCCCCAAATAAAAAATTGGTCACTTGTCTCACGACTATTTGTGGACTTTGCTGTGCGCAATTGTGCTGCCGCGTTTGCCTACAAAATACACAGTCGCTACACTTTACAGTATATCAAGTGCTCTGGGACTCTACTCTGTACGAAGGCGCTATATAAATGCAAGTTATTGTCCTGTGAAGCTCCTTGAGAAGTCCATCTGATGTGATAAGGGGCTGTAACTAAATAAGAGTTTGGATTCACGTCTACAAATTGCAATTCTCTCTCTGTCTCTCTCAGATAAAGGATTTTCTGTCCCATATACAGCCGTTGAGTGTCTACCCCAGTGTCGTGCCTATGGGGAGGAGCATTGATGTCATCACAGATATGTGAGTACAACAGGCACGTAATTGAGATTCATTTTGGTGTCCTGCAAGAGAGAGGACCCGGGTTCGATTCCCGGTCGGGGCCAAACCTTAGACAACTTTCCTTACTCCGCGCACACACCTGTGTACACAGCTTTAAGCAGGAATCTGGTTAGTCGATTGGCGGATTGCTTTCCTGGGGTAACAATCCTAACAAAAAAATGTTTGTGGGACGCTGCTGTGTGCAATTGGCTGCTGTGTTTTGCCCACAAAATGCGCAGTAACTACACTTTACAGTTTGTCCCGTGAAGCGCTTTGAGACGTCTCGAAGGTGTGATAAGGCGCTGCATCAAATGTAAGTATTATTATTATATTGCTCTTTCTGTTGTTGTTACAGTTTGAAGCCGCTGTGCAGGAAGTGTGTGGAGAACGGGGAACCTGTTTACAAACCGCTGGGAAAACTGAAAAGAGGGAAACGGGAATTCCTGGATGACTCTGGTACGTCCGGATCTCTTTTTGTGTGTGTGTGTGTGTGTGGGAGGGAAGGCTCAGTCTGCTATTTTTTTTAATGGAGGGAAGGTGGTCGTAGGGGTGGGAGGGGGTCAGTCTTTCATCACATTCTGGTCACTGGAGCCAGGGAATCCTCCCACTCCGAGCTGGACAGGGTGGTCCCAGCTGGACAAGCAGCGGGAAAGCTTGCCGGACACAGCGCTCTGTCAGGTTTGCAGACTCATAAGCGACGGTGGTGGATTTTCCACGTGTGTCTGGCTGACACCCCCAAAAAAAAAGGCGAGGGGGGAGGTAATTTAAAGGTACGGTGATTTAATGGGGAGGTGTTCGCAGGAGAGCAGCTTAAAGGGACCCGTTCTGACAGGTAAATTGAAGGGATACTTCTGCCCGTTCAAGCGATGTGACTATTGTAAATGTTCACGTTGCTCAGACAGCGATCACGGGGACCACGACGGCCTCTTTGATGATCTCCCGGTTCCGGTGAGGAGAAGGTTACCGGGGAGCGAGCCCCACGATTGTGCCGACACGGCAGCTGGCGAGAACGCCGGTCGGCCGCAAACCGAGTTCTTCGATTGCGAAGAGTCGAACGACGAAGACGAGGAGGCTGATGAGGAGCGAGATGATATTTCCGGGGCGGACGCTGCGAGCGTTCCCGGGATTCTGCCTCCGCCGCCACCACCCTCCTCCTCCGAGCCTGACGCGCTCCGCTGGGACATGTTCTTCAAGCGGGAGCCGGGCTCGCTTCCCAAAGGTGGGGAATCGGGGAGGACGAGGGAGCAGGGGGAGGAGCGAGGCTCACGATCGCCCGAACTCTTCACCGACTCCGAGGAAGACGGATATTCCCCCTCTCCCCAACGGCCTTCATCCCAAAGCTCTTCCCAATCGGTGCGGACGTGGGAACCCGGGAGCCAGGGCAGCCTGTCCGAGCCCGAGCGCTCCCAGGACGGAGTGGGATGGGCGGGGGTCGTCCGGCCAGAGCAGGGGAGAGGTCGGAGGGCGCTCTGGGAAGGGAACGCTGACAGCCGCGCGTGTCGGAACTCCGGGAGTGGCCCAGACCTCGGCGAAGACCCCCGGGGACAGAGCTGGGGGGCGGACTCCGGCCCCAAGCCGGATTCGCAGGGCTCCTCGGATTTCGACATCCCGTCCACTCCAGACTCGGAACACCCCCTCCCGGACCAGCTGCGGGATTTGTACTGTAAACTGGCGGCGGGAGAGGCCGTGCGGACGGGAGAGGGCAGGGGAGCGATGGGCAGTGCGGAGCGTTGATCTGCGGCGGAAGCCTTCTTTGTCGAGGGTGTCTGTTTCTAAGGCTAAAGCTGAGTCCTCAGCAGAACGACTGGAAGAGGCGAGGAACTGTGCTGGGGAGGGGCAGGTGGGTGGGGGGTGGGGATGGGAGGCGCTGCATTGTCGGGGGTGACGTCCTTCAGATGAGACGTTAACCTGAGCTCCTCACCTGTCTGCTTGGCAGAGAGTCTCTCTCCTGGAGTCCAGGCCAACAATCACCCTCAGCCTCTCTGCCACCCCCCGTCCCTCTGGAACTCCATCTCGGAGCCCCTCGAGACCTTCCTCTTTGACCGCACCTCCAGCCGCCTTCCCAAACCCCACGATTCCCTTTCCCCAGCTCAGGTGCAAATCCTCGACTGTCCAGCGCCTTGGGACATCTTCCCAACATGAGAGGCAACCCCTGTGTAAATGCAATGGGTGGTTTGGGGCACTTGCCCCCCATTAGCCAAGCGGAGAACCAGGTAGGGAGCAAGGTTCCGAGGGGCGAGAACCTAACAAAAAGAAACACGCTTTAGTTTGAAACGGTTTATTCACTCGCCTCCCCCACAGCAGCAGCAGCAGCAGCAGTTCTGACCTCACGTTACCCCCCCCCCACCCCGTAACAAAGGGCGGGGGTAACGTTATATACAAACGAGTACGGAAACACAGTGCTTCGAGAACCAAAGCGAGTAGAGAGAAGAGCTCGGCAGCTGAACGCTCTCCTTACTCACTCACTCAAATGAGATGGGTGTCACAGAGGTATCAGAGTTGGAGATATTGCGACAGGGAGTTGTACGTCCTGTTCACAAGCAGTATTGTTGCAGGGCACACAGGAGAGGTGGAGATTCTCCCCCCCCCCCCCAAATGAAACGCAGAGTGGAGGCAAATAGGTACTATTTTGTGGCTCCCGTCACCACCTCATAAACTCCCGTTTTGGATAAAAATGACAAATCCCAGTTGAGTTTCGAATTTCATGTCCTGGGAATGCTCCATAATTCCACCCCTCCCCTTCCCAAATTGGGGACGGACTATCTACCCACCGAGCAACAACACATGACGCTTACACAGCGCCTTTCACGTCAGGAGGACGTCCCAAAGCGCTGGACAGTCAGGGATCCACACCCGAGCTTGTGGTTGGGATCAGGAGGGTGGGGGGTAAGAAGACGATCAAAGGCACGGTCAAAGAGGAGCGTCTTGAGGGAGGGGCTGAGGCGGAGGGGCTGTGGGATGCATAGGCACAGAGTGGGGGCAGAGAGGTTGCGAGCCCGCCTGGCAATGGTGGATCGGACAAGGTGGGGGGTGTGAAGCAGGCTGGATCCCACGGAGCGGAGGGGGCAGACAGGTTGCCAGGGGAAGTTAGGAGGTCACAGAGGAACTGCCAGAGAACCACAAGACCTTCTGTATATGTATGTAATAATATATTATTAAATATTTTAAAAATTACCATTGACATGAATTGTTGAATGAATCGTCACCTCCAGGAGTGAAAAGTTAACAAAAGCTGATGTAGCAGCAGAGAGAGAGAGATGGCGGGATGTTGAGTGTGGGTGCTGGAGAGAATCTTTCAACAAGGAACCACGAGTCAGTTCTTTGTACTCTCGGAGAGCCAATTCCTCACACATACCCTCCCCCATTGCAACAACTCATTCACATCATTTAACCATTCGGCGGTGGAGGGGAAGAGGCAATGAGGGGGAGGGAGAGAGAGAAGAGCATTATTGGATCTGAATATGGAATCCCATTGATCTACCCAACACTCGAAAGCTACTGCACAGCGCATCTCAGTGCACAGAGCACCTCATTCAATTGCCGCAAACGACCCCCCCCACCCCCCCAAATCACCAGCAGGAGGAAAACACAACCATCATTACCACACAAATGTTGCTGGTTCGGAAATTCGCCCCCAGTGTCGGACTCAGGACTGGTAACGAGAACCAAGAGAAGCTAAATAACAAACCACTTCCCCCCCCCCCCCCACAACTCATTAACACGAACCCTTGCCGGGAACGTTGAGACCCGATAACCTAGTCTAGGAGCTAATAAACACAATTCCAACCAACCCCAGTAGGTTTCTGTCGAATGGGGTCAACGATAGAGAAATCGATGGGCGGTGTCATAAAATGTCCACCTTCAGTGCTTTGCTTCCGTGTTGCATTGAGGTCACTTTCGGTGCATTGAGCAAGCGAGGAGGTTTATTCTTTTGCAAAACATTTGTACATTCCTAGACTCTCAAAGAGAGTTAAGTCCCCGCCTCCCCTCCCCCCATCTCCTCCTCGTCCATTATTCCCTCCAACCTCTTGAATCGTCAACAACACTAAGTTTGATTTTCCTAGTGGAAATTTGATGGCACAGAAAAATTAAGAGGGGGAGGCGCGATTCCTCACCTCCCCTCCCGCTTTTCCTAATTGTAGTTTTTCTTTTTGCTTCGTTAAAAAAATACTGTGGTTGGTGCCTCTGCCTCAGTTCATGTAGCCGCGACAGGAAGCAGAGCCACACTTGCACACCATCCTGTACAGCTTTCGGGCTGGGCCATTCACCTCCGAGCTCTCGTTGATTGAGGTATCGCCGGAACCTAGGCCAGACAGGGCAGCGGTTCAGGGGGTGTAAACCTCAACACCTCCCTCTCCCCCCCGCCCCCCCCCCCCCACTCAGCCCAAGCCCAACCCCATCACAACCCTCCCACAATGATCAATGCCCAACCCATAACTTCCCACAGCACTCAATCCCCTTCCCACAACGCCTAGCCTCTCCCATTCTGTTACACCCAACCCCCCCCACTCCCCAACAACCCTCTGCAATGCCCAATACCCCCTCCCCACCCTCCCAAACCCCCACTTCGCCAATACCCAGACCCCCACAACAGCTCAAATCCAACAATCTGGCATCTGCACCCTTCTGACGCAGAGGCATGAGCGCCATGTTGCCCCTTGCCCTCCCTTAGCCCACCCCCATTATGGAGCATGTAACGCAACCCCCCCTCCCCCTCCCCAGGCCCCCAAGGAATCGCACCTTTCATCTGATAGTCAAAGGTGAGCTCCTCCCCTGCCTTTATGGCCCTGGTGGAGAACAGCGCTATCCGGGGAAGCCGGGTGTCCAAACTGTCGATAAAAACATTGTAAACCTGAAGATTTGGGTCACACTGTAGGGAAAAAAGTCATAGGTTCGTATGCAGGTTTCATCCATCACAGCTCACAGTCCATCACAGCAACACACGTCAAACCCAGATTGTAACATGACACATCTAGATACCACGGTCTCTTAATGTGCATCTTAATGTCCCGTTAGCTCTTACTGAGAAACATGCTCACGAGCTGAAATTAACCCTGCAGTGTTTTTGGTCAGACGTGCGGAAACCTATCCCCCTGCTGAAGAGTCTCCAAAATCAGACCGAGTCCGATCTCACTCATGTACACCACAGACACAGGGAAAATCCCATGTGTTTGGAATGAATGGGTATTCTGTCTATCTCCCTCCCTCCCACCCGCCTCCCTCCTGGAGGGAAGCAATCCCAGAGAGTATTAGGCGCAGGTTGGCGAGAGCCAAGAATTGGGAGGAGCCCCAGAGTGTGTGCTGGAGGTGGAGGGGGTGGTAACTGCTAGAGTTTAATCAGTTAAAAACTACAAAGCTTGCCATTGAGAGCCCTGCCTGGCAAGTTTCACACCGCTCGTCCATCTAGGGCCACACCACCAGGGCCACAAAACCATGGGCTTTGGTTAACAGGAGCTGGGGAAACATTGGAGATCACAGTTACTTTGCCGTATATTTTTTAAAAAAGATTTCCTCATTAACGTGCGATTGCCATGCAGTCTGATCCGGTTATACCAGGTAGTCAGGGAAGGTGGGGTCGAAGATCAGCCCTTGGGTTATTACAGGTCTTGTGATCGGGGCTGCCATGGTTAACCTCTTTCTTCTAAAAAGATACCCAAAGTTGAGACACGCAGAACTTAGCGCAGTGGTTAGAGCACTCGCCTCGCAAGCGAGAGAACCCGGGTTCGATTCCCAGACGAGATAAAACCTTAGGCAAGTTTCCTTACTCTTTCCACACGCCTCTGTTTACCCAGCAGTAAGTAGGAACCCGGTTATTAGTCGATCGGCGGATCGCTTTTCCGGGGACAATAATCCCTTCAAAAAAAATAATAATTTGTTCACTCAATCCACGACTGTTTGTGGGACGCTACTGCCGCGTTTTTCCCACAAAATACACAGTCAATTCACTTTACAGTATATTCTGTGAAGCGCTTTTGAAGACGTGACAAGGCGCTGTATCAAGTACGAGGATTATTATGACTTACGCTGTGATTCACAAAGTGAGAAATGTTTCCAAATCTGCCCGCGTCCACAGTGTACTCGTCCTCCACGTAATCGAGGTCGAAGAGATACGTGACGCCCTTACTGTCGTAGAGCTGCCCTCTCCTGTCCGCCTCCTCGCTCGTGATCACCTGCCCACAGGGGAGAGAATCAGCGGAGAGGGGCAGAGGGAAAGGCGGTCTTGTTAAAGTTACCTGCGCGTCCGAGCCCTGACCATAGTCTGAGTTTGTGGTGACTGCCAGCGGTCAGCAGGGCAAGAGCAGAGGCATTACAAGAGTCTCTGCCCCCCAAATTTATGGGTGGTGGGGGGGTTCCTCCCCCATTCCCCCTGCCGGCCCACCACTCGACCTTACCTCGCCCACATACTCCATGACGAAGCTCTTCTTCCTGATGCTCTGCAGCGTCTTGACCCCCCAGCCTCTCCCGTCGCGAGTCCTGAAGATACACAGGTCGTAGCGGGTGCCCTTCTGCACCACCCGGTTGGGGCACTGGGGGCCGCAGTGGCAGCTGGAGTTACACTCGAAGATAGGCTTGCCTGGCTCGATGCACAGCTGCCCTCGCTCACTGAAGGCAAACTTGGCGCCCGCCTCCTCAGGGCAGCACTTGCCCTGCATACAGTCCAGGCAGTCGCACCCTATCAGAGGCTCTTGGTCCAGCTCAATGCCCGGCGTGGGCCGGTACTGGTTGATGTAATGGAAGTCCGTGGGGGGCAGCTCAAAGTCCACCTCGTTCTCCACCAGCACCCTCCCCTGGTGGGTCTTCTTGCGATTCAGCTCCTCCTCCCATCTCCTGAGCGCTATCCTCTGCTTCCCCTTCTGGATCACGTAGGTCATGGCCTCCGCCTCCTTGCCCGGCCTCTCACTCGCCCACCGCCTCCCCTTCAGGCTCTCCAGGAACCGGGTCTTGTCCTCCTGGAACTGCCTGACCAGCTGCACACTCCGCAGGTGCTTCCTGGGCTCCCAGGTGTTGGTGGATGCCGGCCAGCCTTTCCACTTCACCAGGTAGAAATCTGTCCCCTGCTCGGCAATACACACACACACAAGTCACTACACTCTGCACAGCAATAATGACAGTCACTACACTCTGCACAGCAATAAACACACAGTTACTGCCCTCTGCCTGGCAATAAACACAGTTACTGCCCTCTGCCCGGCAATAAACACAGTTACTGCCCTCTGCCCGGCAATAAACACAGTTACTGCCCTCTGCCCGGCAATAAACACACAGTTACTGCCCTCTGCCTGGCAATAAACACAGTTACTGCCCTCTGCCTGGCAATAAACACACAGTTACTGCCCTCTGCCCGGCAATAAACACAGTTACTGCCCTCTGCCTGGCAATAAACACACAGTTACTGCCCTCTGCCCGGCAATAAACACACAGTTACTGCCCTCTGCCTGGCAATAAACTTATCTACGCGTTTCACCTACAAAATACAGTTGATTCACTTTACAGTATATTCTGTGAAGCGCTTTGAGACGTCTCAAAGACGTGATAAGAAGCTATATCAAATGCAAATATTATTATTGTTGTTACAGTGCAATAAACATCTTTACACTGTGCCCGGCAATACACACACACAGACAGACACTGCTCTCGACAGGGCAATACACACAGTCACTCAATAATCTTAGACAATAAACTATTTTACACTCCATAAACACAGTCAACAAACTGCACACCAATAAACACACGGTCACTCAATAAACTTGGGCATTAACTCAGCCAATTAATCCACAGGTATGGGCAGCCCAGGGCCTCACTACTAATGCAGGTAATCCATCAATTGAAGAAATTTAATTGAGTGAGAGGGAGGGAGGGATAGAGGAGAGGAAGGACAAAGAGATTCATCAGTAATCTGACAGGACACACCCAAGGTCTACGGAGTGGGTTTTGGTTACAGCTTTTGCTTATGACCGGTCTCAAAAGTTCCTACATGAGAGAGGTCGGACCGAGTAAGTGTTAAGGCCCAAATTCTTAGCCCGTCAGCTTTAACAGCTAAGATGGCGCAGGAAATGGTGCAGAAACGAAAAAAAAAATCGTCAATTCATTCAAGTCTTTGATTTGGAAGGTTTAATAACAACAAAATAAATAATAGCATTAATCCTTGCATTTGACGTAGAGCCTCAACTCGTCTTCGAGACGTCTCAAAGCGCTTCACAGAATACGGCGTGAAGTGAAATTGTCTGTATATGCTGTGGGCGAAATACGGCAGCCAATTGCGCACAGCAGCGTCCCACAGACAGTCGTGGGTTGAGAGATCAAAATTATTAGTATTTATTTAGGGCTCTTGTGCTTAACATTTATTTTCTAAAGTTTAATCTGCTGAGCAGTGGTGAAACCCACACTCTCTCAAAAGCGCTCCACGGGATTGCCTGTGATTGACTGCGAAGTGTTGTGACTGTGTGTGTTGTGTAGGCGAACGCAGCAGTTGATCTTGTGCACAGCGACATCTCGCAAACAGCTGCGAAGCAAGTGACCGATTCTGTCTAATTCAGACAGAAGCTGTAACGGCTTTGAAAAAGGAAATCGAGGCAAATGTTTGAAAACAACAACTATTTATATTTTCATATTTACATACACGAACGATTCATCTTTTCAGGTCAGGAGGACGTCTTAAAATGCTTCACGCCTGGGTTTGGCAGAGCAGGGTAGGATGGGGGCAGGAAGGACAATGGGAGTGAGACAGGCCTGGGCTCGATGGGCCGAATGGCCTCCTTTCTTGCACTGTAAACATGTCTCACACCCTTCCTCCTCCCCCACCACCCCACCCATCCATCCTCTAGTCTGCTTTCAAGCCCATTTTGATCTAGAACCACTGAATTTACAGCACATAACAAGGCCATTTAGCCTATCGTGTGTGTGTGTGTGTGTGTGCGGGATCTTTTAACGGTAATCCTTAATCCCTTTTACCTGCCCTTTCTCTCCTCTTCCCCCCACCACCACTCCAATACTCCTGACTCCCCCCCCCCCACCACCCAACCTTCCGGCTTCAAAACGCTCCCAGAAGCCGGTCACTCACACTGTGCGACAGGGTCAGCAGCACATTCCCCTCCCTCCCCTCCGCTTGTGGCTCAGGGTTGGGGGGGGGGGGGGGTAAGGTCAGAGTCCATCTAACCCGAATCAGTCCCACCTTGGTTTTCCTGTAGCCGCATAGATACTCCACTTCGTACTCGTTTAGGATGTTGCGGCTGATGCCCAGAGCCCGGCAGGTCAGCTCCTCTTCCCGGCAAAGCTCCTGTAGAATTTCGATCGACGCCAAGCACGGCACACACCAAGCTGAGACACGGACGAAGGAGGTTTGATTTGCGGCTTCGTTTTTTTTCGGAAAAGAAAGTAAAAAAGTAAAAGAAGTCTCACTTCCAAGGTTTCCTTTGGAAACCAAAGACACCCGAAGCACGTTTTCCCCCCACAAAACACAGTCACTCCGCTTCACAATATATTCCACGAAGCGCTTTGAGACGTCGCATTGGAGTCGGGTAATAAGGCGCAATGCATCAGACGCAGCGGTTTATTGCTATTAGTAATTAGCGTCAGAGCTTGCGGCCGAGCCTGGGAGAGGGGAGGTGACCCTCGGCGTGGGTGAAGAGGGGGCGGTCTTCAAGGTGTGATCGTGGGGGTGGGGGCGAAGGAGGACATACAAACCCACAACCTTCTGACCCGGAGCCCCAGAGCGCGAGACTGCCCGGCAACGGAGAGGGAACACCCCGGGGACCTTCCACACGGGTGGGCTGAGGGGAGGGTGGGCTGAGGGGGAGTGGGGGGCAGCTTTCTCTCTCTCTCTCTCTCGCTCAGGCACACACTCTCTCACCCACTCTTCCTCACACTCTGCCCTTCCCTCACACTCACTGTCCACCTCACTCTCTCTCTCCCCCCCTCACTCTCTCTCTCCCTCACTCTCTCTCTCCCCCCCACTCTCTCCCCCCCCTCACTCTCTCCCCCCTCACTCTCTCCCCCCCTCTCTCACTCTCTCTCCACCGACACTCTCACCCCCTCAGTCTCCCCCCTCTCCTCACACACTCCCTCTCTCCCCACACCCCCCCCCCACTTCCCTCTCTCTCCCCACTCTCTCCACCTCCCTCTCTCTCTCCCCACACCCCCCCTCACTCCCTCTCTCCCCACTCTCTCCACCTCCCTCTCTCTCCCCACAACCCCCCTCACACCACTCTCTCCCCCCCCTTCACTCCCCCATTCACTCCCTCCCCTCACCCCCTCTCCCCTCACTCCCCATCACTCCCTCTCCCCCTCTCTCTCCCCCACACCCCCTTCACTCCCTCTCCCCCTTCACTCCCTCTCCCCCTCACTCCCTCCCCTTCACTCCCTCTCTCCCCCCACACCCCTCTCCCCCCACACCCCTCTCCCCCACACACCCCCTCTCCCCCCACACTCCCCTCCCCCCCTCCTCCCTCCCTCCCCCGCCCCCCTGTCTCACCGCCGGGCTTTGCCGCCATCTTGGCCTCTCTCCCCATTCAAACCCCGTGACGTCAGGCTGCGCGCGCGGCCCCGCGGCGACCGTCACCGCGCGCGGTTAAAGGGGCAGTGTCCGCCCGCCACATTAAACGTCGGCCGCTCGGAACCGACCCAACCCACCTCCACTTAAAGGGGAGGGGCACCGGCCTGGACGGGCAACAGGTGGGAGGGACAAATGGGGGCGGGGCGGGGGAGAGAATAGTGGGGGGCAGAGCGGGCAGGAGGGGGGGTGGGGAGAGGAGAGTGTAAGGGGAAAGCGCGGAGGTAGAGAGCGGAGGGAGGTCAGGGGTGGGGGGGGCGGATTTGCAAGCGGGAAGAGGGGGTGGGGAGTGGGGGGAGGAGAGGGTGGGGGAGAGGGTGGGGGGTGTGGGTCTTGGGACTGGATTGGCTCCCAGGTGACCCGCCTGGCGACGGAATGTGGGAACCGCGCCCCCACTCTCTGTGCCGGTCTCCAGTCCCCGGGTCAGGAGGGGCCGCAGTGTCCCAGGGCACTCACTGCTGAGGGCAGCACAGCCCGGCCCGGCCCGGCGGCAGGACCTGGGAGGGCCGACCAGTCACTGGGGGCCGGGAATCCTCCCCACAAAATACAGTCAATTCACTTTACAGTATATTCTGTGAAGCGCTTTGAGACGTCTCTATGCTCTGAAAAAGCGCAATATCAAATCCAAGGATTATTATTATTATTTATTATTATTATAATCCTCCCATTCAGCTCCCGTTAACCCTGTGAGCCACTGCCCTAACAGGGACCTTGCCAGATGCAGGTAACCTCCCCATGTTGTTGAGACAGCTGGAGTCGCCGTCTGTTTAAAACCCTCACGGAAGCCTTAATTGGCCAATTAATATCCAAAGCAAAGGTTTATTAATTATTCTTTTAAGAAAGCAACATTTTCACTTGTTTAGCCACTTAATTAAGGCAACGTGCAATTCCCTCTGCGCACCCATGTTTACACCGGAGCATAGTTTTCTTGTGGGGGGGGGGGGGGGGGGGAAACAGAGGGGAATTACATCTCCACGTCAGTAGTACATCAGGAAGTGAATCTCCTCCAGGGAACCTCATTTCCGTCACCCCGACTCGCGAGAATGCAGCCCCAAGGTAACTGCGGAATAACTCTCTCTCCTCCCCTGCCCATTGATTACATGCAGTTTACACACCGCACACATAATAATGTTACCGCTGGGGTTTATAAATGGCTCACACGTCCTTAATGTCTGTAATGTTTAGCGATATTTAAGTGCTCTAAGATGCTAGCGTGAGTGAAGGGACGCTATATCAATGCAAGTTGCGGTCGATAGCAATTACCTGCAAAGTGCTTTAGAAATGTTTTGCAGTTCCGGGCACAATCCCAATGCGAGGATTCTTATTAATTTATTGTCGTTGTTGGGTGAACGCGGAAGGAGGTCAGTCTGCACGAAGACACCTTATAGCGAGTGGCCTTACTTAGACCGTTTGTCTGCCGACCCTTTTTGAAGTCACAAGCGGCATTTAAACAGTCAACACTCGTATGGTTGAGCGGGAGCTGGGTCCAGATGTCACAGGAGGGGAGGGGTAGGGAAGAGCATACAAATAAAGGGGAGAGAAGAGTGAGGATGGAGAGGTTTATTCTGGAGACCTAATTTTCACATAGTCCCAGAAACACTGACAGGAGCTAAGTGTCTCTGTTCGGTGTGTCTCTATTATAACAGTCCTGATTTCTTCCCCGACATTACTACGACACGGCATCGATGGTGACCATTTCTGAAATGCCCGTTCCTTGTTCCGTACAGGTGACGTGCAACGATCCGTCCCTTTAAAAGAAATGAAGAAAAGACGGCTGAATGAAGATCAATTTACCCTAAGTCAGAGCAGCACCGAAACAAACCCCTCACCGCTTAAAAAGGTTCTCGATTACTATCCACCTTTTGGGTGAGTGAGTAGTGGTGGTGGGGGGGGGGGGGGCGGGGGATGTGACGGAGTAGTTTGGGGGTAAGAGCTGGCTCCAAGTGGTGAGTTTGGCAACAGAATGTTGTTCTCAATGGTAAGGGATGTGGGGTGTAGTCGGTTAAACACCAACACACGCTCCAAGATTCCACCCCTCCCCAACCTGCGCCTAACACTCTCCAGAAATACACACGCAAGGCGGGTGCGGCCCTCCAGAGAGACCAAGTGCGCATTCCATTCCATTCGGGGAAGCCTACCTCTTCATGGTGAGTACAGCTACGATATTGTGAGGGCCGTCCTCCTTCTTCTGCAGGTTTTTCAGCACAATCTAATGTGACAAAAAGGAAAATAAAGTCAAAAGGTTGCCTCTCCTTTTACAAAACAAAATACGACATGTCCACATCCCACCCACCCAGCCTGCCGCACCGTGGCGGATCAGGCTCGAGGGGCTGAATGGCCTCCTCCTGTTCCTGGTTCCTAAGAGGAGGGAGAAATCTTGTAGCTTAACGCTCAGTACGTGACACGTTGGCAGGTATACCAATCCCAGAAGGAAATGCACACCCCTCTCACCTGGGCCACTTTGTTGGTCTCCTGCTTGCAGCCTTTGTCCTCAGACTCATACAGCTCAAGACAGGCTGAGGAAAGGTCCCCCGAAGCCTGAAAAGTGTGGGGTCTTCGAGCCGGCAGTGGCGTGCCCGATGGGAAAACGACAGTGTACACGTCAGTCCCTGCATCGTCAGTCTCCTACAGAAAACAAAAGAGTTAGAATTTGTTCGTTGACTGACAAGTCTTTTTTGGGGTCAGATGGGTGGAAACCCATCTCCGGGCTCGAGTATCTAAACCAAACAACTGAGAGTTCCATATGTTCGTGGAAACCTGTCTCTAAGGAGTGTGGACACCCCCAGAGGAACCCACCCTGCCTCCCTTATGCCAGAGAGCAATAGCCACAGAGACAAGTCCTAGGGGTATGTGTTGGGGAGGTACTGCTGGAGTATAGCAATCTTATACGACACAGCTCACCATTTCAAACACTAACTGGCTAGCACACCCGCCATTTGACTACCTCTATGTAGGTCTTAGCCTTGAGGGTTAACGGCAGCTGAGTGGGAGGAATCCCTTCTCCCTTGTGGAAGTAATAACCCCAACAAAGTGGAATTATTAATGGAAACAATGTGTAACACTTTTTTCTCTCTTGTACCAGACCAGCAAGACAGATCACAAAGATCTTTATCTCGTGCTGCACAATAAAAGTTGTGTCGGGCTCCGAGCTCTGGAACACTGCCCTGCGCGAGGGGTGCTATATAAATGCAAGTTGCTGTTGTTGGTGGTGTTCCCCTACCTTGGCGAGGATGTTCCGGGCAGAGCACTCCACGGTGACCGTGTCTTCCTCGGGCGCGATGCTTTCCTTTCCCAGCAAGATGGCGGCCTCGGTGGCGGCGCCCATGGCGATGACCTCGTCCGGGGGGATGGAGTTCAGGAGCTCGACGTCTGGGAGCAGCTCTCGGATCATCTGCTGCAGCTTGGGGACCCGAGCCGAGCCTCCGCAGAGAACCACCTGGGTTGGACCAATCAGAGAGTCGTCGCAACCAACCATTTGATACAGCGCCTCATTACGTCATCGAGACACCGCAGAGCGCTTCACAGAATATACTGTAAAGTGTAGTGACTGTGTGATATCTGGCCAAAACGCAGCAGCCAATTGCACACAGCAGCGTCCCACAAACAGCCATGAAATAAATGCCCAATTTTATTTGTGGGAAAACCCTTTTCTCTTTTCGAATAGCTCCGCGGGATCTTTAACATCCACCTGAACAGGCAGACGGGGAGCTCGGTTTAACGTCTCATCCGAAGGACGCAACAGAACCACTACATTTCAGCAAACGTTAAGATTCTTTACCTTAGATATGTCACTTCCAGCAAGCCCAACTTCATCCAGAAGCTTCTGAATAGGTTGTATACTTTGAGTAAAGAGCGTTGAGCACACAGATTCAAACCTTGCCCTAAATGCAATAGAACCCAGTTATAATGTGCCTTAATAAAACACGGCTCATGCTTAAAGGGCGTTCGGGATGTGAACCCAGACATTTACCAACGCAAAAAAATCCAATGTGTCCAGAAAACTGCACAGCTCGCTTCAAAACACGGTTTCCTGTGCACTTAAAAACAACATCTGTTGGTCACTGGGTCGCTGTTGATGTCACATCCTGTGCGCTCTGCAGGTGCAGGATGTGATATTAACAGAGACCACAAAAAGCCGGTCGGCATTTGAAGTGAGGTGTTTCTGCGGTGTGTAACGGTGGCCCATTATAGCAGTAAACCTCTCATCCTAGTGAATAGCCCCTATACACTCTTTATGGCCTCGATATTGTCGATTTGCTGGATCTTACTACGTACTTGAGGGAAAAAAATACAGACACGAGTGGAGTTCCACTTCAGCCTCTGGATCAATTGCAGTAATCATTTCAGCCAAGAGTAGTTCCTTGAAATAATCCTTTGTTACATCTACCATCATCTAATAATCCTGAGGCCTTTTAAAGTCTGGATTGAAACCCAAAACTACAGGGACAGTTCATTCCCAACACAGTGTAATTGTGTTTAATACCTGGACACATTACAGTCAAAGTCCAAGCCATCGTGCAGAGAGTCGACAAAACAGTTTGAACTTCCCAAGGTCGACAAAGCATGCTTAGCCACTTCAGCGCTGTTCACCAGCTTCATCATGGCTCGGGGGTTTTGCTTGACATCTTGTCTGAACAATCTGTGAAGGTAAGAGGTTTGAATATTTAATCCAATCAAGACTTCAGTTAAAGCCCAAGGGCATCTCTCGTTTTACAACATTTATACAACACCTTTCATGCAGGGCAGCGTCTAGGAGCGCTTAACGGTGGCGGAGGGTGCCTGATGCCGAGCCTGGAGGAGGGAGGGAGGGAGGAGGTGACCGTAAGCACTTTCGAGGTGGAAGTTCTACAGTCAGAAGAGGGAAAAGATAGGGCGACATGGAGGGATTGAGGGAGAGAGTTACAAAGCTTCGGGGTATAGTAGTTATCATCCGGTGAGTTACCTCTGAAATTCCAAAGACAAGTAGTGTGCCAAGGCCTCTGTGAAACACTCTCCTCCTATACTGTCGTCCGTGTTAGAGGCAAGAACCCTGTACATGCCGCTGTTCACTTCAACCACTGTCACAGACAGCGACGATCCTCCAAGTTTGTAAACCAGCACGTGGCTATGAAGACACAGAATACAATTAGTAACGTAGGAAAAGCTGTACGAAAAAATTGACCTGACCATACCGACTTGAAAAAGCAAAATATCTTAGATCGCAACGCAATTCCTTATCTAACGCTTTAGTATTTAACATCTTCAGTGATACATAGAACTTTACAGCGTTTACAGCTAGATCCCACAACCAGCAAACATTTTTTTACGTGGGGGATTATCGGCCAGGACACTGGGAGAAAGAAACCTGTTATTTATTTATCAGCTGAACAGCAGCCAGCAAGCTGATACACTAAATGGGCAAGTAAAAAAAACATATTGGGCCTTAATACAACAACAATTTCACTTGTACAGCGCCTTTCATGTCTGGAGGACGTCTCAAGGCGCTGGACAGTCTGGACCTGAACAGGGGGTTGGGATCAGGAGGGTTGCTGGAGGGCAGGGTGGGTCGGGGTAGGAGGGTGACTGGTCGCGGTCCAACTGGGTCTTGAGATGGGCAAATCTGACAGTTCCGCACTTTAACGTATCAAGCACGGTTTAGGCGCTGCAAGCTTCGAAGAATCGAGCGAAGACCTACCTTTTCCCTGTAGGCGACTCCTGTCCCACTCCAAATGCAAGCAGTGCGGCTGCCGGCTCGTGAACCAATCGCAGGACGTTGAACCCTGCTGCCTGGGCTGCCTGTCTGCACAGCAAAACATTTCACACTGAGGAAACTCAAAAAAAATTGCGTTGCACCAAAAAGTAAACTTTTTTTTTAAAAAGATCGTTTTGTTTCAAAAAGTGATCCTGGAAGTGGAATAATCCTGCTATCTGATGCGAGGAAAGTCAGTCCTGAGAATGGATTTGCTCCTCCCTCCCCAATTCAAGGTCAGCATCATGAATAGATTAGATGCAGGATGTAACACACTAAACTGTCCAAGTTATTTTAGTACTGTAACAATCATATGTTTGCGAACTGAAATGTACAGAACAAGTCGGGCCCTGGAGACAGGAGTTTCTGCTGGCGTCCTGGCACTCAAACAGTTAAAAATGCATTTTTTTAATTAAAAACCTCTCCTCCCCCACCACCCCCCAAACCTTTGATAAATGACCTGCCTCTCAGTTTACCTTAGAACATTTTTCTGGTTCTTTCCGAAGTCCAGTGGGACTGTTATAACCACATCGTTCACATCAGAACCCAAAGCTGAATGAGCAGTTTCTGTTTGTGAAACAAAAAACAGATTCCTAAAACGACCTTTATTAACTGGTGTGACGAAAATACGTTCTGGGCGTTAGACATCAGTTCATTGCAAGAAAATGTAGCATCATGGAAACAATACAGAGTCTTTAATCTGGAAAATGTTTATAATAGTAATCCTTGCATTTGATATAGCGCTTTTCACGTCTTTACAGTATACTGTAAAGTGAATTGACTACATATTTGTGGGCAAAACGCATCAGCTGTTTTATAAACAGAATACATCTGCTTTCCGCGAACTTTCTCACTCACCCTTCATTTTCTCGAAAATCAGCTTGGTGACCTCCTCAGGAGTGATGGTCTTCAGATCTTCACCGGTATCAATCTCATATCTAGGTTTGCCGTCCTTGTCAATCACCTAGTCAACACAAAGCATTCATAAACAATTTCAACTCACCATCTTGACAAGGAAACCCGACTTAAAAAAAATCAAGAGCGGCTTTGATACTGTGGTACTTACAGAACATTTGCTTTCAGCCACGTGTTTCTGAACTTGGGGATCCTGGAACCTATGGTTTTGAAAAAAACATCAAAATAATAATAATACTTTCATTTGATATAATGCCTTATCACGCAGATGAGATTTGACAAAAAGATTTGAAAGGCCAAATTAGAAGCACATTGTTATAGAAAATGGCAAAATACAATGGGTAACTGGTCCTATCGATCAAATGTTTTGTTAGCGCGGTCTCCCTGTTACAGCACAGCGAATGCAGTGAAAACTTCGGTTGGCAATGCTCTATTCCAGTCCAGTAAGTTGCTGTAAAATGTACCGTTACGGCCAACAGTTATACCAAATACTTGCTCAAGAGCACTCACTGTCGTCCGAGAATCTGCTTTACTTTTGTGACCGTGTTTGACGCATTCCGGATTCTGCCTTGTTTTGCTGCCAAGCCGACAATCTGAAACAAGCAATTGAAATCAGCGAGGGGCATCCTGGTATTTCAACAGTGCACTGAGCGTCTCAAATACACAAAAGAGAGCTCGTCCTTTGCATCACCTTTTCATTTTCTCTATAAGCAACAACTGCTGGGGTGACCCGATCTCCCGAATCATTCGCCACAACATCCGCCCGGCTGTCCTGGAAGGCAACAAACATTCAAGTTAGTTAGACGTTTGCACCCCATATAAACATAGGGAATATTACCAGCCGTGATAAGCTGACGATGCACTGAAGGAAACTGCAGCAAGGATTTTACCATAACACTGCAGTGACTGTGTTTTGAGGGCGAACGTCTGCCATATCCACCCGCTCAGGTGGACATTAAAGAGTTCTGAAACGTATCCTTCACAGGATATACCATTAAAGTGCAGCGACTGTGCGTTTTGCGGGCGAAAAGCGGGGCAGCAGTTGCACGAGCGGCGTCCCCGCAAACCGCCGTAGAGCGAGCGGCCGGTTTCACCTCGACTGTGGGGCAGGACACCGGGAGAGAGAGAGAGAGAGAGAGAGAGAGAAACTCCCTTCGCTCTTCCCCACAGCGCCGCGGGATCTTTTAACGTCCACCTGAACGGCTCCTCCGAAGGACGGCGTCTCCGGCCATGCGACAGCCCCCCACTCCCCCCCCCCAGCGCTGCACTGGAGCGTCAGCTTAGACTGTGTGATTCCGAGCCCTGACAGTGAGGCCTTGAACCCACAACCTTCTGAACTCAGAGACAAGAGAGAGAGAGAGAGAGTCTGATCCCTACTCTCTATCCGCGCTTTGGAAGAAGTAGAAGAAGAAGAAGAAAAAAAACAGCGCAGCCATCAGCTCGTCCATCTAAACAGACGCCCCGCCCTGTCCGGCTGCCCGGGTATCGCGGTTGATACCTTGTAAACCGCCACACAGCAGCAAGTGGTGCCCAGGTGCACGCCGATGGCCGCCATGTTTGCCGGACAGGACGCCGGCGGTGGGGCGGGAGCGCGCGAAGCACGCCGGGATCGCACCGGGAGGACCAATCGGCGGACTCGGCTGGCCTCGTGGGGCGGGGCGGGGTGTGGCGAAAGGAGTCACTGACCAATCAGCGCCGGGGAAGGGGGTGGAGGGTGCATCCCATTCTGACCAATCAACCCCGGGATATCTTCGACCAATCAGCGCGGCGGCGGGTAGCGCGTCACTCGCCCTAGCAACAAGGGGGCAAAAAAAAAGCGCTTTGGTGTTTGAATAATTTCCGTTTAACGGTTTTTTTTTCTCTCTCTCCGTCTCTCGCGCTGTCTCTCCTGAGGGAAGCGAAGCAATGGCGGCGGCGGCGGCGCGGCGGTGTCTGTGGGGCTCTCTCCTCCCCTTGCTGCTGACTGCGGGCGCGGGGCGAAGCGAGGCCGACTGTGAAGGTGAGGTACCACACCCCACCCCTCCTCCTCCTGTCCCAGATCCTCCTCCTTCCTCACGACGCCGCCGCCGCCGCCATGTCTCCCCCCCTTCTTCTTCCCTCCTGTGAGGTGATGACTTTCGCCCTCCTCTCTCTCTCTCTCTCTCTCGCGCGTGTGTGTGTGGGTGTGTGTGTGGGTGTGTGCGCGCCTCCCACTCGCTCCCACTATTCATTAATTTCTTTTATCTATTTGTTCCTCCCCCTCCCCTCCCCCCCCCGATAATAACAATAAGAATAATAAATAAAACCTTTTCATTAAATCCGCCCAAAAAAAATCGCGTCGAGAGGCGATAAATAATCACCTCGCATCGCAGGAACAGGAGGAGGCCATTCAGCCCCTCGAGCCTGTTCCCCCTGACCGTCCAGCACACTGGACCGTCCAGCGCCTTGGGACGTCCCCCCCCCGACTTGAAAGACCGCTGTAATTTTGTTGTTGTTGTCGTGGTTGAGACCCTGACCTCACCAATGTCTATCCGCGTCGAGCGTCTTAATAACATTTGCTCGTTGTGTAACGAGTCCCTCAAGTCCGCGATCTTATAATAATTCCGCCTGACCCGGCAAAGCTCGCTTTGGGTCTGGCCGCCCGTGCTTTTCATACACAGTCGTCCTCGCAATCGTCCTCAAGGAAACTTGAGCCCCCCATTGAGCCTGTGGATGTTGGCCCCAATTATTAATGGGTTTATAGAAATATACGTTTGGCCGTGGATGGGGCTGTACCAGTCACGTGGAGTTCGCTGGACTTTACAGATACTTTACAAAAAGCGCTTTGAAAAGTTTCCCATGCGAGTATTATTATCATAGAGAGACGTGCTGGTGTCAGCTTGTCAAACACAGGTTTCACCCAAACATGTACACAGTATATCCTGTGAAGCGCTTTGACATGTCTCAATGACGTGATAAGGCGCTATATCAATGCAAGGATTATTATTATTATAGCCATACACGCTCTCTAATCCCAATTCTGTTCCCTTTTATATTGTTCCTCTTGAATGTTTCATCAAATGTGTATTATAAATGTTTCAGTCTCCAGCTCGAATAGTCTCTTGGCAGCAAAGTATTTTGTGTTCTAATATTCCTCTGTGTGGGGAAGTCGCCTAACCTTCCTCCTCAACTCTTCCAGTGACGATGCTAAATTTATACTCCCTCGTTATCAAATCACCAATCAATTGGAATAATTGCATTTCAAAGGTTCGAACCTGAATCCCACTGCTGAATCATGATTCCCAGTGAGTGAACTGAATTCATTTTGCTACGATTGTACATTGCAGCATTTTTGTAACTGAGGCAAACCCAAAAGGAGAACATTTGTCAGCTAAACAAAAGAACTGTATTTCCTGCCAATTCTGTTCTATTTGTTGAAGAAAGAATGGTTTGGGCAGTCAGGCAGTCTTGAGGAAATGTCTCATTGAGAGAGTTGATGCTTTGAGGTGTATGCCATTTGTAGATAACCTGTGTGAAGCAGTTTGAATCATGCAAATAACATGTTATAAATGTGTCTGACCTATGTAAGCATGTTTAGCACACACAGGCAGCGAAATTCATGAAGAGATACTAAAGACTCGGGTGCAGCAAGCGGTGCATTATAAACATTTTATGTACATGGTGAGTGTGTGTCTGTGAAGTCTTTAACATGCTTTTTGTAGGAACGCCAATCATAATCCTAACAAAGTGTTGAATTCATATCCTATATAAAATACGGTTTAGTTTATCTTGTTAATTATCTAACCTCTTGGGGATAATCTCCTCTGTTTGCCTAATCTGATGAATCTGTTTCTGTTTGTTTGTAATACAAAATTTCCCATTTCTCATGCAAATCATATCTCCACCCCTAGTGCATGGTGCAGGATAATCGCATTACCCTTCCATAATGCAGAACATTCGTTGAACCATGCCTTTTTGTCGTTTAATGATAACTCCAATGTTAGAGGGTGGAACATTGCTACAGAACACTATCACATTTAAGCAGATTTACTTTAAAGTTATGCCATTGCACTTCTTGTATAATGCTCTTAATTCATCCCCTCAAGTTGCTCCCATTACTGTTACTAGTATTTCACCCTGGTGTGGAATAGCTCAAAATATAATTTCGCACACGCAGAGGAGGTCACCCTCCGTGTAAATGTCATTTATGGTTGTTGTTGTTGTAAAGAAAATGAATAATTGTACTGCTGGGCATATAGTTGATTTAAAAACCTCATATACAAATATATATCATAACATTTTACTGAATTCCTAGTTGGGGAGAGAGAGAGAGAGCTCTCCATGTCCGTGTCCTTCCATGTCCATTCAGCCCTAAATTTTCTTGGTGTGAATTTTCTTGGTTTGGATTCTTGCAATTGACATAGCTATTATCACAAATGACTTCAGCAAAATTACTTTGGATTCATATTGATTTGAAGGGATTTTTTCAAGATTAAATTACTTGTATTCGTTCACAAATGAAGGCAGTGTAAAGTTTTAAATTTGGAATTTAAAACTATGCACATCTGGAACTCTCTCTCTCCCCCCCAAAAAGGCTGTATATGCTGAATCAATTGAAATTTTCAAGACTGAGGTGGCTAAGATGCTTGTTAGGTCAGGATATTAAGGGATATGGGGCAAATGCGGGTAAATGGAGTTGAGATACAGATCATGATCTAACAGAATGATGGTATAGACTCATATATTTGTACAGTAGGTTTTTAAATCTACATAGCCTACTTATGTTCCTATATTTTAACAATGCTACCATTGAAAATAGGGTACTTTTGCCTTGACATTCTCTGTTGGTGTTACAATAATTTGTATGAACACTTTTATCGGAGATTTGTGAGCATTTTAACGTTTGAGACAGGCCAAAAGGACCACATCGGTCTTAAGCTCCTGTATGTCTTATCAACCGAGAAGATTCAACCTATATTAATAGCTTCTTATTTCTACAAGTAAAGACAAGTTGCTCACTTTGTGTGTGTGTGTGTGTGTGTGTGTGAGAATACAAGCTTAGACTTATCTCAGACTTAGTATTTTCTGAGACATTTAATTCCCAGTTTTGACTGTTTTTTCATATTTTCTGGTTCTCAGTATGCATTGGATTCCTGGATAAATTCTACAAATATTTGCAAGCCCAAGATGTAGAATTCACACCAGAATACATCGAAACAGAATTAATACTAATGTGCGAGAATACCAGAGGAAAGGAAAACCGCCTGGTAAGTGTGCAAAGTGTGGACACAGAATTCCGGTTCAAATTCAACAAAGAAAAGACATAATAATCCTTGCATTTTGTATAGGGCCTTATCGCATTGTCAAAACTTCGCAAAGCGCTTCACGGAATACACTGTAAAGTGGATTGACTGTATATTTTGTGTGTGAAACGTGGCAGCTAAATTACTTCACAAACACTATCTAATATCTATTTAAAACAATTGACGAGTGAGTTTAAGCGCTCCAAGTCTCTACCTCGCATGAAGGGCCCTTTAAAGTGCAAGTTGTTGTTGAGTTCCTGTTACATTCTTGAGATTTTTGTTAAGAGTTTAACTATCTGACAAGTAACTGGATGACTTCAGCTTTGCTGAATCAGACAAGATGTATCTTCTTGCTTACTCTACAAATACACACTGCACTTTCAGTAAACCTTATTTTCCGCATGTGACAGGCGCTTGATCAAATGTAACTGTATTTTTTCTGCAGTGTTATTACATTGGAGGAACAAGTGATGCAGCGACCAGAATTATCAATGAAGTCGTCCGTCCTCTGAGTGCCCACGTGCCGGTTACTAACATTTGTGAAAAACTGAAGAAGAAAGACTCTCAGATTTGTGAACTCAGATATGGTACAGCAGCGGCCTTTCCCTCTATTAATAATAATAATCCTTGTATTTGGTATTGGGCCTTATCATGTAATTGAGACGTCTCAAAGCGCTTCACAGAATATAAAGTGCGGCGACTATTTTGTGGGCGAAACGCGGCAGCCAATTGGATTGAGGGACCACATTATTTTTGGGGGAAGGAATTATTACTCCCAGAAAGCAATCCGCCAATTGACCAAAACCAGGTTCCGAGAGCTCTTTACGATGTTAAGTAGAAAAATAAAGTTGTACTTAATGTTATTATTTTTATTATTATATTTGTATTATTATGTCATGTCTACGCCTGCAGTGATAAACAACTTGTATTTATATAGCGCCCTCCGCGCTGGATGGCGTCTCATAGCACTTAAACAAAGCATGATGTTGTATTGGTTAAATGGTTAAACGGCTGTGTCCTTGTTCCCCAGATAAGGTGTTGGATCTGACCAGGGCTAAGCTCTCAACAATGCGAGTGGCTGATCTGAAAAGGATCCTGGATAACTGGAGCGAGGTGTGCCGGGCTTGTGCGGAGAAAAGCGAATTTGTCGATTTAATCTTGGCATTGGCACCCAAGTACAGCTCTGACTTCATAGATCCCAAAGATGATCTATAAACAGCGCACACCTAGGTTTCTAATAAAATCAATTAATAATAAATCAAATTAAAGTATTTATTTAGAAAGGCCAGTTGGAAGCTATAATTTATTTTCGATCTGTATATGCCATGCATAGCATGCTACAAAAATAAATTTGCTACATATTTTACCAGTATTTTCAGTGAATTTTCTTGGGTAAAGTGATGGTGAAGGGAGTTTTAGGAACATAATCTGTGCTTCAGAAGTCTGTAATCTTAGAAGAGAGTTTCTCCTAGTGTCCTGGCCAACAATCTCCCTGAGTAAAAGTTTGTCATTCGCTTCATGGCTGTTTGTGGGATGTTGTACACAAATTGGCTGCCGCGGTTGATCACAAAAAAATTACAATCGCTCCACAGCACAATGTGATAAGGAGCTATATCAAATGCAAAGATTATAATTATTAAAAGACTCATTTTTCCCAGGCAACTTTCTGGAGCAATGGCAAACATTCGCCCTCAAAATACATAGTCACTACACTTCACAGTCAAATCCCATAAAGCGCTTTGGGGCATCCTGACGTGAAAGGCACTAAATTAAATGGATAATTATTTGACCACGCAAATGTCAAAAGTATTGTTATTTGACCGCACTTCTGTGTGCAGAATTTTCTTTTGCTCACTTCTAATCAGTCTAGCTTTGATTTGGATCTTACGTCCCCTTGTTGGGCCTTCTCTCTTCCTGAAGCCAATGAGCTCTCTGTGCCCCCAGAGTACTTTATAATCTTGTTATTAAATTATTATTAAAGTAACTGTTTCACGAATGCAGCACTATTTATTACCCTTTCTCAAAGACAATTGCCTTGAGTGGCCACGATGGGGCGCTCTTCAGCAATTTCGACCATTGTGGCCATTACAAGGTATTGTATATTTTGGTTCATTAACAATAATAATAATAATGTTTTGCATTTGATACAGAGCCTTTCGTATCAGGAGGATATTGGAAAATGCTTCTCAGGATCTACTGTAAAGCGCAGTGACTGTTTTGTAGATGAAACCGGCAGCTATTTGCACAACGCCATGTCCCCACAAACAGCCATGAAGTGAGTGACCAACAACAAATTATGTTTCTAATTGCACCTTTCACGTCGGGAGGACGTCCCAAGGCGCTGGACAGTCAGGATTTACAGGATGTTGGTATCAGGGAGGTGGAGGGTAGGAGTAGGAGGGTGACCGAAGGCGCAGTCGAACAGGAGGGTCTTGAGACAGATCTTGAAGGAGCCAAGCGAGGGGCAAGGCGAAGGGACTGTGGGATGGAGTTCTAGAGGGTGGGGGCGAAGAGATGGGCGGGGAACGTGGAGCAGGCCAGAGCCTGCTGAGCGGACAGGTCAGTAAGGAGACAGGAAGGGGCAATGCCATGGAGGGCTTTGACAGTGATTTTGAACTCTATCCTCTGGGGAGGTGGGGAGCCAATGGAGCTGGGTGAGGATGGGGGTGATAGGTTCATGGAACTTGATAAAAATTAATACTTAACCATTCGGTTCTAGGGGTTTTGAATCAAATCGATTTTCTGCAACAGCAAAAAAGCGGTTAAAAGCAGAGACTGGGTAAAGAACTTTGGAAAGGTATTTGCTTTGTGAATGCTCTGTATTGCACAAACATAGAGGTGAGGTTAATAGATAATGAGGTCAGTATTGTGATCTTACTTGACTGAGACTTCCAGAGTTCTGGATGATCTGCAGCTTGTGGAGGAAGAGTTGGGGAGGCTGGCGCAATATAGCCTGGACGTGATGAATGTGTGGATGAGGGTCTCGGCAGCCTGAAGGGAGAGGGATTGGTGGCGGCAGATAATATTACGGCGGTAGTGGAAAGCTGAACTGGTTAGAGCACGGATGTGAGGTTTAAAGGACAGCTGAGAGCCAAACAGGCCACTGAGTTTTCACACCGGCTCAAAATATCACACCAAAATGCAAAGTTGTTACATTTCATAGTAAAGTGTGTGTCAGCCTGGCTCAGTTTGTACCAGCACTTTACTTCTGAGTCACAAAGTTGTAGGTTCAAGCCCCCATGTTGGGATTTTGAATTCACAATTTAGGCTGATGCATTGTTGGAGATGCGGTCCTTGAGATGAGACTTTAAACCGAGGTCCTGTCCATGCGGTGGATATTAAAGATGTTATCACTGTGTAGCTCTGTATCTCTATTTAGCTCCTTAGGCAAGTTTCCTTACTCCACACACCTCTGTTTACCTACTACCTAGGTCACAGGTAGAAAGGGGCAATCCCATGGATGGAGGGCTTCGACAGCAAGGACAAGGATTTTGAACTCTGTCCTCTGGGGGGGGGGCGGGGTTGTTAGTCAATTGGTGGTTCACTTTCAGGTGGTAAGAATACCTCACACAAAAATGTGGTCACTTAATCCACGACTATTTGTGGGACATTGCTGTGTGCAATTGACTATCGTATTTCGCGCACAAAGGGTATAGTCTTTACAGTATATTCTGTGAAGAGCTTTGAGACATCTCAATGATATGATAAGGCGCTGTATTGAATGAAAGAGTGTTATTGTTATGTAACTATTTAACTCTATATATCTCTGTAGCTCTACTTAGCTCTATGTGGCTGAATGTATCTGGCTGCCGTGTTGGGGTGGTGAGCAGCAATAATGAAGACACAATGAGCCTTGTGAGCTTTTGCTGTGCTGCAAATTGTCTTTGAGGTGAAACCGCAGTTAAAAGTCAACTCTCTTGTGTACCAGAGGATATCACTGTTTAACATCTGCTGCCAACCCCTTCCCCTGTACCATTGCCCAACTAAACAAGATCAGTCTGATTAGTCTGTTGTGCTGTCATCCTCGCTCACAGTTCTTAGTTACTTGGGCGTTGGTTGTTTTTTCGATCAGATAATGTTTGCAGCTTTTTCTACATCGAATAGCCTTCATATCATTCCTTTATTTAAGAATCGTTAATAATAATTCTTGCATTTTAAACAGCTCCTTATCACGTCGTTGAGATGTCTCAAAGCAATTTACAAATGTATTGTAGGCGAAATACAGCAGCCAATTGCACACAGCAACATCCCACAGACGGTCCAATTTTTTTTATTTTTGCAGGGATTATTATCCCCACAAAGTATCTGCCATTTGACTGACAACTGAGTTCCTACTTGCTGCTAGGTTAGCTCATAGTCTAAGCTGACGCTCCAGTGAGGTGCTGGGTGAAGGGTGGGGGTCGGAGACGCTGTCCTTCGGAGGAGACGTTAAACCTCACTCCCCGTCTGCCTGTTCAGGTGGACATTAAAAGATCCCGCGGCGCTGTTCGAAAAGAGAAGGGAGTTTCTCCCTCTCCCCGTCCTAGCCGACAATCCCCCAGATACAATCGGTCACTCATTCCGCGGCTGTTTGTGGGGACGCTGCTGTGCGCAATTGGCTGCCACGTTTCGCCCGCAAAAGACACATACTTTGCAGTGTATCCTGTGAAGCGCTTTGAGACTTGATAAGGCGCTGTATCAAATGCAGGGATTATTATTATTAATAATAATATTAAAGGCAAGTTGTTGTCGAAACAAACAACGTTTGAGCCAACGCACAAATGCCTCCTTCGGAGCCCGAAGATTAAATATTTAATGGCGTGTAACTGTAGAACGAGTGCGATCTTCCCTCCATAGCGTTGAATGAACAGAATGTCAGGGCCGATTGCTTTCTCATAGTCGCAGGTAACTCAACGCCTGTGTGGCTGCTCTCGAGAGTCAACAGCCTTGACGACACTCAATCGCTCGGCAGGGGAAAGACCTCTGTCCCTGTAACACTGTAAGCTTTCATTGTGTATCCAGGCCTTGTGTATCCTGGCTCGTTCAGTTCAATGTGTTTGCAAGCGGGAGGGAGCTGAGCTGGTGAAATGCCTCTGCATCCGTGCTCCGCTCTGCTGCACTGCTTCGGGGGAGCCGGCGAGAGCGGGGGGCAAGAAATGCCAGCGCTAGACCCCCTCCCCACCCCCAGGCTGCAACCCCCACTGAGCCAGCCCGGAACCCTGCCAGCCCAGCCCGCGGCCCCCACCTGTACCCAGCCTGGGCCGGTTGGTATGGGGGCCGAGGTGGAGGGGAGGCTTGGACGCCCCTCATCTCGGGGTCCGCTGATTACCGGTGAGTATCCGGACTGTGTTCCCACCGACCAAACATCCGCACCCAAGGAATCCCAACGCCAATCCACAAGCCAGTCAGCTGAAGGTGAGCGAGTGTTCTGTCGTGTGTGCGCGCGTGTCACGATGGAACACATTTGTGTGTCCGCCTGGTTCAGTGGTAGCTCTCTCTCTCGCCTCTGTAGTCAGAAGGTTGTGGGTTCAAAACCCCCACCACCACCACCAAAAGTCAGGACTTCGAACCACACAGTCCAAGCTGACGTCCCAGCGCAGCACTGGGGGTGGTGTTGCATTGACGGAGACGCCGTCCTTCAGATGAGACGTTGAACCTCACTCCACGTCTGCCTGCTCAGGTGGACGTTAAAGATCCCGCGACCCTGCTCGAAGGGAGAAGGCAGCTTCTCTCTCTCTCTCTCCCGGTGTCCTGGCCAACAATCCCTCAAATAAATTTGGTCATTCAGTCCACGGCTGTTTGTGGGGAAGCTGCTGTGCGCAATTGGCTGCCGCGTTTCACCCACAATATATACAAGTCACTGTACCTTACGGTATATGCTGTGAAGCGCTTTGAGACGTCTCGGCGACCTGATATATATCAAATGCAACGATTATTATTGTTCGCCCAGCATCCTGCTGCTTCTCTGTGTGGGTGTTTTTTTAAAAAAAAACAAACGGTAAAATAATTTTGCATCTGTTTTTTTTTCCTCTACATGGCAGCCTTTTCTCGGAACTCATGCTGCGGTTTGTGACTGGGGGGAGGGGGCAGGGGATTGCAGGGGAGGGGGGAAGAAGTGGTGCGGGGGCCGGTGTGTGGCCTGGCATTAGGAGACCCGGTAAGAGATAAAGATAAATTGCCAGGTAATTTCCAACCAGCTGTTCCCCACCACTTCCTCCCCACTTCTCACTGTGACTCATCGCTTCAACAACCTGCCCGCCTCGCTCCCTCCTCTCTCTGTCAGTAGGTTATGGGTTAAAGCCCCAAGTCAGGAATTACCCCCCTTCCTACCCTATTCTGCTACCACTACCCCTTCCTCTTTTTCCCCCCACTCACCCCCACCCCCAAAAGTCAGGACTTTGAATCACACAGGGGTGTTGCATTGACGGAGACGCCGTCCTTCGGAGGAGACGTTAAACCTCACTCCCCGTCTGCCTGTTCAGGTCAACGTTAAAGATCCCACGGCCCTGCTCAAAAGGAGAAGGGACTTTCCCTCTCTCTCTCCCCGTGTCCTGGCCGACAATCCCCCTAACAAAATTGGCCACTCACTTCATAGCTGTTTGTGGGATTTTGTTGTGCGCTAAATTGGGTGATGTGTTTGCCTGAAAAATAAAGTCACTACATTTACAATATGTCCCGTGAAGCACTTTGAGACGTTGTTCTCTGACCCTCAGCCTAGATGTGATGAGCCCCTGATGTGATAAGGCGCTGTATCAAAAGTAAGGATTATTATTATTATAAATAATTTGTTCTTCCAGTCTCTGAGCCACACTGAGGTTTAAATACCATTAGTTAACTCTCAGCCTTGAGAACTGTTTGTCTGTATCCCCAGAGAACCTCGGTTGTGTGATATATTTAGTTCTCTGTCACTGTTGCATCAACAGATGTAAGTTGTGTAACAGGCAATTGGCTCTGAAATGATATATGGCTTTAATCTGATTTGCAAATGGCCACGAGAATTGCATAAGGAGTTATCTGGAGCCACGCAGATTAAGAGCGGGATTGATTCGGAGAGAGAGAGATAAATGGTGGTCAGAAACTGTGTCTGAACATAGAGGGAAGAGCAGTTCATCATTAATATATTTGCTTGTCACCGGGCAAGAGAGACAGAGAGATAGAGACACACAGAAAAGACCGTGAGAGATAGGTAGGGAGATAAAAGTGAGACTGTGAGACACATACGCAGATAGAGTGAGAGAGAGACACACACACACAAAGATAGACACACACTCAGATAGAGAGTGACACACACACACGTAGTGAGAGAGACCGAGACACAGATTAAGTGAGTGAGAGAGACACACACAGAGTGAGACTCACTCACAGACAGACACACACACAGACACACAGTGTGCAGAAGATTCCCCAGGGCGCACACACCTGTGCACTGCTCTGGGAGTCTCTGAATTTAAATTTAAAAAAACTTGCTCGCAGGAGACATTTACATTGCGTTCACCCCGTGACCTTCAGCCTCGTCAGCATGAGGGCCTGGCAAACATCCCCGTTCAATCTGACGATCCAACTAAATAATAAATCTTCCCTGTGCTTGACCCAGCGCCAGCAGCAGCGAAACCTCTCAAACCGTTTCTCTGTCATTGTTGTCGGCTGCCTTTGTGCCCGTCTATTCGGAGGCAAACTTGGCAGCCAATCTCGGAGCCACCAAAACAGTCATGAAGTTAGCGAGCGATTTTATCCGGTGGTGGAGGGGGGGGAATCGTCGCTGGACACTGGGAGAGCGAGAGGAGGCAAAACTCCCTTCTCTTTCCCCCGACAGCGTCCCAAGATTTTTAACGTTCTCCCTGAACAGGGCACAGGCAGGGGGAGTGAGGTTTAACACTCATCTGATGTGCGTACGCACTCTCGCCTCTGCTGTCTGAAGCTGGTGACTTTGAACTCGCAAAGCACAGCGCTGTCAGAGGTGCCGTCCTTCTGTTAAAGATCTCCCGCAACGCTGTTGGAAAGAAGAAGGGAGTTTTTCTCTCTCTCTTTCTCTCTCCGTGTCCTGACCGACAATCCACTACCCCCCCCCCCAGTTAAAATCGGTCACTTCTCGACTGTTTGTGAGACGTCGCCCTACACGCAACTTGTCCACCTCCTTCGCCTGCAAAACACACAGTCACTACAGTGTAATGAATCCTGTGGGACATTCTGCTGACATGAAAGACGCTGTATCACACGGGGGATTATTATTATAATTATTATGTTATTACGGTTTAAATCACTCCTTAGGAGGCAGTTTCTAAATGGTTTTGAGCGATGGGTCAGCCAGACAAATTGCAATTGCATTGACACATTACATATGAATGAATGCATGTTATTTTTCTCAGTACGTTTGAACTTCCTACCATAGCTACTTTTCTTTTTTGCAAGTTGTTGATATTTTGTTCACCAGGTATCTTGTCGAGCCATTTCTGAATAGTCTTATTAACAGCTCCAGTTGCACCGTTGATTATAGGACACTATGTTTGTTTGACATTGTCACGTACGTCCAAATTCAATTTGTAGATCAATCTATCTAAATACTACTACATATTGTTTGTTATGAGAACAACAACATAAACTTGCACTTATATGAACACCCTCCATGTCGGAGACAGTTTAAAATATCTGGTCTTGTCTGTATGTACTTGGGACGTCCTCCCAATGTGAAAGGCGCTGTGCAAATGTGATTTGTTGCTGTTGTTTCCCAGATTATTGTGATATTATTTCTCGATGTCACTTTTGCTGGCTTATTGTTTCTACCAGTTGTTCTTTACATCGATTAATATCAAGAGTGTTCACAAATTGTCCAGTGAATACGTTTAGCCACATTATTATGCGAAATCGGACACTCTTTTGATTGTGCGAGGGCTGGACATGATAACCATGTGTTTCTGGTATCATATTCATAACAACAACTGATTACAGTTACACAGCGCATTTCATTCATTCATGTATGTCCGAAGGACGTCCCAAGGCGCTGGACAGTTAAGGTTTTGCACCTAAGCTGTGGGTGGGTCAGTGAGTGAGAGCAATACTGTGTGTGAGTGAGTGAGAGCGATACTGTGTGTGAGAGTGAGAGCAATGTTGTATGTGTGTGAGAGTGAGAGCAATGATGTATGTGTGTGAGAGTGAGAGCAATGATGTATGTGTGTGAGAGTGAGAGCAATGCTGTATGTGTGAGAGTGAGAGCAAATACTGTATGTGAATGTGAGTGAGTGAGTGAGTCCCGAGAGAGAAAAAGAGAGCCAAGGAGGAGAGTAACAGAGAGGAAAAGAAGAAAGAGTCAAGAGAGCTTGAGACAGAAAATATTGTAGCCCAAAGTCCACCAAATATTAGTCCACAAATATTGCGTGTTGCCTTATATGGGCAGCAGAGGGGCTGCTTCAGGGGTAGTTGCTTTTGAAACGGTGTAAGAAAAGGTCCTTAAGGGGGTGGGAGGGGAGAGGGGGAAGGTTTTGCAGATTTAAATTAAACATGTAGAGGTTTAGCTTCCCGCCCAGAGCTGTTCATTCACGCCCAGGATCAGCACAAACCCAACCCAACCCAACCCAAGCCAAGCCACATCCTCAACATCCTCTGGTGGCAAACGGCGTCACTGAGCCTCTCACACAAAGGGCTGAGCAGAGCTGAGCAGCTCTGTCTGTCTGTCTGTCTGGGTCTGGGTCTGTCTCCCTACCACAGCACAGGTCAGAGGGAGAGACACACACACACACACAGACAGAACCAGAGAGAGACAGAGAAAGGGGAAGACAGAGAGAGAGAGAGACACACACACACACACGCACAGCTCAGCCACAAAGAGAGAAGGGGGGAAGGAGAAAAACAAAGAGACAGAGGGAGAAAGACAGAGGGAGGCAGAGAGAGAGAAAAACTGAAAGGGAGAGAGAGAACAGAGAAGAAACGAGGGCTGCTGGAGACTGAACGTCTGGGATCCCCCCCCCCGACTCCTTCACTGCTGACTGTAAGTAACTGTCATATCTCTATCTGTTAGTGCCTCATATGTAATGGCTGTGAAAGAGAGAGACTGTGTGTGAAAGAGAGAATGGGTGTGAGTGTGAGTGAATGAATGTGTGTACAAGAGAGTGTGAGTGACTGAATGCGTGTGTGTGAGAGTGAGCTTGAGCGTACTTGTGAGAGAGACTTGTTTGTGAAAGAGAGTGAGTATGTAAGAGTGAGTGTATTAGTGAGAGAAAATGTGTGTGCGAGTCTTGAGCGTGCATTTGTGTGCTGGAGTCTGACTGTTTGTGGGGCGAGGGGAGAGAGAATGTGTCAGTGAGTGTGTCAGAACATGTCAACCCAGTGACACGTGTGTTGGTGAGCATGTGTGAATGAGTGTGAGAAGAGAGAGACTCTGTAGCTGTGTGCAAGCCCGAGGTGCGCGCGCGCGCGGGTGTGTGTGCGCACACATGTTCGACCCGTGTGTGAGGTTAGACTTCTGCGCGCACGCGCGCGTGTGTGAGAGACAGAGAAGCGTGTACACATCACTAGCGCTTTTCATTTATCGTATAATCTTTTACAATTATACGTTGGGAAGGGGGTTAAGTCGTGTGGTCTCGAGTCAGTGAGGTGTCAGTGTTTGAAGATTTGATGTGTTAAACGTTTGATGCATTTTTTTTCAAAAAATAAACAAGAAATTCACTTCCTGGCTGTCTGCGGGGACGTCGCTATTTCGCAAAGTGTCTGCCGCGTTCGCCTGCAAAACACACAGTCGCTACACTCTACGACAAATCCCACGTACCTTGGTTTGTCAAATGCAAGGATCGTGTTATTTCCAATCGCAATTTTTTGAATTTACAATGAGAATAATAACCCTTGCATTTGATACACCGCCTTATCGCGTCATCGAGGCGTTTCCAAAGCGTTTCGCAGGATGCACTGTAAAGCGTAGTGACTGTGTGTTTTGTGGGTGGGTTTCGCGGGGTGGAGGGAGAATGGAAATGGAAATCTCCAGCCACTTTGGTTAGGTTTATTTTTTAAATGAGAAAACATCTTGGAGATTTTCTGACTGTGTAGTAAAAGGGTTTGAAGTGACTGTATGTGCGATTGAGGTGTTAGATTTGAACACACAACACTCTGGGGGGCAGGGAATCCTCCCACTCGGCTCCTGTTATCCCTGCAGCCAAAGCCCTAACTAACGGGGAGGGTGGTCCGAGCTGGACAAGCAGCGGGAAAGCTTGGCCAGACAGCGCTTTCAATGGCCAAGCTATGTGTGGTTAGACTCCCATCAGTTACCCCCAACGCACTCTCTGGGCTCCCCACAAGCCTTGGCTCTCGCCAACCTGTCAAGGTATATGGGGCAAGGTGGGTAATTGGAGTTGAGGTACATATCAGCCACCATCTAATAGAATGGCGTAAGAGGCTTGATGGGCTGAATGGCCTACTCCTGTTCCTATGTTTCAATGCGCCTAATATCCTTAGGATGGGTCCCTCCAGAGAGAGAGAGAGAGCGCATTCCATTCCTACAATCTCTCTCTGGGATTGCCAGGTGTGGGTGGGATGTGGGGAATTCTCAGTTGGGTTTGGAGACTCTTAAGCAACGGTGACGGGTTTCCGCACGTGTCAGACACCTCTGGCTGCTCAAAAAAAGGAGTTACGTAAGGTGCGTGTGAGAGTCTGTGGGGGGGGGGTGGGCAGAAAATGGTGTGAGAGGTTGGTGTATCGTAGCTCTATGAAAAAGGTTTGTTAGGCCCTATTCGCCTTCTCTATACTTTGAGCTTCTATGGTCTTATCTTCTCCGGGTGTGAGTCAGTGAGCAAGCTGGAAAATCCTGAGCCACAGGTGAGTAAGATCCCTCAAAGGCAGGAGCTGGCTTGCTTAGACACTCTCTCTGAGGAGGGAGTTTATCTCTCTCTCTTTTTCTCACTCTCTCTCTCTCCACATGTCCTAAATTTTCAAGACTGAGGTGGATAGATATTTGTTAGGTCAGGGTATCAGGGGATATGGGGCAAAGGCGGGTAAATGGAGTTAAGGTACAGATCTTATAGAATGGTGGGAACACGCTCCTGTTCCTTTATTCCCCCTCTTATCACCTCCTCAAATAAAATCACTCACTCTATAGCTGTTTGAGGGGACGTCACTGTGTCCAAATTGGCTGCCGGGTTTCGCCCACAAAATGCGCAGTCACTGCACTTGACAGTCTATCCTGTGAAGCGCTTTGAGACGTCTCAACGACGTGATAAGCTGCTGTATCAACTGCTGGGATTATTATGATGATGATGATCACGATTGTTGTTATTGAGGTTGTGTCACACATGTAATTGGAACCTGCCCTCGGCCCAATTCCTGATGCTTACTGACAGGCTGCCAGCCACCCAGACAGTCTATAAATAGGAGCTCCATTGTGTCTGGGGTAAGGTCTCACGTTGCACAGTTTCTCTCTTGTCAGATGTGCTCATGTTACCCGCCGACTGACGGCTGACGCGGGGTTAACCGTGGAGTCCCGTGGCGCAGTGGTTAGCATCCGGACAAGAGCACCCGAGTTCATCACGAAAAGCGATCGACTTAATAACCGTGTTCCTACTTACTGCTGGGTAAACAGAGGCGTGTGGGTGGAGTAAGGTTTCTTTGAACCCAGGTCCTCTCGCTCGCGAGGCGAGTGCTCTAACTCTGTGCCACGGGACTCCACATTAAAGGGCTACCAAGGCAGAGCGACCTACGTTCTTTCCCCGAGAGGTTAGATTTGCCAGCGCACACCGCCTTTTCCTTCCTGTTCCGAGGGACAGGCTGTGTTCAATGTGATCTCCCTGTCGCTCGAACAAAGCGAGGAAATAGAGATGATAATAAAAAAAGGTTCTCTCTGAACACACATACACACAACCCCCCCCCCCCCCCTACACACACACACACGCACATACATACACACACACACACAGCTACGTAGTCAGTTTGGTTTGGCTCTACTTGGAGTCAGGAGGTCACAAAGGTTTGTAAGTTCACAGTCTAGTCTGCGTGGAGTCCCGTAGCTCAGTGGTTAGAGCGCTCGCCTGGCAAGCGAGAAGACTCGGGTTGAATTCCCGGGGAGGGCGAATCCTTAGGCAAGTTTCCTCACTCCACACACCTCTGTTTATCAGCGGTAAGTAGGAACCCGGTTGTTAGTCGATCGGCGGATTGTTTTCTGGGGGTAATAATCCAGTATATTAAAAAAAAATTAGTTGCTCAATCCGCGACTGTTTGTGGGGACGCTGCTGTGCGTAATTGCCTGCCGTGTTTCACCCACAAAACATAGTCACTACACTTTGCAGAATATCCTGTGAAGAGCTTTGAGACGTCTCGACGATGTGATAAGGCACAATATCAAATACAAAGATTATTATCATTACCATAGGCTGACGCTCGAGAGCAGTGTGTATGTGGGGGGGGTGGGGGGGGGGCGTGCAGTGGCGGAGGAGGCAGCTGTATTGTTGGAGGCCCTGTTCTTTGGGCGAGATGACCCCCAAGTGAGGTTCTGTAGCTGTTCCTGTGCCCGCACGTAACAATTCCCGTAGCATGACTGGAAAAAAGGGAAGGGAGTTTCCCCTGCATGTCAGCCAACCTCCCCCGCCTCGCACCTCCCTCCCCCCCACACCCCCAAACCGGATAAGGTGTTCTCTTTATAGAGCTGAACAGTGCCTACGGTCATCTCTTCGCCCCCCCTCAGCTCATCGTCAAGCTCCATTACTGTTAAGTGCTCAAACTGAACCCCCCCCCCCACACACAGAGTATGAACCAAAGCTGATGTTGTCGCACGCAATTTGCCCCTAAATTCGCCCGTGGGGAAAAATAAATAAAGCCCCAGACGTCGCGATAGCTTGGATATGTACTTAAAAAGAAAAAAACTTGCGGGGCCATAATAATAATAATAATCCTTGCCTTTGATATAATGCCTTATCACGGCGCTTCACGGAATATACTGTAAAATGTAGTGACTGTATTGTTTGTGGGCGAAACGCAGCAGCCAATTGCGCACAGCTGTGGGGTAAGATTTAGGGAGTGGGACGAGTTGGGTAGCTCTTTTCAAAGAGCCGTCACAGGCACGATGGGCTGAATGGCCTCCTTCTGTGCTGTAAGATTCTATGAACAGATAGAAATGACCTCTTTGACGCTGCAAAGGCTCGCAGCTTCCTCCCTCTTGGGACTGAGGACAGGCAGTTGCTCTGTGTGTGAGCGCGGGAAAAAAAGGGGAAACTGTCTGCTTGCTCAGCAATCGTGGACGATGGTGAGGTGGAGGGAGGGGGAGGAAATAAGTAAGCGTTGCGCACAAGATAAAGCAGGGGTGTTTGAGTGAGTGAGTGCGTGCGTGTGTGTGTGGAGGGAGGGGGGGACCATGTTTCCATGACTCACTTGCACGACTGAGACGTCAGGAAGCCCGAGCTTGGCCAGCGAACGAACGCTGGCCAGACTTAAGCTCCATCCCTGACTATCACAAGAATCCCTTCATTCAGTTACTCCCGTAACAGATCCCGACACTAATCCTTGTAGTATTATTTTTATCATTATCTAGTCGTGCCTGTTGCAGCAATGCTTGCAGCCAGTTTCACTGAATGGGCCTTCTCTCTTTCATCTGGCATCTTTATTTGTCCTCGAAAGGCTTGATCTCCCCTCTACCCCTTTCCATACCTCCAACTCCTTGCCCTCTCCCCCCCCCCCCCCCCCCCATGAACCTCTCTCCCTGTCCACTAGCACCGTTGTCACCCCTTTAAAAATGGCCGTCATCCTTAAACGAAAAACCCTCCCTGGACCCATCCCCGCTCTCAAACTTCCTGTGTTGGAAGCGGGAGCAGCCCATCCTCATCAGGTCACACTGGCTCCCTATCCCCGAATTGATCGATTTCAAGATCCTCTCAGTTCCCTTCACACCCTGGCGCCTCCCTACCTCTCCCCAACCCGCGGCTTGCTCCGCTCGACTGGCTCCGGCCTCCTGCTTGTCCCTTGTGTCCGCCGTTCCGCCATCGGAGGCCGCGCTTTTAGCCGCTACGCCCCGAA